GGGATATCAGTCCTTCTCCCCCGCCCCCCCCCCCCCCTCGCTCACCGCATTAAAGAAAACCAACTGACAAAACATCACTCTTCCATTTATAGATCGCCCATCCGGCGCAGTCCTCGAGGGAAGGCAATTCCCCACCTTCCCCCCTTTCCCAACTTCATTCCCTCCGTTTCCAACGTCTATACCGGGCTTCCCGCCTTTTCCAACCACATTCCCCCCGTTCCCAACTACCTTCCCGGGATTTCCTCCTCAGAATCCCAGCCCGACTCCAACGCCCGTCCCTACTCCGGCCCGTGACTAAAAGAAGAATGAAAACCTGGGATTCAGTGTAGTTTCGGAGTTTCTTTTTTTATTTTTTTCAATTCTTTGCCTGAGAGTCTACCAAAAGGAACACGAAGATATTCTTACGAACAGTATTCAGTGGGTAAAAGGGGGAGAAATGACGATAGTTCGTGAAATGACTATGATTCGATATGAAAGCTTCAGAAATGTACTCCCTTCTTCCTAGGGCCGTGTGGCCATCATCAAACTGTGCCGCTCTCATCAATTAGTTTCTACTGACTGGGAACTGCAAAGTAAACTCAAATCACTTAGATTCAATTTGTCTCACTAGATGTCATGCCTAGCAGAAGGCTAAAGCTTCACAAAAGTAGTTATCCCTAAATGCAAAGGTTGAATGGTAATAAAATAAAAAAAATCTTTGCCAAAGGCTGCCCTTGTTCATTTCATCATAATCATCACCAGAAGGGAGCCCGAGAGTAACATCTCGAATCCTGTCAGTGCCAAAAAAAGAAAACATCCAAAGATCACCAACCATGCAAAAACATAACATTAGCAAGTTGTTAAATCCTTGCTGAAATATTTGAGTTCCATGAGGCTAAATTGGAGTAGACCCAGTGTATTGCAATGCTCTGGATAATTCTGCAATCAACATAATTGGGCAAAAGCAATATCCAACAGTTCTCATAGTCACCTGGCGTCTCTTGTTCAGTTCGCTAAGCCGACTTTGCTCTTCCATTTCTTTAGTCCCGGATGGCTACCAAACTGCTCCTTCTTCAGCTTCCTTTTCCCATTACCAGAGGACCAGACGGGCCACCCCATGCCGACTTTTCGGCTCGAATTCAATCTCCTGTCAACGTCCTCTTTGAAACGCTTCCAGCTACGCTGGCGCTCTTCCCAGTCTGCCATTTGTGCAAGCATAGAGTCCCAGGTCTTAGATTCCTGGGCGCGGAGAATCTCGTCGTAGTCGGCTGTGGTGTTGGAGCGCTGACGACTGGTAGCCGTTATGCGCTGGTCTGACGGGCCGGCCTCCTCTGGGGACTGCTCAGAGGATAGCCCAGGTGCAGTGGATGGCCGTTGCGGCAGGCGTGGGTTATCGGCTTCACTAATCAATGAACTGTACTGGTATACGTGGGCGGATGGCCTGGGGTCCTGCGCGAGATTAGAGCTAGAGGATTGGGATTGTTGGTAAAAGTTCTCTTCCTGTTGAAGGACTCTGTAAATGCGCTGCGAGCGGAATCTTGCTGCAGCTGCCTCTCCGACCAAGTCGGGGTCTTCAAGGGGAGAAAATGGAAGGTCCCCAGCAGAATTGTGCAAAGAGTTCACCAGCGAAGAACTGCTTCCGGCGGCAGTGTGAGGGGAGTCCGCTCTAACAGCAGGATCCTGAATAGAACTGTTGACCAGGCTAGAAGAGGATAAATTATGGCTTTCTCCAGCCTGACTAATACCGCCAGTACTCAAACTTGGGGCAGTGAAGCGGCGCTGAAACGCCTCAGGCATGCCAGCATTGTCATATCGAGATCCACTCGCCTGGCCTGAGAATAAAGATGGAAAAAACCTCGAAGTATCCGTCACCCGTCTTTTGGCAACATTGTGATAATGGCGAGCCTGCAGACCCCCCGTGACAGGAACCCACTCCGCAATATTATACAAGGATCGAATATTCGCGTTCGATAGATCCCCACCTCGAGTTTCAAAACCGGGGGCATACCTTTGAGCTGAAGGTAGACCAGATTGCTGGGAAAGGTTCAAAGTCGAGGACTGTGGTAACGAGTTGTTTCGCCCGTGCCAATCGTTCCCCCGACCAGCTGCAATATCACTTGCTCTTACGTGATGTGGCGGCGCAGAAGAATGGTAGGAAGGGGCCGCAGAGACATACGAAGGGGCGTTTGAATGGATGGAAGCCGTCTCCGACTCATTGAAGCCCGTCTGGCGCGGAGTATAAAGTGGAAGCGGTTCTGGGTAGGGCGTAAGGAGTGAACGGGGAGGCGGCAAAGGCATAATGCATGCGTTTTCTGCTACTTTGCCTTTAGATGGGAACCGGGAAGCTTGCTCTCAGAATGATGTCCGAGGACGGATAGAATCATTCAAAGAGCAGCTGAAGGCTGATGAGTTATTGCAAGGTCATGCGAGTTGCGAGAGAGAGCAGAAGCGGGTGACGAAGAGCTGGAGTGCGAGCTAAAGCCAATAGGTCAGCATCTAGATTTATTAGATAATTTGAGGCGAGAACGCATATTCAGGCAGAGGATAGTATCGCAAACAAACTATTTTTCCGCGGAAGAATGCGCGCATATTGCCTCTTCTAACATCCCACCGTGTAACCGGGCAGTCCAGAGACCACAACCACAGAAGCAGAAATAATTGATAAATAACTGACATGTCCAGGGAGCTGTTCTTTTTGAAATCAAAACACAGAGCTCTTTGGTATTGTTTGGTTGCGAGTCCCATGGTTCACCCAGCGGCGGGCTTCCACAGAATCCCTCAGATAGGCGGGTTTTGGTCTGCGGGGGGAATTTCATGGTGGTTACTCACACTTGATATCACCAACACAGGCGCAAGCACCGGATCTTTCCCACTGACAACGAGAGGGATACCAGAGCCAATGACGATGAAATATGGAAGAGCCTTGTTCCTGGATTGCTGGAAGGATGATCGTTCAAGTAGTTCCGGCTTGCCAGGGGAGGGAGACCAATGCAGCGGGATGCTCGCGATACAAGGCCGAATCAGGGCATATGGCACACGAACTTGCAAGAGCGAGGCCGTGCAGACTCCAGAGTGATCACGGCTACGAGGTTGGAGGGAAGAACAAAGGTCCCACTGCTCCCAGTTTGCGCGAGCGGGTACAGACGAGCGACTTGGTTACATCACTGATGCTGTTCTCGCCGAGACTCCGGGCTAACCAGCATCTTGTCCCCAGCACCCGGAGCCCCCAAGTTCGTGCCTTTTCCGAGCCGACCAGCCCGTTGCGGCCAGTCGTTGAGTGATTCCTTCTGGAAGCCAACGCTCAAGTGCACCGCCACACTTGTTTACCATACAGAAACGTTTCCCGGATATTTCACCCCTCATACCAAACCCCCCTGTTCAATACGCCCTGTCACCAATGACCTGTGTGTCGGTCCAAGTTAAATTACAGTTGGTCCAGAAATCACTCGTATGGGTAATTCTGATACAGATACAGATCTTCCAGCTGCGTCGCTGTCCTCGACTTCTTCTGCGCACAAAGCTGATGAACATCTTCTCTCCCCCGCTGATGTGGTTGTGCAGCGTGCTCTCAAGCGTAAAGTCGTCCGGGATGTGGGATGAAACACCATCAGCGCCAACAAGGCGCTGCGGGGGTTGCATCAGCAGCCTTACCATAGAACAGCGGTGTCCTTTTCCTCGGTAATGGAGTGCGGCGGTCCGGTTAACGCCGTGATAGATGCGAGATGCTTCTCATCGTCGTATTCATTATCTTCGAGTGGATCAACAGCTTCGAAGAGGGATCACAACTTCTTATGCGCTTAGCTCTTCTTATGCGGTTACATCTCACAGAGAAAGGGAAAGAGCCCTACCAAAACCCCTACACTCCATATAGTTATCTGCGCTGTAAGAATAGCCCGCATCAAGGGATCACTTCCGGTGCTCGGTATACCTCAGCCTGTATGCACCCATCATGCTCCCGGTCTCCCATCATCCGACTTAACCGTGTGGATGATATGCGCAGACCAGGTTTCCTATGGTGAGGACAGCGTAAGAAATTGTTTCATTTGTTCTTTGATGCTTTTTAACTCGTTAACTAGGGGATAGTTATGATTGGTCTTGTTTGATCCATTTCCGCTTCACCAGATTCAGTAGATAACATCCAGGAGAATCACACGGCATGATTCCGGAGAGTTGGACGAATGGCCCCATCATGATATGATATATGCGCAGTACATACCTAGTAGTTGCGTATGTACGCGGAATACCTACTGGATTAGGAGGAGCCCAGGAATTGACCAAACTGTGATGGTTTGGGATTCGCTTTGCATGACATCATCGTCAAGCGCCTGGGCAGTTTACGACTGTTACTGATGTCAATGGGCGTTGTAGTCTCCGGTGTGTATGGAGTATCGAGTGCTAGAGATTTTAATTGTTAAAACTATCTAGCTACTTACTCGCAAACGAGTCATATCGCTTTGTGATTTCATGTCGTCATTTTGTCCCTTTTTTGCCGTTTTCTTGCAAATCGCATGATGACGCTCCAGTAATATCATATCCTTTCCGTAACACCGTTCCCCAGATGTCGAATGTTGGAGATGCTAGCTATGCCAGGTTTCTCTGCTGTAGGTCTAAACGATGGCGCGTAGCATTGCCCACACAATCCCAATACGCATTGTCAAACTATTTCGATTCGTTCTGTACCTTTGAGACACGCTCGACCACACGCGCAAAGAGCGGATGATCCTTCTCCAAGCCGGTCAATTTTGTGGTGGCAGCTTCCGCTGATTCAGCCTTTAAGATCTTGGCGAGTTCGAAGCTCTCGTCGTCGTCTGGGACGTTCTGGAATCGAAGGGCTTGTTCCAAAGCACCCAAAAGGGCATCGACCTTCTTTCCACGCTCTGCCAATTGAGAAGCGGGCCCGATGAAGCGCTCCTTGCGTCCAAGCTTACGAAGTGGCGCGCGACCGACACGTTGGACAACATCCTCGAGATGGGGGTTGGAAATGCGGGTGATGATGGCGTCAACGTACTTGCGCTGCTCCTCAGCTGCAATGCCGTGCTTGTCGACAATAAGAGCCGAGGTCTCTGAAAGAGCATCATTGACGTAGCCACGAATCTTCTCGTCGCTCATAGCTTCGTAGATGGTCTTCTTTCCCATGTTGTAGCCGTAGTATGCAGCGGTAGCATGTCCGGTGTTGACAGTGTAAAGCTTGCGCTCAATGTATGGATCCAAGTTGTCAACCCAATGAATAGCCTTGATCTCAGGGTGACCCCATTCGCCAAACGGTGTCTTGTCCACCACCCATTCATAGAACTTTTCAATCTTCACGTCGAGGCCAGAGTTAGGGGCTTGGGTAGGGACGATACGGTCGATGGCAGAATTGGCGAATCGAGCTCTGGAGGGAAGGGATTCGACACGAGAGGCATCAGTGTTTTCCTTGATGAAGCCGTGGAGGGTATCGGTGGCGCCAATGGCATTCTCGCAGGCAACCACGGCCAGTGGCTTCTCAATGGTACGAGCATTGATGCCTTTCGCGATTGGTGGGGCAATGAACTTGAGGATATTGGGGCCGACGGCACAGGTAACGACATCGGCGGTGGAGATCTCACTGATGACCTGGTCGAGGTTATGCTTGGAATTGATAGCACGGTAGTTGGTAATGGTCTTGGTTTGCTCTCCCTCATTGCTGACCTCGGTGACCTTGTAGGAAGAGGCGTTTTGAAGGGCCTCGATGACCGAGTCCATCACATCGACGAAGACAACTTCATAGCCAGACTCGTGGAGGAATTCACCGACGAAGCCACGGCCAATGTTGCCGCCACCAAAGTGAATCGCTTTCTTACCCATGGCTGCAGCGGTAGTGATTTTCTTGGAAATGAGGAGAATGAGGCAAACAATTTCAAATGCACGGCTGAGGGAAGATATAGAAGAGAGAAGAGGAAGAGAGAGAGAGAGAGAGAGAGACGGGGGAAGATGTGTTGGGTCAAGCAGTGAGGTGGAAGGAGGGGCAGCAGAGTGAGCAATGGAGGGGTTGCTGAGATGGCTGAGGCTGCCCAATGCAGCTTTCTGTCTGCGTTGACACCAATCCGGAAGCAGTTCTTTGTTTCGTGCTCACCAAACCCTGCCCGGAAAGTCTCCTGTTGGGCCTGCGCGCGCCTTTATAGCGGCCTCACTCTCGCCTGGCCTTTCCACCCCTCTCTCGGGCAAGACCCAAGCCATTGACGGGCAATTTGGTATCGGCATGACGACATGGCGAGAGTCGAGAGAGCAGCTGAGATTTCTTGTTCTCCCTTCACAGCTGTTAACTAGCAGTCGCAGCGACATCATTGCCTGCAATCCAGCCTATGAGAACCAGCAGAACATCCCACTTCGCTCACTTCTCAGCAACGGCTCCTTGGCATCAAGCCGCTAGTCGATTTACCCGCTGCCCTCCGGGACCGCAGCAATTGACACTTGTCGCTGAACTCGGCTTCATCGCCCTCTTGATATATCGGATAGCAGAGACAAGAGATGGTTTCTTCAAACTTATACTCGAACAGGATTGTATCCCATCTTAGCCCGAATCGATGGCCCTGGATCCTGCAAAAGCACAATCTTGCTCCCGTGTCCACCGTTCTTTTAGCTAACTAGCGTGCAGAAGCACCAAGGGACGGACCGACGCGAGAAATTCCGATGATCGTGGTTCAAATCATCCTTCCCAAAGACACCCAAACCAAACCTAAAAGTATCGACCCTGGAGCAAAATCTATCCAGAACAATCTGCTTCATTCCCACCGGTCCAGTTGCTCGCTCCAATTGATGCTTAGACCTGGACCGACGCCCCACTGGCTCTCTCTCAAGAGATACGCATTTGCGACCCACGATTTTGAAGAAGATGTTACGCCAAATGCGTTGTTCGAGATTCATTTCCTAAGAAAACGAGCAGGGATCCCCGCCCTTCTCAAGTGATGTCGGTTTCATCCGTTATTATTTGGTGGTGAAGATCATGAAAAGTGACTAGGAATCGAGCTGATATTGGCAATATCGACCATTACTGGACCATAGCTTATGCATACTTGTGGGAATCCGATATCAGGTTTCTCGTTTGCCTTCTCTCCGGCATCCGCGATTGAGGGGCACTAAGACAGCCATCTCAGTAACACCACCCATGCATTGCTTCTGAAAATTTGATTTTGATACGCAACCTCAGGGGATCCGGTCATACCTGCATCACACAGCTATTATCAGAGTATGCATGCTGTATGTATACTGCACCTATCTAAAATGCATTTTCTATTGTACGACAAGCTCCATAATAGACTGCTAGATAATCCTACGTTTCTTCAAGCTCTAAGCTATGTTACGGAATTGAAATTGGATGTTCTTTTCTAATTTCCTCGTAGTAACTTCATAGTAATGTATAGAATAGCTTGCTTTGTTCACCCAAAATGACGCCAGGCGAGGGGCGGAAGGACCTTTAATGATATCACGTGAGTGACTTCAAGACCTTCCAGGTTTGATGAAAAGGGCTTGAAGACAAGAATACGAGATCCGTGTAGAATTGCTTTGGCTTCCGAAACCATCAACGCAATCCAAACATATTGATGACACAGACTTAAGTGACATTTGCCCTCTTATATGCTGTGCCTTTTTCCAAGATACCCCCCCAGCATCACAAACACGCAATAATATGCCCCTTTATGCTTTCGGCTCCAACGGCTCCGGCCAGCTCGGCCTGGGGCACAAAGAGGACGTTTCCCGCCCAACCAGATGTCTCTTCAAACCAGACTCTCCATTGCCAAACGAGGTGGCACAATCTTCCGACCAAGAGGACCTCGTTCAGCTCGCTGCAGGGGGTAATCATACTCTTGCCCTATTCAAGTCCGGCGCGGTCTATGCAGCGGGGTCGAATGGGAACGGGAGGTGTGGTTATCCTGCCGAAGCTGTGGAAGAGTTGCTTGAGTTTGGCAGGGTTGCTTTCTACGATGGTGGGCGCCGGGTTGATCAGTTTGCTGCGGTGGCGGCGACGTGGGAGTCGTCGTGTTTCGTGGAAGCCGGGACTGGCTACGTCTATGTGGTGGGCGTTGGGCTTAATGGTGAATTGGGTCTCGGGGAGAATGTTACTGAGGCTAGAAGCCCGACACGGATGCCGAACTTCCCGCCAGGGGGCAGGGAGATTATTTGTATTGCTGGTGCCCTTGCGCATACAGTGGTCGTTCTATCGAGCGGAGAGGTGTTTGGGTGGGGAAAGGGGAGAAAAGGCCAGCTTGGAGAGGCGGGCAGGAACAAGATGCTTTGGTCGCCGCAAAAAATCGAAGCTCCTTTTACTGCAGTGAAAGTTGCATGTGGGAAGGAATTTACCATACTCGTGGGAAATGTGGAGGATGGGGAGCTGGCAGTTTTGGGGACTGATAGATGGGGACAACGGTCAAAAGCTCCGGCAAATTTGAAGGGATACAAAACGGTTGGAGCTAGTTGGCATGGTATTTACAGCCATGGCTCCAATGGTTCTCTGACTGCTTGGGGTCGATCTGATCGTGGGCAAATGCCACCAGCCGACTTTCCCAGAATCACGTCCATGGGAATTGGAAGCGAACACGTTGTTGCTGCAGTTGACTGCAAGAGAATCATTGCGTTTGGATGGGGCGAACACGGGAACTGTGGCCCAGAAACTGATGAGCAGGGGAATGTTAACGGGAAGTATGTCGAAATCCCATTTGAGGGCGGCGTAACACCGATAATTACTGCCGTTGGGGCTGGCTGTGCCACAAGTTTTGTGATAGCCCGGTAAACGCTCAAGGACATTGCGAACATTAGAGGCGCAGTCAACTATGAAAATTGGACTTTCGAAGGAACCGATAGTTCCAGTCCGGGAGTTCGAGGGTGATGGTCATATCGACTCTTCAGTCAAACAGCCCTCGAATCTGAAACGGTCAGCCGTTTCCAGAGCTAACCACGACCACGAGACGTACCTGAGATATTCTCTGAGTCGGGGGGATTGCTGCAGACTCAACCTCTTCACCCCGGCGCTCCCTTTGCACAGCCGTGTTTATACTGTCCTGAACCGTACCTTGGCGACTACCTCGCAAGGGATCCTGCGTCATGTGAGTTAACTGTTGTAGCCAAACCCCCGAATCTAAGTCAGCTTACATTAACCATATTTGGATCCCAGCCAAGAATATCTTCCTGCTCCTCTTCATCTTGCGGTTCATCCCACTGACGATCGTCGTCAAGTGGAACGAAAAGGCTGTTTGGGTCAAGCAGAGCAGACGCTACCGGTGGGATATTTTGTGGGGTTTCTTGGACAGTTCCTCCGCGGAAAGATGTCTGGGCAGGTTCATTTCTTGCAGGGACGACAGGCCGCGTTGCGGGGGTATTCTCCTCGTTGTTCACGGAAGCTGTCTGTGGAGGCCGAGAATGCGGTCTAGCGGAGAGTTCACGGGCATCACCGTTCACAGACGTATCTATGTCTTCAGTCTCCCCTCGTGTCATCAAAGTGAACTCACATGCCATCCCCCCAGAATCGTATGACAGCTGGAGGGGTCGACATGGCCGAGTGTAGCGGGCTGTAATTGTTGTTTTAAGGGTATCTGCGTGCAAGACAATGGCCTTGAAATCCTTCACGCTTACAGCAACATGAAGTCTCTCTTCCACAATGCATTGTTCGAAATCCCTGGTGTCAATTGCAACAGAGGTATGGACTGGCTGCTTCAGGATTTCTTCGGGTACGTAATTAGAAGCGGGCACACCAATGCATTTGCATAGAGGCAGGTAATTACCCTACCTTTTCCGTTGGCCACTTTTGTAGTGAAGCTCGTAAATACCGCTTTCCCGTTGTCTGTAAACATATCCAGCTGCTCGGCTGTAGGCCCAAAGTACTCCACAATTCCCCTTAGGAACTTGGAATCTATGACCCACTGATTTTGGGCCTTGGACTTGTCAAAAACAGCATGTTGCACCTCCACTGGCTCATAAATCAGCTTGTATGTCTTAACAACTCCTATACTCTTTAGTTAGCCACAAGATCCCAGTTTGGTGAAAATAGCAGCTTCATTTTCCATACCATGTCTGCAAACCATCTGGATGACAACTCTGCACTCTGCCTCATCTGGCCCATCAAAAATCTGGAGTTCACACTGTTCAACAGCAGTATCCTTGTCCCTAAAATCCATACTTCGTCCTTTAAACACCGATAAAAGCGCCTTAGGACCGCTGTTAGAGTCCATAACCATAACAGCAATGATACAGGACGGAAGTACCTTGATATACAACTGGCACGACAGCTTAACTGGACCATGCCTAGCACTGGAACTGGCAGCATGACTGACCCTCCCGGCATCAAAGGCGTACCGACTGAAAAATGCCCCGCTACTATCAAATTTAAACGACGCATAGCCAGACTTTGTAGAATTCAGCGCGGAGAACCGCAGCTACATAGTTATCAGCCCTCTTATTTCTCCTTCTCAGGGGGTTTCCCTTGGTCATGATTGAAAGAAAAAAGCCTTACAAAGTCATTCTCCGCTTCTATGGACACTGCATCATTGAATTTTGCCAGGCAGACAAGCACGTCGTGCAGTTGAAGCAGACTTTCGGGGAGAAGGGTTAGTGAGAGAGAGGCCATCATCAAAGCTACATCTAATCTTCAAAGTCAAGAGATAAAAACAACATACGACGTATACTATCGGTGAAAGTAGACAAAGGACGATGAGGTCGAGAGAATTTACATAAGCAGTTTCTGCTTTGTCTTGCGCGCCTGATCCACGCTAGTCAAGCGTAGCTCCGGCGGCTAAATTGGCAGTGAGCTGCCTATTTTAGTATGCCGCGGTTAAAGCTCGGGGTAACCGTTCTCCTTGGAACCCTTGCAAGTTGCAAATAGTATCCTGTCAGTGCCTGAAGCTCCATCAACTAATTTAGGAGATGCCAACCCGTCGCGGCAACCTATTGGATGGGCCACAAGCCTCACAGGGAACAAGAAGTTGGAAGTTTTAACTCATTCTCTGAACGACAAACAGATCTCTCGACTATCAAACCACACGGGAGATTCGGTGCAACTCTACTCCGTACCTCAGACCCATATTCAATGATTCCGAATAATGGACGTCTTGATGATGATATGATTGGGCTAGTTACGTTCCCGGTCCCGTTCGCATCCCTTTTGGAATGCGATCGTATCATAACCAAAGTGATTGTCCCCGAGAGTATTGAAGCCCGAATGTCCTTCCTGGCGCTCACTTCCTCATTTCCGGCACAATTGTCCCGCAACTGGAACGCAGACTAGTTGGCGACCAACAATAACCTTCTCCTGCTGCATGATGCACTCTGCGGTCACATTGAAGCTAAAATTTTCACGTGGCAGATGCGGCTAGCTGATAGCGCAAATGCCTTCGAGCTGAGACTATCTGCAGATTTCGAAAGTTAGTTTCTCGGGGAAATTGGGAAGACATTGGAGAACATTTTTCCGCCTTCTGCGCGCGCCCCACATAAAACTGGGCGGGCGAACTCCTCCGCACCATGATAGGCAGTTTCTAACTGGATTTCTTGCAGGCATGAGTGGCTGATTTTCAAGCTGATCATCGCCCTTTTCCCGTTGTCACAAGTACGGACTTCATAACTGATGGATTTTGGAACCAGGGGTGTGATGATCCGGTCGAATGAGAATTCTCAGAGCAAAAGGATTCTCTGACGCAGGTTTGGCGCAACGTTGATATCTGAATTGACCAATAATCGGACGTTGAAGTGAGTTACCCCGTAATCACTCTGACTCTCTGCGGGGACCGGCTTGTTCTCTGTCTAACATCCAGACACCCAGCTTTTCTTCGACGGCCGTACTCCGTATCTTCCCTTTCTTTGTCTTTGAAAAAAGGGCAGGCCGTTGTCTGTCGGCGACCAAAACGGAGATTCGATTCTGTCTCGTAAACGATTGAGGGATGGACGTCTCCTGACGACCCGTCGAAGGTTCGGATTGAATGCCAGACATGGCAGTTCATGCAGCTCGTACTCCGTACTTGGTACGCATCAATATTGCTGCCCAAGTTGTCTCAGCCGTGGTAGATCAAATGGGAAAACGGTCTCGATCCGTCCTCGGCGCACGGCATCACAATAATGTGACTTAAGTGGCTTGATTGCGAGGATCATGCATCAAGCATATTGTATTTTTTATGTGAGTTGCATCTTGAGACCAAGAGACTGATGAAGCAAGCTTCGAAAGATCCAGGGCTGTGGTTCACTACTCTAGCCTGCTCATCCAGAGCTCGTTGACATTTTTGGCGCTTGTGTTTGAACCCAGCCTTGGCCACTCCGGACTTAAAACAATCCTCCGAAGACGCTGGAACTGTGAACAACTATCTCAATCACTTCCCGTACAAGTCGTTTGAAACAAGAAGGGAAAGTCTAAGCTCAGACATCTCCTTCGATGCGCTTGCTGCGTTGAGACCCCTGGAATATCGGAAATCAATGTTTTGGACTTGCTTCTCTTGCGGGACTAAGTTGATGCTGACAAATAGCACAAGGTTCAGCCGGATCAGATCCTGGGCTTGGCACCGCGCCCATTGGCCAACGGAGCGCCGCAACAGTGGGCCAAGCATTTCGAAACTTTTCGAGTTTCCCGCACAAGAACCCCCTCTTCAACTGCCCATTTAGGGTATTCAAGGCTTTCTTGGTGTGCAAGGCGACGAGCAATGCAACATGTTCCGCGTCCTGTCGACGATAGTTTTGCGGTTTTTCCGTGGCCACATTGATCTTCTACTGGAGATGTCCAGGTCGGTTCGACAAAGTGTCCCTGGCTTGGAGCTTGCTCTGGCGCCTACTTTAGTCCAGGCACAAAATCCATGGCGTGGCCACAAGCGAGGATGTTTCGTAATTTTGGTATCACGCTTGAAAGGCACTTGAGGAGAAGGCCAGGGTCCACAAACGTTCGGTCGCAAGTCAAACCACATGTTTTCGCGCTGCATTGTTCGGTGCCTGAGTCGGGAACGTCGTCGCCTGATGGAACAGAATCTGAACCATGGCGTGTATGAAACAAGAGCTGCAGTAATATCCTGAGTTCTGGGGTGAGCTCGAGGCTCAGGTTTCAGCGCTTGAAGAAAACTGTGTTGAGGAGTCGCCGCCAAATTAGTTAGCTGCGGCTCTTGGAGCTCAAGCAGAGAGGGTCTGATCAGAAAGCTCCATCTGATGGTGTCGGCTCTAAAATTAGCATGCTTAGCCGTTCTGTCAAAAATCGCGGGGTAGCGCGCGATAGATGTGGGCAATCTGCCAATCTGGGCATGGAGTAATTACAAGCAAGGAATGACGGAGATGCGTTCCTCCTCACGGCCTCTGGAGGGATGAAAAATACTACAGACAAGCCTTCTCAAATATTTCGACGGCGACAAAAAAAAGCGATTTAGATCTGACCTTGCTCCATCAAGAATCGGAGCTTCTAGAATTTCCATCTCGAACTGGACGAGCCTACGACCCTTGTTAGCCTGATACAGCGATCATTTTGATTCTCTAGGCGATCTCGAGCTAGCTTTGATTGTAGGGCTGGAGAAGCCTCCGCGAGTCCACGGGCTTTGTTGAAGGATGCACAATAATTCACTTGATTCCATCGATTCGGCTTCGTGAATTACAGATTTTGGCCAGGGTTTATCTCAATCTCCCAGGCTGCACTTACATGGTGAGTAGAGTGAGTAGCCTTCGGGGGAATTTGTGAATCGACCATGATGACCGAGGGTCGACTTGCGATCAGCGCTTTGTCTGCACTCCAGGGAGCTCCCTTGTCAAAGCTGAAGGCGCTCAAGGATATTCAAGAAACGATCAGCAATGTGAAAGGCCGATCCAGGCGAAACCGTCAGGTAGCGGAATGTTGAACCAAACAGCAGAGCAATAATCTACTCCGCCGGATGCCCGGATGCTTGGGGAGACGGCTGCTACTCGGCGTGAGGGCTAGCCGGAGAGACAAGCACCTGTCGCCAATTTCCCTCTGGGGAAACAGCAATCCCCGAAATCCCGATAAACTGGAGAAACTTGCTTTGCGCTCGGGATGGGCCCCCTATATTCAACATGGAAGATGGGAGAAATGCGCAGAGGTGGCTCGTATTCAGTGGAGAAGCGAAGCCCCGTGACCAGCTTTACATGCTGTGCCTCTAATTGCACGCTTGTCGGTTAGTTGTAACAGCCACCCAGGCCGCGCCGAGTTTCACTCCAAGCAGTCAACGGGTTCCATGGATTGCGCTTCAGGTTTGACGTGGAAATCTGGCACTAGGAAAGCTTGTTGCGCATGGCCAAATCGTTTGCGCCTCAATTCTCCTTCCTTCACCTTCATCGTTTGTTCTCCGCACCGAATTGCTCTGTGTTGTTATTACCTGCATAAATTCAGGCGGTGGGGAACCATAACAGAAAAATGGATCCTCTGAGGATGATCAACTTTTAGCGAGAAAAGCGCCCTCAGCCCATGGAGATATTGTTTGAAGACATCTCCAATTCTTCCCCCAAACCGAATTGTTATTACATATTCTTTCCCAACTGAGCTTGAAGCAAATCGTTGTGGTGTGGCCGGGGGGCGGGGAAAATGCTAGGGTAGTATCCGGGTTCTTGCTGTGCTTGGCTGCCCTGCAAGTCCTTCCTTCTCTCGGTATTGTTATTCGCGCGCATCGGACTTCAAATTCCAACGCTTGTGATTTCGATTTCAGTCGGAGCGGGACGCACAGATATGGTGTGTTGTACCTCGCCAGAGAGCGGGAACAACCAGTTGGTTACGATCCACACAATCGACAGCCACTGCAATCGTGCCCTGATCTGGAACGTGTTTGTCTTCCGCCTGGTCGAAGCAAGTATCAAATCCTTTTGCTATGCAACTCGTTGCCATCTTCAGTATTTGACTTGCATTTTCGCAGCCAATCAGAACAACCGTAGGAGTGATGAACCTTGCTGTGGACATTCCGTTCGGTGTCTCTGTAACAATCACCGCCGGAAGAATCCAAGGCGCTCCTCCCTCTAGAATTGGCCATCTCCCCTACAGCAGAGCAAAGCCCTTTCCAGATACACGTCCAGCAGCTTCGCAAAAGCTCTCTTGATATCAGGTTATTGAGGAAAGTGACGCTCCAGTGGTGACTGGCTATCCTAGCAAGCAGTGTATTTTACGCGTAATCCCGTGACGAGCCATGTTTGGGGATTTTCGGCTGTGCTGATTGGCCCAGAGCGTCCACTGTGGCACCAACGCTGGGATCCGCCACAATCAGGGAGAGAGTTTTGCGCTTTTTGCTTTTTCGCCTTCCTGGACCCTAAAATTTCCTGGACCATCCCCGGCCCTTCCTCCATCCTCTCTTTCCCCCCTCCCGCTGCCTTGACTCGCACACAAACCACACTAAAGTCTTCTCAAGCTATCTCATTGCACCACAACTTCCACGCTACTGTCGACACTACGACTTATTTCGCCTAGTCTGGCCTTTGCCTTCTTCTCGCAAACCACGAGTCCGTCTCGCCCTGGTTCTTTTGAAATTACCGCCAGGCAAAATAACTTTGGTACAAAACCCTTAGTGCGCGTGGGTCGTATCGGTGGGCCTCTGCCGCCAACAGAGTCACAAGAGAGGAAAAAAAGAATCGCAAGGGGGAGGTCCAAGCTCACATCACAGGCCTTGTCGCTCGCAAAGATCGCGCTGAGAGGCCCTTGGGTCTCTAATTCTTGCCTGGTTTTGTGGTCTCTCTTTGAAGGAGGGCTTAAAGGGCGTCGCATCGCCTGCTCCTCACGTGTTTAAGCTTCGGTCAGTTCGTCCTCTCCCGTTTTAAAATACGCATCGCGCGCCTCACAAGCTCACAATAATCGGATAGCCCGTCGACGTCTCGAGCATTTTGCTCCACACCCTTGCCTGCGACTCGAGTGGAGGAGAGTGAGACCCAACGTCGTCGAGTGGACCCCATTGCTCTATCGGATTATCAACTTCTGCCAGTAATTCACGCGCTAGGATTGACCTGGACTTGGCCCCCAATACCAAGACTCGACCCTGGCTCGACTCTTCTTCCCAGAAGTCAACGAGCTCCCTGCTCCACAGTCGCCGCGATCTGGCAGTCGGGTTCCTATTCTGACTGGGGTGAAGGACAGGGGATCACTCTGAGAACAAACGTGGGAACAAGAAGGGAGTGTTGAAAGCAACACAGGGCAGAGGGCCTCCCGTAGGGCACGTGTAATTTTACCGACGTGATTGTTGAACCCCCTTTCCCACTCATTTATACGTGTGGAGCAAGAGGGGAAAGGAGGAGAAGGGAAAAGGGAGCAAGAAAAAAAAGGGAAAAATTACGATCTCCACCCTTCCCATCGATTTCATCGTATCCGCCAGCAAACCAGAGAGTTTCTCACTCTCTGAGTTACTTTTCCCACCGGACGAGTACATCCTCTCCAAACGCCCAATACCGCTGTTATACGCATAATATTTTGGTACATTTAACTAACGACAAGCGTCCACCGAAATATTCTTTTGACGCTTCCACTATCTTTTGCTGTCCCATCTATTCCCTGCGGAACGGTTCCACCGTTGATTCAACCAGCCCATCGGCTATCCCCTTCGACGATTCCAACTCTGCAAGAGACCATTGGGTCGCGTTGGCTCGTCGGCTGGTCTTACTGCAGGTCCCACTGCAAAAACACCAATCTAAGCTTCCTAAAATTATTTCAGCTCTGCTCCCACTGGCTTGAAATTAGTTCAAAAGAGAGTTGCCACCGCTCGCACCATCATCTTTTAACCTACATCGAAAGCTCCCCGTATTTCTCCTATCTTCGTCAAACCTCGCCAATCTTGGCCTTTCCCCTCCGGGACGACCGCGTTTCGTGACCTTCAGCCAGCACAAGCCCAAAGCTTGCCGCTTGAGGAGCACGTTCTTAAGCTTCGATATCCCTACTTCGCGCGCGAGACGAGCCGTTCTCGGTTTGGACTGGTATCTTGGGGTCGAACTTATTATTTGCTCTGGTGCTCGTTAGGGTACACTAAAAAGGGGTCCAAAGAAGTGCATTCTTTTCGACCAACACAAGTTTCCACGCGATTTGTTTGGGGAAAGCCCACTGCACCAACTTGGTCGCCAAACCTTTTGAAGGCCGAGTGCGTTGTCAAACTCCCTGCTCCGTGCCCGCAGTTACCGAAAGGGAGCATCTTGGTCGACGCCTGCTTGGGAACCGGCCTTTTTCTTTCTTGACCGGCCCATTCCTTCTTCCTTCAGATTATAATATAATTCTTTCGGTTCGATCTACTGGACTGAGCGAAGCCACCCGCCGCTAAGATCTGAGGTACTTGTCGGAGGATATTCGAGGGAGCATATTAGTTTGGCCACGCGACAAGTCTATTATATGGACAGACCTGCCCCAGATTACGCGCAGTCAGGTTTGAACTCTGAACCTCCAAACTTGGCGGAACAGGACTCTGAACAGTCAGCTGCAGACCAGACTCCTGCTGCTGCCGCTGTCGCGTCTCCTCAATACAACACGTCGCAGCCAGAAAACCGGGCACCTGCTCAGTACACTGCTCCCGCTGAATCTCGAACTGCCGGCAACCTCTCCACCTCCAACACGCCGCAGCCAGACTACACCCTGAACCAGACAGCTCAGCCTCCTCCGCCGCCGGCTGCACGCCCACCTCCATACCCGGACTATCTCGCTCGACAACCGCAATACCATCACGCGCCTAATACCCAAGCCGGCGGCGCGGCAGGTATGGCTCAAGCAACAAGTCCGTCCATGAACCTGCAAGATGGGCCACAAAATGACCATCGCAATCCCACCCAAATAAAGTCTGACACGGACGTTCCTATAGATCCCTCAATCGCGGCGGCGAGCCCAACCTATCCTCCTCCATATTCCCCATACCAACCGCAAGGTCACGATATGGCTCAGTACCAAGGCCATCCACCCCCACAAATGTACGCACGCCCGGATTGGCCTCATCAATATGGCCAGCATCAGGGTCTCCCCGGACCATATAGTTCCCCGGCGACCACTGTCGGCACTGCCTCACCCGTAACTACGGCAGGGCCTCGTCCAGGACAGGTAAGCTCGATGGCGTCTACCCTCCGTGCTGCGGCCTCGATTGTTCAATGACAACTAACTTGTTGCTTATTTCAAGGTCTATTCGTTTGTGCCTATTCCCGGATCACAGCAACACAAGCGCCCGCGTCGACGATACGAAGAAATTGAACGAATGTATAAGTGTGGGTGGAATGGATGCGAAAAGGCTTATGGTACTCTTAATCATCTGAATGCGCATGTCACAATGCAGTCTCATGGCGCAAAGCGAACTCCCGACGGTATGTGCTATTCATGCTTCTTTTAGCGTTTCCATTGTTTTGAATCGCGTTAGTCGACGCGTACCAGAAATCGTGCTCGTCTGGTCTATGTTACACAGCACGGTGTTTGCGTGTGGGTTGCAGTAGCGCCAGCAACGGCGCCGAACCTTAACCGCACCTCATGCCAAGATCACTTCCCCAGTTGATGACATCTTCTCTTGCCTCTATAGACGAACGACTAATACATTCTTTTTCGATTCCCCCAGAATTCAAAGAAATTCGGAAAGAATGGAAGGCACGCAAGAAGGAGGAGGAGAACCAGCGAAAAGCTGCGGAAGAGAGAGAACGGGCTGCTGCTCAAGGAGCTGACAGCAACGCGCCCCCGGATCCGAACAACGTGACCGCCGCTCAGCAGCCTCCGCAGCCCGCACCATATCCAGCAGGCGTGCGTCCCCAACTTCCTCCAATTGGGTATCAACCTGCGGATGGCCAAGTGCCAAATCAATACGGTAACTCAACGGGGAGTGGACTCGTCTACCCCTCTGGAAACGGACAGATCCCCGCGACGTATCCTACCAACTACCCTCACTCCCCATATGGCCAGGGAAGCCAGGTCTACCAACAACCTCCACCGCCGCCTCGTGAGTAATATCACATCTCCATTCTGCTTCAGCGTCCCAGTCAAATTCAGGCCAACTGGAATGTCGGCCTTATCGCACCTCGTTTTTGGCGACAGCATCGCAAATCGTTGCTGACATCTGACGTTCACAGGCCCAGATGGCCAGTTCAGCAGCTATCAATAAAAAGTGACTGGTCCTGAACAATAGGTTTTGTCGTAATTTGACAAGCCAAATATCCCAGATTGAAGCTTTGGTGTTTTGTCCTGCTTTCCCTTGCAATTCTGCATACCATACCCTCAATTGCAGATTCCCGCTTTTGCGTCAAATTTTAATAGCCTTCTTTCTACATATTTTTCTACTATTTTATCCTGGTCAAGAGGGGGTTCCTGCCAACTTATTTCTGATACCATTCTCCATTTTTCTCTCTACGGCATTATATCTTTATCCATGTATCATCTGGTGCTGTGTGTGATTAATATTTTCCTTTCAACGTCTTCTGATAGAAAGAAGAGGATGTGTGACGAACACAAACCAAAAATCCAGGTGCTTCAAAAAAGTGGTGGAGGACTTGTAATAATGTGACGATGGACGAAGGTTTTCAACTTGGGTGGTGACGGATGTGCTTATATCTCTTTTCTACCCTTTTTCCCCGTTTTAACGGATATCAAATCGATGGCGTTTGCTCCTCCTTGTTTACGGCCGTCGGGAAAGTGTTGGTCTCCTCTACCCTTTACCCCTGCACTTGCTCCTTTTTAATCATTTATCTCGATGCCTAAATCCCCCGCTTGTTTCTCTGCTCTTCACACGTATTTCTGCGCTTTCATGTTTGCTCACCAGGATAAGCCTTGGTTGGAAATCTTTATTGTTACTACCTCAAACCGCTTACTCTATAGTGCTACCCCTTCTCAAACAATTGACAATCTCAGGCTCCTTTAACCCCGTACCTTATGGATGATATTTGTATTGTAGCTGTGACTTTTGGTAGACTATTATCTCCGTAAGGTGGGAGCATTTATCTCGACAGCTTCACATGATGCTCCGCTAAGACGCAAAGCGGTATCCAATATTGAAGTCAGACTTTGCGCTCGGTCCATAATTGATCCGAAGAGCGGTGACAACAGGCAATATAACTTTAAAAGGAAAGCTTCGGACCGCAAGCCTCTTGTCGTCTCCGTCGAATTCTGTGTTTTATGGTGCATTTGAAATGGGATAGGAGATGGCCTATTGCGCATTGTTAAAGCAACCCTTTGGTTACTAGACTGGCTGTGGCTTCACTGATGCGTAAAGCCCCCGGCCGCAACCTTTTGCGCACCGTTTTTCTCCCGCTGCTTCCCTTGCGGGCGCAGACCTAACGCGATGGCGTGCTCCAAGATAACAAATACGGCTATGGCGCTGTGCAAAGCAACGCCGACGAGCACCTTTTTCTGGCGTCCGATTATTATACCGGCCGTCATTGGCGTTAGATACAAACATGCTTATTTGAGCAAGAATAACGCCTTCATGTCAAAGGAAGCTCTCAAGAAGGAGCTGAAATGGGTCGGAAACGATCGAGTGGCGCTCATGGGCCGTATAGAGAAGATGCTTACGGGTGACGAATTTGAGAAGGCGGTGGCTTTGGTTATGGCTGCGGAGAAGGAAGGCGTGGAGTCCATTGCTTCGTGGAACGCTCTTCTAAGTGAAGAATTGAAGAAGAATGGGCCGGAGATGGGTTTCAAGTTATTCAATGACGTGAGCATCTCTGAAGACGTTGCTTAATAGTATTGCGTCCTTATACTGACCTATACATCAATGGACGTAGCTTAAGAAACGGGGGGTCAAACCAAACGCGCATACCTATTCGATGCTTTTCCGTGAGCTGGCAGACCATCCCTCGAAAAAGGCCGTACAGATCGGAATGTCTCTCTATGATACGCTAAGACGCGACTCGACCGTGCCACCTTCGATTCAGCACACCAATGCGATGCTACAGGTTTGCAGCAATCACAACAACATGGGTGCTCTGTGGGAGATTGTAGGCGAGCTTCCTACAAAAGGGCCTGGGGCACCCGACAACGTGACGTATTCCACGATCTTAGGCGCCATCCACAAGAATGCCAAGGCCGTGACTGACAAGCTGCATCCCATACGGGACGATAAGCTAATCAAGCAGAAGAAAATACCTGTGTTGCGTGAAGGAAGGTTGCTGTGGGCAGATATTGTGGCAAGGTGGCGTGAAGGTACATTGACTGTTGATCAGCGATTGGTATTTCGTATGGCCAATCTGCTTGGTTATGGAGGGCGCAGACGCGATTTCTTTGAGTTGCTGGCATTGTTTGAGCAGGCCATGAATATAAGGCGGCCCACATCTATGATGAGACTGGTACAGGCCCGCGAGAAACGCATAGAGTCTGCTAAATCTACAGGAGAAAGGAACTCTGGTTCTCGTCGCTCGGCTGAATCGCAGGAGGATGAATATGGACCTACTGCTGCTGAAGAAATATCCTCTGAAGTTTTATTCAAACCTGTCAACCTTGACGATATTCCCGTCCAAGCCACGCCAGGATTTGGGGCTCGCAAACCTCCCAAAGCCACTTATCCTTTACCGACGAACCCGGAACTCACCATAATCTTACGGGCTTGTCGGCATTTCGCTGAGGGACCTGCCATCGGCAAACAGTACTGGACCATGCTTACCGCACCTGATGGACCATTCAAAATTAACCCAGATCGCACGTCTTACCATGAATACCTGCGTACCTTACGGGCAACTCGGTCAAGCGCGCTGTCTCTCCAAGTTATCGAAAAGGAAATGATACCCAAAGGGATTGCCTTCACGAATACTTTCATTATCGCACTCAGCACCTGTTTCCGTGACAAAAACAATCCAAATGTTCTCGAAACAGCCGGAGCTTTAATAGACCTCATGCCTACAACATGGGCCGGTTCCCATCCCAAGCCTCTTTCTGCCTATATCGACCTTGTTCGAAACGCGGTTTTGCCGCGAAAAATCTACGCAGATACCAGGATCGATAGCCCATTCCCGGAACGGGATCCAAACGTGCTTTACAAGAATAGACTCCTCGACGGCATCAATCATCTGACGCCCCACATTAAGAAGCTTCAACAATTCATACGCAGCCGGAATCGCAGGGATGCTGTGGACGCAAAAACGTACGGCGACAGGGAGGAGACTCTGGAGCATGGTGCTTCTTCTCCGGCTGCTCTAGCGGATGAATCCCATCTCATCCTGAAGCGAATCGCCGGCATGGTTAAAGATCTCCTGGACCCGTCGATAGCGCCTTCGTTGAGTGACGACGAGACCAAGCAATTGAGCGTGCAGGCGAGTAGGCTTCAACGGATTTTGAACCCCGGGCCTCCCTTGCCGCCTTGAACCTGATTTTTGGCAGTCGTCCTCGTTAGAGACGGTTGTGACTTGATGCAATACATCCTGAGTCCTCAACCCTTTTTGTGGATCTACACCCAAAGGTGTAGACGTCATTCTGATGATCTTATATCCCTATTTTGATACCTGTTCTGTGCTTTATATTCAAAGCAATGTTACCGAATCGCAGCTTCATACCTATGTATAAGTACCGTTTACGATGTTAATCCTTTGTTTACTTTTGTGGTCTCCTTGGGATCTCCTCAGCCAGGCGCAGAGATACATTTCACGGCAGTTTTCTATATATTCTTAGATTGGGAGTACTGGAAATGCTTTTGGACTTTACGAGGTGCACGTTGGACTACCAACTGATTTTACTGCTAATTTTTGTACATGACCCTTCCGTGCCCTTACCCTCGCATTTATGCGTGTATAGGACGTACCGTAGAAGGAGTATTATCGATTTACATTAGCCAAACCAAACGGCTTTCAATTTCAAGAGTCTATAACTGACTAACTAACCCATAGACGAACAACAGTCTGAAAATCCAGATCCATACGGTAACGAGCCTTTCCGCCGTCAATCAACAATGATCCTGTCAGCCACCAGTTTCGGAACCACCTTCTCCTCCACCCACTCCGTACACTTGAAATACGGCTTTCTCTCCTCCCCAGGCGCATAAAACCTCCACTTCATCCCACCCCGAACCTCCCCCTCCCCCTCCTCAAACACAACACCTTCATACCTCATCGTCTGCGCGTTGAACTTCTTCTGACACCAAGGCGGCTTGATCGACTGACACACCCCGTCCACATTCTCCGGATACTCGTCCGCCGGCACCCGGCCTAACAGCTCCTTGGCGTAAAACGCCTCACCATATGCGGGCGAACGGTGCACGGGCTTGTGGACGTACACCATGCCCGTGGAGGTGGATATGTCGCCGGTGACTTCGTGTGTCCACCCGACGACGTGCTGGGGATCATTGTTGTTGTCCGTGAGATCCTCCTCCTTTTGTACAAAGAGGTATGTATGGTATCTGGTCTTTTTTTCTTCGGGGTCAGGCATGGTCAAATGGTCTTTGATTTTCCAGACAGTGTAGAATTGGCGTGTGTCATTCGGCATGGTTGATGCGGACTTCGACTAGGTGCTCTCTAGAAAGAGTCTCTCAAAGCAAAAAAACACAATGTGCTGACTTGATTATCAAGGTTTGCCTGGTATCTGTCTCGTTCGTGTCAACAATCGGTATGAGATCGAGTATAGACCAGGCTGGTGTAAATTGACCATTTGAAGAGAAATTTATACATAACTGCAATACTTCATGTTAAAAGAGGGGATGGCTCAAAGGTCCCTGCATAGCCACTAGACTGGAAAAGGAACAGAACAAGCAACCATCCGTTGCAGTGAAAAGCATTAATTTTCTAAGGTAATTAACATACAGGTATCAAAGAAGACCAGTAACCACTGGGATGTACGAATTAGCAAAAGGCAATTTGGCGTCAGGGCGACTCCTGATTTTACCACCGTCCCATACATAGCCCAGGATAATCTCCAATAAGCATATCAAAGAGAATACTACAAATTCTTTTTTTCGTTTGACGCGAACGGACTCTTCATATGGTGTGGGGAAGAGAAACTAGATTCGGGTGGGCATGTTCGAAAGTATTAACAGATCGGGCTCTACCGGTGTTAGTTCCTCTAGAGGATAAAAAATATCCAGATGCGTGATAATGCCGAAACGCGAAACATAATCTAGGAAATTGAAACGCCGTGTCGAGCCGTGACAGTCTATAAGTATCAAGGGAATAGAACTCGGATGTGGATTACTTGTTGAGGATAGCGAAAAATATCGAGAAGTCGATATGGATTTATGTTTGTTTTTTTTTACCAGCGGCGATTGTGGCCAAGAGGAGCGGCATTAGACGCAGTGAAGCCTCCGCGACCGCGCCCACGACCGCCCCAGCGGCCACCTCCACCGCCGCCGCCGCCAAAGCGGGCCATTTCGGCGAGGCGAGGATCAATCTGCTGCTTGGACTCAGTGAGAATATTAACCAAATCACGAGCCTGCTTAGCATCTATTGCAACTGTTAGTACTTCTTAGTATTTCAATGAAACGAGAATGAACGTACTGTCAGTGGTGAAGAGCGTAATGGCCGTTCCATTGGCACCGGCACGGCCAGTACGACCAATCCGATGAACATAATCTTCCGAGTTGTTCGGATAGTCATAATTCAAGACATGAGTAATGTCGCGCACATCTTCATATAGCTTGGTGGTTAGCAAACATAGAGCCAGATTTTATCATAATACGACTGGAGCCCTTTCTCAGTCGTGTGGACTTATGCGCTACTCTCTCGGACTAATTTCAGCATCATTCACTGTTTTAGAGTCCATGGGCTGGCACTTGAACCTGGTGCAGGCAAAACCTTGAAAATGCAGTCTGTAAGCTCAATGTAGAACTCTGGCCCCTCTACGGTCGACAATGCGTATGATGTAGAGAGGCACAATTAGAAGCACGGTATGCTAGGCTGCACCGCAAGTCCATGGTTCACATCTGGGCGAGAACCAACCAGAGACCCTGAGACATTGAAAGAAAACATGTTTACCCAACATGTTATCAAGAGAGCAAAGCATTCGGTCATGATCACACGACATCAATATGGGTGAGGGGTAATGATGAAGGGGTTGGGAAAGGGGGGGACTTCAAGTTGATCATACCAATACCACGGGAGGCCACATCAGTGGCTACCATGATGGGGCTTTTGCCAGTTTTGAATTCATTTAGAACCCAGTCACGTTCGTTTTGCTGCTTGTCACCGTGGATAGCTATATACAACCAGTCAGTAAAACGATTCAAGTCTAAAGCAAAGATCCTTTTCAACTTACACAGTGCTGGCCATCCGTCTTGGCGGAGGAATCGAGTGATTTCATCTGCTACACGCTTTGTTCCTGTGAAAATGAGGATTTTCGATTTCTTGTCATCCATGATGCGTTCCATATGTTGAATCATCCGATCGCGTTTCTCGAAATCTGAAACGATTTCAACGATTTGCGTGATCCTATGGTTAGCGGACAAATCCTGCGATCCGATGTATACTTGGATATAGTCATGGAGGAAGTCATGGGCAAGTTGTCGCACTTCCTTGGGCCAGGTAGCCGACCACATGCAGGTTTGTCGATCGGGGCGAATCTGTCCAATGATTTTTCGAATTTGAGGCTCAAATCCCATGTCAAGCATACGATCTGCCTCATCGAGAACAAGATAAGTAACACGGCGAAGATTTGTTTTGCCAGCCTCAAGCATATCGATCAGACGGCCGGGAGTGGCAATGCAGACTTCGACGCCACGAGCAAGATCACGGATCTGGGGTCCTCTGGGTACACCGCCGTAGACACACGTGTTTCGAATACGTGACGACTTTCCGAATTTTGTGATTTCGGTCTGGATTTGAACAGCCAACTCACGAGTCGGTGCCAAAACAAGCACAATGGGTCCATCGCCAGGCGCGAGAAGTGGCTGCGCATTGATATGAACAATTGCGGGCAAGCAATATGTTAATGTTTTACCTGAACCGGTCTCGGCAATACCAACGACGTCGCGACCAGATAAAGCCATAGGCCAGCCCTGCGACTGGATGGGTGTCGGCTTCGCAAATCCTTGAGCCTTCACTTCAGAGATGACGTATTGTGGGAAGCCAGCCTCATCGAAGCTTTCAACGGGACGGGGAACATTTTTGCCATAGACGGTCATTTCGTGTGTTTTCCGAAACGCGTCCACTTCTTGTGTAGAGCGATTGGTCACGATGGGGTTTTCCTTGTAAAAATGCTTCTCGAATTTGGGCAAGGAGCTGAGATCTGGAAACAAGCCGTTAGATATAAACATGAATGCAATCAAATAACCGACACTTACCCCATTCTTGTTGCTTCAGGCCTGACCCGAGATTGGTCATCTTGTCACCATGGCCACCTGCATGGCCGCCTCCAAAGGATCCGCCTCCGTTGCCATACGAGTTATTACCATACGATCCATAACTGTTGGAGTGGCCGTTAGAATATCCATTGCTACCTCCACCATGCCCACCGCGGCCACCGCCTCTGTAACTGCTATTGTCGTCGTCAGTATAAGTTAAGGGAGAGACAGGATGTCTTTCTGGATACAGCTCTGTACCAGCGCGCGAATGATCACGCGAAATGAACTCACCTTCCGCCAGAATGATGGCCGTACTGCTCGCGAGACGAGGAATAACCGCCTCCATAAGACATTTTCTTGAACTTTTGTGGGGTGTTGAGCAAAGCGACGGGAATGATCTCGATAAACAAAAGAGATGGACTCTATTACGTGTACAAGGATGATAAGAAGTAGAGAAAATGAAATCAAGTACGAAAGAGAGAACGTGTTGAGGTGTTGATGGAAGGGAGAGAAAGGAAGAAAAGTTGTTGATTTAAGAATGTTCGGGCAAGGGAGGAAAACTTAAAACAGGAAGGCGGTAAAGAAAACTTCAGGAAACGGCTTAGCGCCACCCTGTAACACGCTAGCCCAATACGGAATAGCCATCTTGCCACGCTTAGTAATATCCAAGCCATATGTTTTCTCTACGACGAACGAACGACGCTTTACTCTGCCGTCAGTCCCATCTCCCAAAAACCAATCTCCAACTCCGTGGCTCTTTTGAAAATCTGTACCAGTTCTTCCATGCGGGTTCGGGACACGTGCCTCATGTGGGTTTCAAGCAGCTCTGGTCGATCGTTAGAGGTGCTATTTGATCTCGAGGTTTTATCGCTACTTACGCGAGCCCAGTCTTACAGCCTCAGAGTAGTCTTCTGCGACATAATTTTCGATCCACTTCCAGTATTTGTTGCTGGTGCGAACGCTCTTTTCGTCGCAGTGCAAGCGTTTGGCGATAGCGCCATATCCAATGAGACAGGGTGAGAGAGCGACTTGTAGCGCAAGCCAGTCCTCCGACTGACCTACATCAAGGATGTATCTGCTATAGGCAGTACACGCTTTTGTAGCAAAGCATGATTGGTTAGCCCGGACCCTTGGACGATAGGCATTCATACATACCTTGGCTCTCTCGATAGCATTCAATTTCCGCTTTAGGTAGGCCGAATGACGCGCAATAATCTAGATGCAGGGCCATTTCGCGCTCAATGTGAAGAACGATTTTGGAAGACTATATATTATTTCGTCAGAGGCCGTAGCTTGAGGCTGATGGTTGGGAGGAGAATTCTCACTGCGGCGATGCCCTCCATGGTCTTATTTTTATAAGCTGCCAGTGCATTACTCCGTGCAAAATGGACCTTGGTTTCACGGTTAATCCACCAAACTTTCAGAGGGCACTTCAGCAAATTACTTACAAGATAAAGATAATCTTGTATCAGATAGTATTTGAACTTTTCAATCGGAAGGGTAGCATCAGCCAGCCGAGCCACGAACTCATGTTTCGTAAAGGCATTCCATAACGGTTGGACGTCAGGCCGCTCTAGAACGTAATCGAGGAAGTGGCCCCTGATTTTTGTCAGCCTCAAGAAACCATAAAGAATCTATTGTATTAGTGCATACGGTGCAAAGGGCAGGGAATAAACCGAATGAAAATGGTTGATAGGCCCATGTCCCCTGCCCAGGTCGAAACTTGTTTTGATGCCCGCCTCGACAAACCGACAAGCCTCCCTAACAGCCCGTACGGTTTCCATGCCATTTGCAAGATTGGCAGCAATCGCAGACGCGAGAGAGCAACCGGTGCCATGGGTGTTTTTGGACCGAGAAAATTCAGTCTCAACCAACGTTGTGGAGTTCCCGTTGTATAAGACATCGACTACGAGGGATGCATCCTCGATATTTTCCGACTTTTGACGAGCTGCCGTCAGAGGCAGGTGTCCACCCTTGAGAAGGACGTACTTTGGGCCTAACTCATGCAACTGCTTGGCCAACTGAATTGCATCATCAAGACTTCCAGGGTCCTTTATGTCGACACCGGAATTGCGAAGAAGCAACGCTCCCTCCAGAATATTAGGCGTCAAAATTGTAGTGATGGGTAGTAGCTTTGTGCGGAGTGCGCTCACTGCTTCGGACGGGAGAAGCTGGGAGCCACTAGTAGATATCATAACCTTCACAAAGAAAAGTTAGAATAAAGCCCTTGGTCAAACAGGGTAACCGGGGGCCACAAATACAGGATCCAGAACGACCGCAGGCACATTGTGCTGGCGCAAGGTGTCGGATACCATTGCGACCGTTTCCGTCGACGCCAACATACCTTTCACCAATATTAGCAATGACTGTGAGCTAAGCGGATATCGCCTTTGCGTATAGGGAAAGAAAAATTCACTCACCAATCTTTACAACATCTGCTCCAACATCTTCTAATCCGGCGTTGATCTGCTTGCGCACGAACTCGGTTGGAACAACATGGATATCTTGAACTCCCAAGGTATTTTGGGCCGTCAAAGCCGTCGTGGCTGTCAAGGCATAGCATCTATGCGCAGCAAGCACCCTTTGATCCGCCTCGAGTCCCCTATCAGAATAACGTCAATCGAGGATTGCCCTGGTTGATCTTAAATTGATAACAAGGTACGCACGCCCCGCCAGAGCTATCAGAACCCGCAATCACAAGAACGCGCCCGAGTTTCGCCATCCTAAAGATCTATCTCTGTCGCGAATTTGCCGACTGCTGTCTGAATATAAAGCACGGTTCTGTGGACAGTTTGACGTCGAGGTTGGGAATTCGAAGCCAGGCCCCACACAGAAGTCAACTCCCGGCTTAACTTTTGCACGATATTCCCTTCCTCTAGCACTTTGCCTACACAAGGCACGATGTCACTTAGTATGTCTATGTACCAGAATGGTAATTATCCTGCTGATTCTACGGGTCTTAGTTTACAGTATGCGGAGAAAGCTGTTCTTCTTGAGCACCCTGGCGATTCTAAGAGCTATCAGATTCATTCGCTGCTACAAAAAGGGGTAACATGCTAGACACTACATATGAATGTTCCTTTTTGCACCTGAGTCCAGGAGGGATTCTAAAGACGCTTGAAATGAGTTGGATTTACCCTAAGAATATGTCTGATAAAATCTATACCCACATGTTCACTACATTAAGATATCCAGAGTGAAACACCATTGTTCAGAACTCCATACCTGTGTCTTCAACTGCTTGGCTAGCCGTAACTGGACACAAACTGCTCTCATCGGATGTGTCACTCATATCGCCTCGAAACCGTTTTATCAGGGCCCGATTTCCAGTCAACAGCGCCAGCCCTTCTGGAGTTTGGCCTTCGTTATCCTCAATATCAGTGAGAGCTCCAGACTCAAGAAGCATTTTCACAATATCTTCATTGACTGCCCCGGACGACAATGCAAGATGCAGTCGTGTTCTGCCATGAGAATCCTTTGCATTAATATCGACGCCCCATTGAAGTAAAGTATCAATTTCTTGACTCCAATCTGCAACATGCAACGGCGTGTTCCCGCTGGAATCTCTGACCTCACCGTCTGCGCCGTTTTCAAGAAGTTGATCCAGTATATGCGGTAGCCTCTCTTTAACGGCGACATGCAAAGGTGCATTTCCATCGTTATCCAGGATATTGCAGTTTGTGCCGCTTCTAATCAAGACGGCAAGCATGCGCCTATCTTCCTTCAGCACTGCAAGATGGACTGGAGTTCGTCCGTAGGAATCTTGTGCGTCGGCATCCGCGCCATTGTCGAGCAACCAATATATCAAGTCTTGTCGGGCCGCTTCTATTTCGCAGTCTTCCGGCTTATCCTCGCAATACACGGCTCTATTGCAATAATTAATTTTCACATAAGGCTTCATGCCGTGACTTGCAATATGCAGGGGCGTTATCCCATTGGCATCGGCCAACGAAAATTCGGCTCGCCTCTTCACGAGCATCTTCCTTATTTCCTCATTTGGCTTTGATGCAAGGATGTGCATGGCTGTCTGGCCATCAGGTTGCCTAAAATTGGGGTTGGCGCCCGCATCCAACAGTGTTTTCACAACCTGCTCATGTTGCTGCGCAATTGCTAAATATAACGGTGTTTCCGCGGAGTCCGTCAGCGCGTCAACCTCGGCGCCTTTTTCAATGAGCATCTTCGCTATAACATGGAGGCTTTTCTTTCGTTTCGCTGAACTATGCGCAACTGCGTGAAGTGGCGTCCAGCCATTAGTCCCACCGACTCGAACATTGGCTCCGGCTTGAATGAGAGCACAAGCTCCGCTACAATTTCCATTCTCGGCTGCTATAAACAACGCCGTCTGCCCAGATGGTGCGTCATCGATGTCTGCTCCCTTTAGAGCTAGTAATCTGATCGAGCCTGCTCTGCAACGACGAGCAGCGAGGACCATCGCGCTGTCCGGAATCGTGGCACCATTGTCCAGTAATACCTTGATCGAGCCTTCATCACCACGCCAGAGAGCTTCTTTTAACGCAGACCGAGTGGCGTTAATATCAACGCCATAATCGATTAGGAGCTACATGACTCGAAAATGTTCTTGTAGTCTATGACTTGGGTTCGGCCCCCGTTTCAAAAGATTTTTCCCTCTCGGCCCGGATTTCTGGTTAAGCCAGGGCCTCTGTAGCACCGCTTTATATAGCAATGTTCTTTTATCCCGCAGCTCCGGTTCATATATTTTATGAACATCTGCCCCGGCCTCTAACGCGAGGCGGGCAGTATCTGCTCTGGAATGGCTAATTGCCCAGTCCAAGGCATCATCCGCAAATCCCGGGCTATGATATAAAACCCAGTTCAATACACGATATAGACGTTGGCAGCTCCGAACAAGTCTTGCAACATCCCCGACCGATTCTATCATTTCAGCCACAAGGAGTAGAAGTTCATTTGGCAGAGCTAACAAGCTTGCTCTGCTCAAATTGAAGGCTCGATTTTGATTGTTGTCCATGTAGATTGGCGGCGATATCCTCGGCGCGTTTTGCAAGTATAGTAAAGAGCACATCGGAATCTCGTATAGGTCTTCCGTACGGTTTTGTCTGGCTTGAATGAGCTTTAATGTTATTCCTCTATCACTATATTTCATGAGCTTGTAGTGTGACAGGATGTCAGTGTCTTATAACATGGAATAGGTTCAAGCCTTGTCAGCAATGTCCATATATATCAAAATACCCTATAACGTGGTCAACATAGTTGGTCCCCTGATTTTATAGTGTATATCGAGGGAGAGGACTTACCTATTCAGCCATTCACAGTCTCAAGGTAACATACATGCCAGTAACAAGGAATCCAGTCCAGGATAAAATTCACCAAAAGATCGTTATCATTGAAATATATGTGGTACCAATACCCAATACGCCAAATTACTTCATAGCAAACCCAAAAATAACATCCATCTCAACCCATTGTCGTCCACATTTCTTCAGATACCCGTCAACAACGCCTCTGATTGTCCCAAACCTCGCACGATTCCACTCCGCAAGTGCCAATAGTTTGTCTTTTGTTTCACCGGCGGCTTCCTTCTCAGCGATGGCCTTTACTTTATCCACATCCCACAATGACGAAAAGTATAACATTTGGTTATATAGCTGCTTCTCTGTATATTCATAGGACATACGACCTAGGCAGCCTTCAGCTCGTCCTCGGGGCCCTAAACAGCGGTGACCATAGACACTCATCTGCCTAGTTCTATTGTGACACGCAGGATCGTCACAGACAAGCCAGCCTTCGTAGTACTTGGTTGTCTGGGCCCGAATTTGATTCTCAAGCTGTGCCACAATGGAGATAACAGAAAACGGTTTTTTGCAGTTTGTATTTGGACACACAAGGCCGTTTGGAGTACACGCGTTCGATGAAACGCTAAGGCCTTCAAAGATCGTCCGTTCACGACAAGTGCGGCAGCGAAGTGTGAATCGAGCAGCTTTTTCGAAGCGGAGTGCATCAGGGATTTGAGATTCAAGAGGGCATAATTCTAGGCTTTGCTGGTTGTGGGTGCTGGAAGTGTTGATTTGATACTTCTTAACATCCAAACCTAAGCATTCGGCTAGTTGGACAGCGTCTGTGCCAGGAATCGGAGCACAGAGACGTTCGATGGGAGGGAATATTTGTTTGAGGAGGTAGAATTCTATATCTGGCTTCAACCCGGAGTCTTGTTTCATAACATCCTGTAGCGTATAAGAGCGCTTGGCTGGGGGTAACGACGCGGTTTCGGTGTCTCCCGAGGTTACAATATAGGAGATAACGTCGTTTGGGCGAATGGTTTTTCCTCTAGCTAATTCTCGTAGAGCTACCTGAGCAGGAGGCATAGTCTCCTTATTGGGATATTCATCCGGTCGCTTCGACAGTTTCTGAAAGATATATTAGTAACCTGTAACGTCTTAAAAGATAGGTCAAAAATTCTTACCGTGAAAATCACGTATTTCTGCACCGGAATTGTGAATTCCTTCATTTTCTGGGCGAGGTCTCTCAGGTAGTCGTAAACTTTGCCCAGAACCACTTCGGTATCTTCCCCAGAAAGGATTTCGGTAAGGAGTTTTGAAGAAACCTCTTTAGACAGGGCGCAGTATTCTCTTCTCTTCATATCTAAACCTTTAACTTCAAGGTGATCAACGTATTTACCGTCCACCTCCGTCATATTGATTGCAGCATACTTCTTCTTCGCATGTAACAATAACCGACGAAAAACATTGTCAATATCGATCTCAAGCAATTTGTAGCTGTCGTTAACAAGTCTCTTGAAGTCTCTACCAACTTTTAGAGCTTCTTCGACATTATCCGCGTTGGTGTTGATCATGACGGAGTCAGTGTCACCGTAAATAACGCGAAGTTGATTCTTTTCAGCCAGTTCTTTGGTATTCAACAGAATCTCACGACCTTTGAAGGTTGTGAGCATAGCAAGCGGTCGAGCATAGAACCTAGACTGTGTATATCCTAGGCACCCGTACATGGAATTAGCAGTGAGCTTCAGCGCTAATTGTTTCGTATCCCATAGAGCTAGCTCCTCGGGAGTTGCACGTTTATTTTTCATTAATTTTTTCACCTCCCTTCTTCGACTGACAAGTGTAGAGATCAATCGCGGTAATATACCCTGAGCCTGATCAGTTGGGACGCGAGGAACCTTCTCCTCATTTTCATTTTCAGACTAAAGCAGTCGTTAGCGACGTATTCAAGTGGTGAGAATGCTTTACTTACTACTAGCTCTCGATTCACCGTAGTGAAACAAATGTTGTACTCTTGAATAATACTTGGGTACAAACTGTTAAAGTCCATGACAAGTACGTATTTGTCGTACAAACCCTTCTCTGGTTCAAAGACAAGGCCGCCCTTGTATTTGTCTTTCTTCTTTTTGTCAGCTCCGTCGTCATCACCTTCATGCTCTTCCATCTTCGGCTGTGACTTCCCAGAGTATTTGTCCGGACAAATGTACTTATTTCGATAAAATTCATGTAACAGAATGTATTCATTCCGTTCAGCTCTTGTGCCGGTAAGAGTCCTGGCCCATGAATTGCCAGCGAGATTGGTAAGAACCTTGGTCAGGGGAAGCATCTGAAGCTTCAAGACGAGCGCAGCAATGAAATAGGTATCAGCTTCGCAGTGGCTAACATAATTCATCAACCCTTCCTTGGTGACAGCCCAAGTTTTGAGTGCAGATTCATTGTCAATTTCTCGCCGTAGGTTGTCGTCTCCGAGGTATAATTGACACATTTCTGTGAGACTCCACGATTGACACTTCGTCATCAACGACTAGGCAAGTCATTAGTGGTGACTCTAGTGAAAAATCTAGAGTAAACTCACCTTTCCCATGTCATTTCCGACATCGCATATAAGGCGTCCAGCTACCAACTGTCTTTCCCCAAAGAAACCTGCTCCTCGAAAATTCTTCGGCCATTCGCTTCTTTTCATTCGGCCAATTCGGTGCCAGCCCGGGGTTTTCTTTTCCTTTAGTCTGTTTATCAGGATTGTCAAGTCTACTTCTTGAAGCTGGTGGCCCATCACGACATCAGGATCCATTTTTTCGAATAAAGCCAAGAATTTGCTCAGGAGAAACTGTTCGCTCTTTTCTAGCATAAATGTGCCACGGTGTTTTCGGGTTTCAGCCTCAAATCCAATAGGATATGTAGAACCTGACGGTCTCATAACCGTGAACGTCTTGCATGGAAGCTTTTCAGGGGGCGTAGTGTCCGTCAAAGAAACATTCTCGTAAACCCTCGCACTCGCAACCAAAATCTCTTGCTTGTTCTCTTTAACGTTGAGCTGCGTACGTAGCGCCAGACTCATCAACGTGAATGTAGGGTGGTCCAAATTTTCGGAATCTGAAATCGAAGATATGAGCTCCGGGTCCGAAACCTGACATTCAAGTTTACACCAAGAGGCACCATTGATAGCTGTAAAATCTGCGTCTTCGATTTTAAGCCAACAGGGGCCCATGATGTTCTTCCAGAGCACGAATTGCTCAAAAAGAGAAGTATTTGTACCGAAAACATGGGAGAACGTCTCGCCTTGAACGTCAATCGGCAATGCTGGTTTTGCGTAAGAGTACATAAGCTTGAGATATTTCGCTTCCTTGGGAATATCCGGGAGCTCGAAAGCATACTTTCTTTCGCAGGGTTTGATTTTATGCGTGCCAACTCTCAGCTTGGTCATAAGCCGGTCAACTTCTTGATAGACGTTCTCAATATCAGCTTCTTCATCTGTATTCTGCCCGTCGTGCTTACGGGGCAGAAAGTATAGCTTCCGTAAGATATTGTCGACCTTGACAAAAGCGCTGACATATTTGCCAGTTCTTTTGTTTTTGACTTTACCAAATAGGCAGAGGGCCCCGTTAACTTCGGTATAATCAAACCAAAACAAGCGTAAGCTTCCATCCGCCTCTACAGCGTCTTCAGCTCGTAGCTTGCCAAAAGCGTGGGTCTCTTGAGGCGGGCTACTCAAGACGTTGAGTCTCTTCGTTACATCCGTCCATGACGAAGGATCTATTGCATCTGAATTGGCCCTTACAGGAGACGACGAGGTAGGGGAGGGATAAGCAGTATCTTTCACTTTTGGTTGGGGAGGAGGTCGTTTTCCAGTCATATTGACTCTGGCTGCATTGGCTTCGTTGTGTCCGGTTGCTTCGGCAACAGTCATAAACTCCTCGTCATCCATATCGTCCATGCTTTCATCCTCCTGTTTCACGGATGAGGCCTTTCTCCGTTCCACTGCTTTTGCGACCGGGGAGGATGGCAAAGGATCACTCATGGGCCCATCGTCGTCACCGCCCATGGGAAGGTATCCCGCATCGTCATCGAAATCGATATCAGATTTCGGCTCCGTATCAATTTTGGCGGGGATGACGGTCTTTTGTTCCTTCGGCTTTATCGGAGTGGATTCCTGAGACCGAGGAGGTGAGATAATGCGGACTTTCCGTCGAGTCTCCGATTTCACGGGCTTTTTGACGGGTAGGCGAGACGACGCAACATTCGTATCCATTTCTTCTAGTAGACCTGCCATAAACGCTTCATCTTCAGCGGTGGCATTGCGCTGTGTCCTGTCAGTACGTTGTGGCCCTCCTTCAAACCGAATAGACGCGACAAACCTTTGGTTTTGTAGCATTCGGGGCAGCAAAAGCGTTGCTGAAATATTTGTTGATTCCATTGTTTATCTTCTCTTTTCGATGTTTGTCCTCTTCTCGCTTGCGTTTAGCCGCCTTGCCTCTCAAGGCCGGTTCATCGCTCTCGCTCCCGCTGTCCGCTTGCCGTGTGTCCCATTCTTCACGGCCGTCGTCCGCGTAACCCTCGCCATTATCGTCAACGACAAAGTCGTCGCGGTCGAGCCGTTGCCTAACAACCTTCTTGTATCCCTCCTCGTCGACTTCTTCGTAAATGTCACCTTCTTCTTCAACTTCATAGGTTGCGAGTCGCTTTTTGCCCGATGCACGTAGAGCACGCAGTTCAGCCAACTTTGCGCGTGCAGCTGCCATTGTGAACGATAGGTTCGATTATCTTATGACATATAATCAGCTATGGCACTGAATACACGTGAAAAAGCATAGGAATGATTATAATTAAGTGTTTGATAGGACTATATTTGAGAGATGTTGGGGATTTAGAAATGGGAAATTGGTGGTGGTGACGCGATTCGCGTTGCACCCAAAACGCGCTAGCTTTCCACGCGTTTTGAATTGAACACCACCTTAATAGAGTCCAATAGTCCAGACTCCATAGGCCGGTCGGCGAAACGCAACAAAAATCCGTGTCACTCCCGGTTTACTCACTACGCTAAGAATTCGTGGCATTCGAATCACTTCATTGAAGAACGACAACAGGGATGTTTTGGGGGCCTGAGAGGCACACCTTACGTGAACAAACCCATCTTGATGGCAACGAGGGGTACGGAGTAATGTGCTGTACTTTCAAGAGACGGATTGACAAGGACGACTTCTTTTATTTCGTGCATGCGCCGGCTACTCGACAAATCAATGAATATCCTTGACCAAATAACCCTTCAACATGAATACATTTTCTAGTTCATTTGTTTAATAAGAGCATTAATGTTTTCCTCGCGGTTACCAGTGTCACCACCCTCGATGAAGTGCTTGAATTTGCGAGCGCGGAAGCCACCAGTTGGGTTGGAAAGCTTGAATGGCCACAAAAAGTTGCTAGCCTGCTTGAAGTTGGGTCCGACGGTGTAAATTTCGTGGATCAAATCTTCCATACAGACAATGCCGTACTTGCCAAGGTTGTCTTCGATGATCTGGTTGTCAGTGAGAGCAACACGCTGCTTATCGACCTTGCCGTATCCACGCTTGTAGATGAGTTCGCGGACAGTCTTCAAGTTGGGATAGCCATAGGCGATGTAGGGGTTGACGATAGTAAGCATCTCAGCGGTAGCCTTAGTGAGGCGGACGAAGACACCATTGTTGATCTGGAGAAGACGGAGGAGCTGGAGAATCTTGCGTGGCTTGGGAGCAATCTTATTGATACTAGACAGAGGGTTAGAAGAGCGCATTTCCATCACACGGCAACAACAGAATTGCTTACCCCTTGATACGAACAACGAAGACAAGCTTAGGCTCATCAGGGACATAGAAGGAGCCCTGTTGTTTGCTCAAACGAGCGAGACGGATCTTCTCACGCTCAGCGTCACGGTATTCCTTGACATAAGATTCGGCGCGCTTGAAGATGACGCCGCGCTTCTCCTTGTTGGCCTAAATTATCATTCAAGTCAGATTCAAATTTTCGAGTGAAAGTTTCGTGAAATAACAGAACAAGAATATAGTGTCAGCCCCGAAAGATGGTTAACAAAGCGACAGCATTGACCATTGGTCTAGTCGCGAGGTTGGTAATTGTCATCATAAACATAGTGGAATCGAAATAGTCAGCTAAGAAAATATGCCCACCAACCTTCTTTCTCTTCTCGAGCTCGGCAGCACGAGCAGCTCTAGCCTGCTCCTGGCTCTTTCTCTTTTTAAGAAGAGTTTCAGGAACGAGGATCTGGTCCTTCGTTGGAACGGAGCTACAGATTCGGCATGCGGGTCAGCATAGTCTACCCAGGAATAACAAAAGTCTCGCCGAGTGGAAGAACTGCAGCTAATAGTGCCACATTCTCAAACTGAAGGCTTTGTAGAAACTCGACGGAATGAATTTCATCAGTGAAGCTGATTACATGAGTTTAGACACTTTCCGGTTCAAACCCGAAACCACAACTGTTGAACCAGAGAGAGAAAAACTCATGAATCGGATACCTCAACTGACAATGCCCCAAACTAAAATCGCTCAGGAAGACGATGTTGGTCTATTTTCGCCCTTGTGTCTCACAGGAAAATTTTTCCGTGTGGTCAACGGTGCGATTAGAAACAACAATGATTTTCAAGGAGAAAGCTCGCGCCTTCAACCTCAAAGCCCAAACACGTTCTCCTATTATTTGCTCCGCTGACGTTCAACTTTGAGCGTAGATTTCGTAGGAGAAGAAGTGTGCGTCTGGATTAATCGAGCTGGTGCATTGCTCAGACCTTAGCAAGAAGATCGAGCAGCATCTCCAGCGAGAAGGACGGACTATAGCTGAGCCTGCGCACACGGAGTAATCAGCAGAATGGTGCAAAGGAAAGATAAACCATACGTAGAAGCGGCCATGTCGAATGCTGCGAGGTGTTGTCGACGCGTTGGCTGGTTGTCTGGCGGACCGAGAGAAATGGGCGGGAGTTCAAAAGTTCAGAATCTCGAGAATCAAAGGTTGCGGGTTTGTGTGGAAGCGTCCATTCCGCTAGCAGCGCCAAGATGCCGCGACGCCTTTCCACTTCTGGATGTTAGGGCTATTTTATTCTACGATCGGAAAAACATTCTTCCAACTTTGGGTCAAAATGGATGCAAACTACAACGATCATAAGCAAAGGGAGTTGTTCTCATTAAATCTCGAATACATGCAATGACCATACATGGACGGCAAGTTAATTGGTTTCTCATCTTTGATGGACTCATAAAACCATTAACCAACTAACTTAGTAAAGGAATCTTCAGTTCATTCATGATTCATCATGGCAGGGTTATTTTGCTATGACATATCGAACAATAGCATAGGCGACTCATGGCATCATGGTGCATCCGTTTCATGTCGCGGATCTGCGCCTTTGCAGAATCGATCATCTCCGACATAAGTACCTGGTGTGGATTGCATAGCAGATGCGGCTCACAAAATTTGGAACTGAGTTTCCGTGTACGATTTATCGACGACGAAGAAGTACGTCGTTTAGGCCGACATTCTCGTCCAGATTGTTGATTCTTGGTTGGTTCTGCCTTCGCACGGGCTTTGGATGATGCGGATGTCCCCGTCTTAGTTTGATCGTTGCGCGGAGAATTGCATGGAGAGTTGCGAGACTTGCGGGAAGACTTGCCCTTCAAGACTGGGAAGATTGTATCGTTGATGTATTGGCTGGAAACTCCGCGCGCCAGGGCATCTGTGGCTCCTCGCCTTAGCCGTTCGACGTACTCCTCTCGAGGGTTGGAGTCAAGAGTATAGCGCGGGCTAAGGTACACCAAGGCCTTGACTCGTCGTTTCTTTTCACCATTGCCATTTCCATGTTGTTTCCTTGAGCCGTTATCTGGCAAATATAGATCAATCTCAAGCATATGCTTCTCATACGCTATCGGCACGCCTTCATTCTTATCTAGGCGCGGTTCATCCAGCTCGTCCAAGTTGTAACAGAGCCCTTCCACTACATTCCCCGGCGATGGGACGACGTTGGCGTATCCGCGCTCGTTGATTTGCCAACGATAGCCCTGAAGCCGCCCTCTGCCGAGAAATGTGCTCCATGGGCATCTTTCGGCCATTTGCTGCAGGCTAAGATTACTCCCAAACGCGAAGTAAACACGGGGCTCATTCTTTGTTTCATGTCGGCTCGTAGCCGGGGTATCAGTTGCTTTAGCAGGCGGCTTAGCAAAACGAACTTTCTTGCCCTGGCTGATATTGCGCTTGAGGGTCATGCTGGAAGTATGAGATGTGTCGTTAAGCAAAGAAGTTTAGCCAGCGAGTTCGTTAGCACTATCAATGTCTTTGGTCAATCGTTGAAGACAGAGCTCCTGGGGGAAAATAGAGGATTCTTATACCCAAGCACTCAAGAGGGTGAATAGCGAGCTGAGGCTGAGAGGTGACTACGCCGCAAATGCACGCCCCTCACCGCTGCAGTTTTAGCGAGTCAACTGTGCCGCTTCGCTCCCGATGCCGATAGTCTGCACCCTTCTTGCCCAACAATAGCCGCGACGTCACCCAATAAACCGTCTATCCTTGGAGGTCATCTGCATTTTTGAACTGGATAATGACAGCATCGCAATCTTTTGGTGGAAAGCGGCGGTGCGCCTTGATCTTCAAATAGGCCGCCGTTTTCTTCAACAACGAATCAGTGATGCCCTTCAATCGCCTGTCTGGACTGAATGCCTTGCCGGCTAAGTCCCATAGCGGCGTTTGAATCATCATGGTGGCAAGGAATTTTGCATCCTTGAACGTTTGCCTAATTTGATGAAGGGGGACGTCGAGGGCCGATAATTCCCTTCTTACTAGAGCCGATTCAACTGGCCAGCGCTCCAGGGTAACAAGAGGTACGTTGGGGCTTAGCCAGCAACATGATGGATTTCCAAGCTTGAGTCTTAATGTGCCGCTCCGGAACATACTGTCGATGCCTGATTCATCGAAGATAACTAGTTAATGCTAAACCCTTTGCATTCTAGCAGCACTGTCTGGACATATATTTTTCTTACTGGCGATGTCCTTTTAATGTCCAATGATGAGTTCTATTCATCAATCCACAACTATATCTTTTCCCACATCTAGCATACCTCTATATTGCTCCTTGCTCGTAGCTCACTCTAATATATATGTCCATTCGACCTCGCTCCTCGCATCTAGGAAGGTTACGGTTGTCGATTTGGTATTCACTTAGCTTTGTGCCTTCTATTGTATTTCATTCCTGTCTCCATTTCATCCTGAAAGCTGCTGTTTTAAACAAGAAAAGGCACCACGTACTCTACATTTCCAGTGTCAAATACCCGTCACTGGCCAACCGCTACCGGGAATCAAAAGGCCAAAGCTTATCCGCTTCTTCTACGGTCATTCCCTCGCTGCAAGCTGATTCAATCCACTCATCATATGCTGCCTTGTTTGCTTCTTTGGCAGCTTCCCATACTTCATTGGGGACCCAGCCATCAGATGTCGTTTGCATTTGAATCTTGAGCCATGCTTTTAGCTTCTGCTTGGTTTCAAAATCTTCATACTGTTGAGCATGCTCTGCAATTTCTTTTTCATCTGGTGAATACGGAAAATCCCCTGGGAGCTGAAGATCGGCCCAGATGCCTTTGAGATCCATGAGTTCCTGGCGAATAGCTGGAATGCCATCTCGCCATGTTGTGAAGCAGTAATGAAAAAGCCTAAACAGGGACGAGTCGAGTTCTCTGGCAGGTCGCAACTTTGGAGTTTTGTATGTCATGATCACGTCATATGTCTGGTGGCAGATTGCAAGATCTTTCAATAACCACTGTTCGTCGGCAGAGTTTGGTTGGTCGTTCTCTTCAGCAGGATTGATATCTGGGAGGGCGGCAAAGTCAGGCGTAGAGTGAGCATATATGAAGGCCGGCTCGATGCATGTCAGTTGCCAGTCAATCAGGCCAGTAATCTGGGTTGTATCTTTAGGGGACACGTATATGTTTCGCTTGTTGTAATCTGCATGTATGAGAGTCGGCAATCCAGCTTTTTGAATGCGTTCATCTTGAGTTAGCTGTTGCATGGTTTGCTGGCATATTTTCAGTAGACGAATATGATCTTGAACCGACCCTCGGAAAGGACAGGTATCTTTAGTAGCAATGGTATCATCGGGTAAACAGGCATATGCAGTATCTATTAGCCCAGATGCATACTCGCTAAGGGTTTTCCCTCGAAATTGTTAGATCGATATACCTCAAGAGGGATGGATAATCATACATGGACCCCGGTTAGAGCTCGACACACCATACATTTCCATATCACCAGCCCCACAGTTCCAAAAAAGTGGGTTGCAATATGGACCAATGCAGAAGCCATCCTCTAGAGGTATTTTGGAAGTGGCATCAATCGGCGCATCAGCAAAATATATATTGCCATACGCTGGGAATTCCAAAGTTGCCATATCTCGAAGTTTAAAGGATAGGTCCTTTGTACAATGCATATGCTCTGAGGACGTCATCTGGGGCCACTGCCCGTGCAGCTGAGCCCCATCAACATGTTCCTGGATAATGTACTCAATTCCAGCGGGATTATTTGGGTCGTCGCTCCATGCTAAGATCTTGGGGATGGGAAGTGAAAGCTTCGATTTTACTGTCAGATGTTAACATAGTAATAGTTCAATCGTTCGATTGGACCGACTTACAATAGCTGATGGTTGCAACCTCTGAGTTAGTCGTCAGCCGCGACGGTCCCGCGACTGAAGTTGGTATTCTCGCAACAACAGTCCTCCCTGTGTCCATTGTCAGGACAAATACCCTGTTATAGCCACCTTCCTTCTTTTCATAGCTACTAACTTTGGATGCGTTGCAGGCGTTGGCAGCAATATCACACAGGCGAGCAAAATCGAAGCGGAGGAGCCGTGCTGCCCTTTGCAATTTGTCTTGATGCAACCATCGGCCATCAGTATGGAGATAAGGTTCTTGGGAAAACATTGAAGGTTAGAATCACGCAATAGCAGGAAAGGAGTATGTATATTTTACCGGGAGCGGAAGCTTTATTCTCGAAGTCAGTGGTGAAAGACATTTTCGAGGAAGCGCCCACCTTAGGAGCACTCACGTTTCCGCCCTTAGTAAAGGATATCGACAGTGGGTGGTAAGGGGGTTGAGCATTCAAAGGGAAGGGAGCGCAGATACGGAGAATAGCCCGGTGCCGCAACCCAAGCCGGCTCAGCATAGTGGATCTGAAATCTAGGGCCTGTTCGGTTCAAGGTCGAATTCCTTTAACGGACCGTAATGTGGATTCTATAATGCACTGAGTTTGCTGTGGAGCTCGAGCTTTGGATGCTTATAAAGACGTCAAAGCAAGTCCGGACTCCCGTTATTATTTGCAGTTGATTTCAACATGAAAATATGGTCTCCTCAGGTAACCAGCTAAGTCGAGCAAAGCGCCACTACCGTCGCTGGTAAAGCTTCCTATCCTTGCAAATTCTTATATAACGACCTTCTAACGTACGTTTATGCTTATAATTATATAGCCTCAAGTGAAAAAGAACAGGGCGACGACTGGAACCTTTGCGGAGCAGTTGACTAGTCAGGGCAACCCGTTGAGCGCCCATCATGCATGCTAATAATAGGCAACACACAGACATAACAAGCACACCGGCCCAGGAGTTCAGGACATCTTCCTCCTTGTCTTTCGGACAACCTGTTTGTGTTCTGTTTACTCTAGTCCGAAATCATGGCCCAAGTCCAATACCCTGTGAAAAGACGGAAATGGGACGATTATCCTGGCTGGACCACCAGTCTTGCCGATGGCCCCGAGTCTGAGATGCTGAGGGAATATGAAGAAGGCGGTCTGTGTCCCATTGTGATTGATGACGTGCTGAGTGGCGATGATCTGTTTAGTCCGCAGTCCTACTCCTTCAAGATCATCGGCAAGTTAGGCTGGGGATCCTATTCCACCGTCTGGCTGGGCAAGGAATTGTACGACACCCTCTGATAAAATGCAATGACAATTTTGCTGACTTGTTTGTGCAGGCAATCAGGCCGGTTCTTAGCTCTCAAGGTGTTGAGGCGTGAGCACATTACCCGAGATAATGTGGAAATGAGAATCCTGAAGACACTGGGCAAATTGCAGCTGGCCTTTTTCTACACTCACCAGCCTACTCAGGACCAGTTCCTGTGTCTTGGGCTGCTGCCACTGGGAGCTACCTTTCCAGAAAATGGCGAAGAGTATCTTGTGCGACTTTCTGATCTCCCTTCCATCACCACTGTCATCAGACCCTTATTGACAAAGGTGCTCAACTTCCATAAGCATGGAATCTGCCATGGTGGTAAGTGGTTGTTTTGGCTGGGAAATTATTATATGCTGACTCTGTGTAGATCTCAGTCATTCAAACATTGCCTTTGGAGTGCACCCGGATGCATTCACTTCTGAAGCCTTGCAAGAGACCTTCCAGGAGGACTCCAAATCATACATCAAGCTTGTGGGAGTCCCTGGAGCACCACCTCCCCGGCCAGCCAATCTACCAGAATACATAGTCTTCCATCGAAATCCCCTCAAGACAAACAGCACTGACTTGTCCCTGGTAGACATCATAGAGTTTGGGAAAGGTTTGTTCAATGCATGAGCTGGCTGGCTTAACAATACTAACTATTGTAGCATTTGATACACCCAAGAAGGACGGAGTGTTTGGGACTGAGCCTTATTGTGCCCCTGAGCTGAAATGCGAATATCCAAACACTGTTACTGCTAATATAAAAGCAGACCTTTGGAGTCTGGGTTGTGTGGCATGTCCAATATGTGCTCCCTCAGAATTGAATAGTACTTATTAATCTGTTTCTCTCTAGATTGCTTACGCTCTCAACCTTGAACATCTATTTGGGGATGAAAGTATCATCGAGCAGTATTGCGGTATGTCGCTTTTTGCCCAGAGATTAACTGGGAAATTTGGCTGACTCAACATAGCAGGTGATGACAATGCACAAGTTGCTATAATTGAAAATTTTATAAGATGGAATACCTTCTTAAAAGACTCTGCCAAACATAGGGCTTTGGCTTGTCAGCTTATTCACGCTCTACTGCAGGTCGACCCCGAGCGTCGGGATCCTGAGAAAGCAATGCAGTTGCTCTGCCAGTTGGAGGCCGATACCAAGTAGAATGGACTTCTGGAGTTCAAGTGAAACAATGCTTCAGTGTGTTTCTAGAGCTGACTCGCGAAGGACTGCTGCTCTTATTTTTTCATTGGCTTTTCAAGACTTCATGCTCCAACATGCCAGGCCCTTGTTGTGAACATGTTAAATCCCACCCTCTGAGGATATGTGTGTTGATATTCAAACACATGTAGCCATAAGGGCTATGTGCTTGTTTCCGTCCATGAAAGGATGGTTTTTCATAATCTTTCCCGCGAGGCTTGCAGCAATCTGGAACAGGATATAGTCGGCGGCTTCGAGGCTCTGGTGATATGAGACCTTGAAATAATGATTGTTGCTAAGAAGCCAAAGCTTCTATTATATAAATTAAGAATAATGTATGCTGATACATGAGAATTGACCTGGGAATAGCTTCATGTTGTAGAGTAGATAGGAAGATGGAGGGAGGTTAAGGGCGGTTAGGAGGGTTAGCTAGTTAGATAGTTAGTTGGGCATTAACTAGTTAACTAATGACTGACCAATCAGATGATGGATTTGTAGAGGTGGTGCAAGCCAGGCGATGAGCTCTGCTCAAGCCGCAAGGACCCTTAAGGCTTTCATCAACTGCAACAACCATTCAAATGTCTGCTCGCCGCGGCGTTGGTCTTGGAGCTTTCGCACATCGCTCCCAAACTACCCAGTCGTACGCCAACCATGGAGCCAACCTACGCTCAACCCACCTAACATCCCTCCAAACCCAGCTCTCCGTTTTCCAGTCCTTACTGCACACCTTCGCACTCGAGCATGGCGAGACAATCAAATCGAACTCGACATTCCGTGCTGAATTTGCGCGCATGTGCCATGCGATTGGAGTCGACCCTCTTGCCGCAAGTAATGTGAAAGGAAAAGGCAAGCGGGGGCTGGTTTCGGGGTGGGCTGAAGGCGGGGGGAGCTTTTGGACGCAGGTGCTGGGAGGGGACGTGAATGATTTCTACTTCGAGGTTGCGGGGAGGGTCGTGGAGCTGTGTAGGGAGACCAGGGCGGAAAACGGTGGGTTGATCAGTGTGGAGGAATGTCGGAGTCGGGTGGCTCGAGGAAAGGCCATTGGCGGTGGGTTGCAGGTTTCCGAGTAGGCTTTCCAGAGAGCTTCCCCCCCTATCGTGAGAATGGGAAACTGGGAACTAACCGTCCCTCACTCACTTCTAGAGATGATGTACTCCGCGCTGTCAAGTCCCTAGAACCTCTGGGCTCCGGCTTCTCAATCGTCAAAGTGGGAAGCAAGCAGTTCGTGCGCTCAGTTCCCAAGGAACTCAACACAGATCAAGCCACCGTGCTCGAAGTCATCCAGCTTCTCGGCTTTGTAACCGTTTCCATGCTACAACTTAATCTAAAATGGGAAAAGGCACGAGCTCAGACCGTTATCGACGATCTTCTTACCGATGGGTTGGTATGGCTTGATGCCCAGTGCCCCGAGGAGAAAGAATATTGGTCGCCACAGAATCTGCTCGACGATGCTTCTTGAATAGTGGAAGTTATGATGCAAATAATTCAGCATACCGAGGTGGTTACAGCGAGCCTTCTCCAGCATCTACCGCTTGTGGAAATAAGTTGGACTATGTGGCTATACTCTAGCAATATCTGATTCTCTAAAGCGACAGATAGCTATCCGAATCGCCAACGTGCGTTCATGAGACGTCGAGCTTTGGCGGGATACACCTCTTCGTGTATATGCGTGTGAGAGGAAGCGGAGCTCGTTGAGCAAGGACAACCCCATGGCGATCCTGGGCCCAGTCCCTGGATAAGAGAGACAGGAACGTTGTCAGAGTCTCCCTGCCGATGGCAAGGCCCGGAAGTATCGGTGCGAATGGTTCCATAAGCTACCGGATCAGCTATAAGCCACATACGCCGGGCTGATGTCTTGTCATCCCACCTAGCGTATATACGATAGTCTCCAAAGTTGAAATCTAAGTGTCTTACTTAGCATAGCCATTATCACATTTCTTTCTCTACCAATCGCATATTCATAGAGGCAGCAAGACTGGCATTCTAAAGAGTCATAGAAAAAGCAAATTTCATGAAGCAATTTATCATTCATCCACACCTCCCAGAACAAGGCATAACATGCCCTGTGATAGCACATGCCCAGAAGATGAAAAAAAACACAGACTTTAGACCCCAGTTAAAAGTAGTAGTGACCTTACATCAACAAAAGAGAGGTTAGGAAATCAAGATGACAACGGAATCATAAGAGACAGCATAACTTCATATTGGTACCGCAACCCCAAAAGACGAATTTTATGCCTTGATGGCTCCTCCTAAAGCACCCCCGCTGAATTGCTGGCCACCTGGTCTACGCTGCTGTCCACCAATGGGCGGGCGACCACCGCCGCCTCCTCGTCCACCACGACCTTGACCTCTACCTCCGCGACCACCTTGGCCCTGGTCGCGTTGGAAGGCGTTGGCCATGCCTTGCGTTCGCTGTTCAAGCGTTTTCTCGTTGGCCTCAAGCAGCGACATCGATTTGTCGGCCAAAGTGACGATTTGACTTTGCAGCCTTGAAAGCTCGACGCCCTTTCGGAAGACGATGGCATCGTTGACTTGGTCTAGCGCTGCTGCTAGCTCCTCGTGTGAGATCATACGGCTGATGATGGCAGATATTTTCTTTTCGGGGAGGTCGAACATGTTTGAAAGGGTGGCGATGGAGAGGGTGTCGTAAAACGGTGCGTAGGTGAAGAGGTAGGTGCGAAGACCTTCCTCTTGAATTTGCTGGGCAAGCATTTCCTTGATCTTGTCAGGTTGGGCCATCAGATCCCAAATCTTGATGGAGTTGAGGGTTTCTGACGCTTTTTTCCAGTCACCAGCTGCAAGGAATTTAGCGCTCATAATGACACCATCACGCGTATTCTCAGGTGGGCCAGTGAAGACTTGACGTTCGTTATAATCTAACATCCTTCGGAAAGTCTTGGAAATAATACGTCGCTTCATCTCAGGCGATGATGAAGTCTGGGCCATCAACGGGACTTCCAAGAACATACTGCTAGTTAAGTAGATGCATTCCAGGAGTTCCAAGTTGATGTGCATATGGAAAGGAAGCTGGCGTTGACGCTCAAGTTTCTCTTGCTCCGGCGACACCGAGGAATATCGTTGCAAAATGATGCCTTGTGCCAACAACTCCTTCTGTCGACCACTTCCGCAAACGTCTGAAAGCGTGTTTTGAGCTTCGTATATCAATCCAGCGCGGAATGCGCAGAGCCCGATCTGAACAAGGGTTCGGTTGAATAAGATTTGAGTGCTGACATCAAAGTTGGCAATGTTTTCAGTAAGATGAGACATCAGCATCAGATCACGGGCACGGTGATAATTGTCATGGAGTGCAAGGAAGTAAATCTGGCAAAGCATAGCGCGTGCTCTGATAATTCCGTCACTGTACTGGAACAAGTAGTTGCAGATAGTTTGCACCAAATTTGAAACGTTCGACTTCATATCCCGGCTAGTGATGGAAGAATTAAGTGTTTCGGGAAGACCCTTCCATGTGTTTTCCTCCAAAATGGTGACCACTTGAGATGGCTTGAAGTATAAGTGCTCTAGTCGTCTCATCAAAATTCTGTTCACACTTTCCTGGCGAGATTCGGATTTCTCGGTCTGATTCAGATTTTCCACGTAAAGGAGTGCCCGAACAATATTGTTGTAAAGGAGTTGCTCGTCACCCAGCCTTTCGATATATTCGGCGGTATGGGGATCGATGTGTTGCAAGGATCGAATCAGTTCGTCATCTAATCTCTCAATGGATGAGACAATGCTACCTGGGACCTTGAGGGTCTCGCCAGGGGCAAGTTGGGGGATCTTCTCATCGTCTTCCCACTCTTCGGCACCTTCAACCACGACGAACTGTGGATGCTCTTCTAACGTGGAAATTAATCTCAAAATTTCTTGCTCAGCAAGCTTCCACTGTTCAGTTGGCATGTAGTTAGAGATTGAGGACGTAGTGAGATCGAAGCGAGTGGAAACCAAGGTCAAAAGAATTCGGATAGTATGGTACGGTGTCGAGGCAACTTCGAGAAGCTTCTCCATAATCTTAATCTGCTCAACACGATCGGTGTTCTTCTTTCCTCTGGACTCCACTATCACCCTCAAATGTTTAAGAATGCTTTCCGGTGTGTACTGAAGTGTTCGTCCGCCACGGCCAACGGTTGAGAAGCCCTCGTCACTAACAGCCAGCGTATCTTCAACTCGTACAGCCCGAGGCTTCTTTTCGACGACGACGGTTTCTTGCATTTCATCTTCCTCGAGATATTCGTCCTTGTTTTCTCGGTACTTGTCAATTTCAGTGGTGTAATCTTTGTTGTTCTTCTTGATACGCTGTTTGACAGCATTTAGACCCTTTGCGTTGCTTGCATTCATCTTTTTCGTGCTGGTCTTTTGCTTGGCAATGGTCTCGTTCAAGAAGTCCTCCAAATCGGCAATAGCCTTGATATACAACTTAGGTGTCGGTCCCGATTGAGCGATCTTTGCAACTTGTCGATTCAGTTTATCAAACTCTGCACATACATATTAGTTAGCATCACTGTTTTCCCACGACGAACTTTACGTCGCAAAACAATCGAGCGTCAGACCTGTTGAAATCACGGCCCAGTCATTGATCTTTTCAGCATTATCAATCAACTTCATCGTCCCCTCCAATTCCTCTAATCTCTTGTCCTTCGCACTCTTGACGATTGTCACTTTGTCTTCTTCCTCGCTCTCCTCGCTGTCGGAAACATCCCTCAAGAATTTTTCCGCGCCTGTTTTTTGACCCTCATCGTCAGAGCTGCTTTCCTCCTCCGAAGACTCTTCTTCGCTAGAACTCTCCTCTTCATCGGAGACTTCTTCCTCCTCGCGATCGGAGTAGAGCTCCTCCTCATCAGAGGAACTGCTCTCGCTATCGCTTCCGCCGTGGAAAAATCGAGACATGGTGAAGAGAGTGCCCTAGATTGTTCTCCGATAGATTTCGTGGATGCCGAACAAGTTGTACTAAGGCGGCCAAAGGTCGATGAGCTCTCAAAAAACCCTCTGAAAGAAAATCGCTGGGGTTGACTTGGAGGCGAAACTTGACTCAATCGTTCACCAAAAATCTAAGCGAATGCGACTAGCCGGAATGGGAAAAGCGCAAACTCTATGGCCTCGATATCATCGCCTCGCCAACAAACCGTTGGAACTCCTATTGGACTTCATCTTCAATTTCAATGTCAGAAACATATTCTACAGGGAAGCCACCGGGAACAATATTCAACAATAATCATAACTCAATGGCCGAAACTGTTTCCAAACGGTGTATGTGAAATCATATATACCCACGCCAACGCTATGCTTGAGGAAATAAAACAGCGAAGCCAAAACGAAAAATGTATATGTCCGATGAACAATAAAAAAAGCTTTGCATCACTCTTTGAAGAATCAGCGGTCGTCATATCATTCTTTAACAACAAGAATCCAAAGCGTCATCCAACCAAAATCCGAATCCAAGCCCTGTCATTCCGGTTTCATGAGAAGTCCAATCCCTCTCTTCACATGGGAATCTTTTCCAAGGGTTGTTAGGCTCATTGCTCTTTCTGTGAAAATTGTTCCAGCAACACTAACCGCTGTAATTGCGGACGCTGTCACCAGGTGCTTCGATGGCCTGAATACATGTATATATAGAACAAAAAGCAGGGCAAAACAATTTGATGCCCACTTCATTTGAAACCCCCTGAAGAATTCCGTCAGCAGTAGAAACGGCAATGTACCTCTGAAAGGATACATGGGCGCATTGTACAGCGGCAGATTCTATCGATCGATATCAGCGCCATTGATTTTGGGCCATAAACCCGTCTCCAAGTGCACCATCCTCAAGGTTGCGGATGAAATCCCGGTTCCGACCTTGCGACCCACCTACACGGCTCCCTCTTCGCCTATTTCCTGACGTAGTTCCTTCGGGATAGCCGTCTGCCGGTGGAGGATAGTATGCAGGGCTAGGTTGTAGGCGAATAGGCGCGTTCGGATCCAAGTGACTAGCAACCCGTTGAATTGCGGGAGGGATGCCACTCTGTTGCTGATCCATGGTGGAAGCTCTTTGTCGGCCAGCCCGCGTTGTCGCTTGAGCGTAAAGGCTTTGCGAGGCTCCATATGATTGTTGTGGGATATGCGTAGGGGTTTGCATCATTCCCATTTGATGACCGTATCCCGATTGTTGGGCTGGATATGGTAGAGGAGCCCCTTGTTGGTGACCACTGTATATATTGTTGTACACTGGTGGCGGTTGGCTGTGAGTAGCTGGGTTATATTGGCCCATCTGCATTGCATATGCAGACTGCGCGGCGGACTGAGCTTGAACCTGTGCTTGGGCTTGGGCTTGGGCTTCCTGGACCGCACGTTGTTTGCTGGCAGCTTCGGCTTGTTGTTGTTGCTGGACACCGGGTGCAACGGATTTATTAACCACTGATGATTTCAGGTTCATTGGTGGCACAAATGGTTGAGTGAACTTTTGTTGGGTTATGAACGGATGCAGTTTTGCTTGTTGCGGGGACCATCTTTCCAAGGGGTTGATTGTCAATAACCCGCGAACAAAATCAGTGAACGCAACTCGGTTGTTTAATTCTGAAGATAAAAGTAAGCAATGGACAAAGAATTATAGAATGCAAGGCAAGGGGATTACCTCTATCAATCTCTGCTTGTTTCATGTTCTTCCTAGGCATTGCATAGTTACGAATGATCTCGCTCAGATTGTTCGACTGGAAATACCGTTTGCTAGGCTGTTCTTTGGTGTTATGTTCTCGCGAGTACTGTTCTAGACTTTTGAGCCTATAACTCCGTCTCCCGAACTCGTCTTGGGTCTTTTCGAAGAAATCACCAGCTTGCTTTCCCATTTCGATCATCCAAGTTGGTGGCATGCCTAGCATTTCCACTATTCTGGACACCTGGTTATACTCGGAAGATCCGGGGAATAATGGCAAGCCAAGGAAAAGTTCAACAACGATACAACCCAGCGACCACATATCGATGGCGGATGAATATCTAAGATTATTGTTAACAGAGCCTGCCTATTGATAGTGCATGTTGGATACTTACGGCAGGCCCAACAAGACTTCAGGCGAGCGGTAGAACCGAGACTGGATATATGTATACACAGTCTGCCTTTCATCGCAAGCAGATCCGAAATCTATGATTTTTATGATCGGGCTCTCAAGACTGCAGGTAGGGACAAAATATCAGCACATAAAAAGGTAAACAGTTCCGGCAGGATTAACATACTTTTTGAGCAGAATGTTCTCCGGCTTCAAATCACAATGGATTAAGCGGGCTTTGTTGAGTAAAGCCAATCCATTTAGAAGCTGTTGAGCAAAAACACGGACCAGTGTTGTACTAAGCCCACGAAATTGATTCTGCTTGATCAGTTCATACAGGTTCACACTGAGAAGCTCGAAAACCAAGCATAGATGCTGCCGGTGAATAAAAGTATCTTTCAGCCGCAAAAGATGATGGTCATCATTTTTGTCCAGCTTACTATTAATCTGTGATGTGTTAGCGTATCTCCAAGACATTGGATTAAGTGAACCTACCAGGTCAAGAACTGAGACTTCCATCATGCTCTGGTTAAAGTACGCCGTTCGGTTCTTTACAACCTTGACAGCTACTACTTCTTGTGTTTTTAAGTTCTGGCACTTAACGACTTGACCAAATGTTCCCTGTCCAAGCACATCCAGAATTAGGTACCGGTTCCTGAGAAAGTGTTAATAGTTGTTACGTGCTTCATCTTGCGTGGATACTCACTTGTGATTCCCCTCCTCACTTCCCAGAATATCATTTACATATAGGATATAATCGCTGTCATCATTATCGTACCCATCATTTTTGGTTCCTTTACTGGGCTTGGTTAATACTCGACGTGGGTTCCTCGAGGACTCGTATTTGAAGGTCGGGTTACATATCCGGTACGTGGCTGGTAAATGAGTTGTAAGGGCTTGTAGGGGCTACTATAACTTAGAAGATAGAACGAAGGTACACAATCAAGAGAACCTACGCTAATGAAACCGCCTTCCGGGTTCGCACGACGCAGGGCGGGCTGGGCAGCTATTTTCGGCTTCAGCTCTTGTGTTGATTTGATCTTTTGAAACCTCGGCACCGGCCCTCTTCTAACAGGGGTCTCTGGGACAGAGGTCGACTGGTTCAGATGTGTTGGCTGGGTCTTTTGGTTTTGAGAAAAAGCGGTATGAAGCTGAAGCGTGGCGTTCTGCGGGTAAAACTGTTCAAGGCTCATATCCGTTGACTGTATTGGGGGTAATCGCGGAGCTTGCGGTCTTGAAGGTGCACCAGCTAGTAAATCCAGTAAGTCAGTACTATTCTGTCTAACATCAGGGAAAGGGAGTCTAAACTTACATGGCGGAGATTGGTAGGTTTGAGACGGCCCAGTGTAGGTATTTGTCCTCGTGGGAGATGGTCTTGAGCTCGAGTTACCTGCGGGGAAAGCGTATTGCGAAAGCGTTTGGACTAGCATTATAGGGCGCTACTGGCGACGTGATGTGCATAGGCGAATATTTCCTCGCTATTGAGGATTCTTCGCTCGATAAGAATTGCGAAGAGGGACGACTTTGCTGACTAGACCTGACAGGATATTTAGATCGATTGTAAGGATCTGCGTCTTCCATCGGGGTGTCAAGGTCGACAAACTCCCGCGTAAGCGGGGTTGCGGAAGGTGACGATGTCATAGAGATAGATTTGGCGTTGGAAGGTAAAGGTGGAGGATTTGTAGCGGTGGGACTTTGATACGTCTCATAGGAGTAGCCTAACGGAGCTTGTGGTTGTTGCACCTGGCCTCCAGGCCCAGGAGCTGGATACTTCGGAGCCATTTGCGACGGATGACCATTCCCAAATTGGTTGGCTGCTCTGTTTCCTGTTGAATCGGTGTAAGCGGGCCACTGCGGATCCATGATTCACCCAGAGAATTTCTGTAATCCGGCGAGTGGTATACGTCGAGCTCGAGGCAATGGCACCTCGGTGGTGGCGCAAGTCGAGTGCTAGATGTTGGTCAACGCCGAAGTTCGATGATTTCGATAGTTATCACCATGCAATCCGATGATAAACGTAGTGAGAGGACTACGGGAGGAAATAATTCGAGGGGGGAAGAGATATGGTGCCGGTGACCATACCTGGATAGGGCGAGGTGCTAGACAGAATGTGCCCAGGAAACGCTCATCATCGATGTGGAGGGGTCGAACAGGATGACTGCTATGGGAAGGAAACCGCAATTGGGCTTGATCAGCAACGAGATTCCATCCAGAGAATCTTTTCGGTTGGAAATGTGTCGCAAACTCAGGCCTCCTTTGAACAGCCTAGGTACCACCCCCCGATATCTCGCGGTAGCTGGGTAAACACCAAAGCGGAGAGGCGGGCGAGGTATGTGGGACCGAACGACGAGACTCACAACTCACGAGAAAGAAACCCCGGGATAAAAACCCAGGCAGGTTGATGGGAGGGCTGCTAGAAGTCGATAAAAGTGAAACCAACTTGGCTGCTGCCAGTGATGGTTTAGGTCATCCTGTGCTGAGTGGGAGAGGGAGAGCCAAGGTTTTGCTGAACAGTCGAATCAGTCCAAGACGCTGTCACACCAAACAACAGAGTTGATGAGTTAACAGCAACAAGTACGTGAGCAGATTGAATTGGAAAAGGGAGCTCTGCTAGATTATGGCTTGATATAAGTTATTTACTACTTTTCATCTGCCTAAACTATTATTACCCTAAAGGAGTAGGCTAACTTTACCCAATGAGGGGTTGGAGGCCTCAGGCAATGATTTAACCAGCAATGTGAAGCAAATCCATATTGCTTGCCTGCAGCAGATCGGATTTGATCTGGCTGATACGCATTTCTTGTATTTTGATTGTTTTTGTTGACAGCTCTTTACTGGTGAAGGCCACTTTGGAGTAAGTCATCTTTCTTCAGCCGCACTATGCTTTGCACATAACAAGCTGAGTGCCAGTAGGCTGAGAGTTATCCAGCAGAACATCAGTGGACCCTAAATCAAATTTGGGGACCAACACATCTTAGTGGCAGGAATGCTAGCAGCAGAAATATCATTCGGCTCCAGACATGTTGCAGGAGATTCCAACATGGCATTTATCTATTTGATATCAGCGGGCGCAAGGCCTAGAACGGGAGAACCAACATGAGCACATCACAAAAGAATTGAAGACTCTGGTGCTTTTGCATGTTGTTATTCACAATCCATTTCCGGCTCGGAATTTGTTGCCTGGAACGCAATGACTATTATACCCGTCCATCAACTTCGCTTGCGAGAGTCACTTCTGTCAACATATTTGCTATTAATAAATATCCTTGTAATCTTTCGCTCGAGTCGGATGCATTTCCAAAGACCAAGAATGTAACAATCGAGTCAGTTCATATTATGTTGGCATTTTTAGAACCAATTCGTTGAGCAAGTCTCTTCCCTGGGACAATTTTAGACACTCAAGTCGGTAACTATGCCATCCAGGGTCCTCATCATCAACAACAGCCATATCAAGGCCAAAGCGACTTTACATTGATTGCGGATGGCGTCGAAGGAATGGGATTGACTTGTTCAGTTGGCTGACTAATGCGCGACCTTCAATTTTACTTCAAATGGACTAGTGTGGCCTGTCACGGTACCTAGGCTTCCATCCAAAACGCGCTCCGGTTGCCTCCAGTTGGTTGAGCGATCGAAACATCACTTGAGGGCTACAGAGAATTTCAATCCGTTCTCAGTTATGAGAGAAAGTCCCTAAAGGATCTCCGAGCTATGGAAATTAGCCATGGTGACCATCCTCTGTTTAACCCTTGGGAATCTGTGACTTGCCACACTGGAGTTTCCGCTGAGTTTGAAAAGATTCAGCAGATACTATCTTGTTAATCCGTCCTTGGAATCTAAATAAGCCCAAGTAAATGAACTGCATGTTGCTTTGTGTTTTTCCGGAATGCTAAAGGAAGGAGGTGGTTGGCGTATTTTTGCTTCTACTCCGTACACCCTGCTCATATCCAAGCCATGGCGGGAAATGAACCTCAGGTGACCATTGAGTCTGATATCTCCGGAACCCCATTAATAACAGAACGGGAGAATGGTGGGTTGGAAGAAAATGGCCAGGAACCGCTTCCAATGCCAGACGAGTCCAGCCGACTCAGGGCGCTTGATGCAGCTGTCCGAGACCAAAATGATCTAGAAAGAGACATTGGTCGCCAGGTGCGTCATACTCTCAAATCCAAGACCCTATAGCTAGAGCTAACATGGATAATGATGCGTAGGCGGACAGGCTTCTCACCGAGCAGGCTAACGAGAGAGATCAAAGGCGACTGGACCGCACAAAAAACGAAAAAGCGTATGCCCTGGCATCCCTTCATGGAGGCTCTGTATCATGCTAATGACGACCTTCAGAAAGGTTGAAGCACATATTCTTCGGCTCCACCAGCGTCTTTCCCAACCTATTGGCACGACTGCTAGGGTTCGTATCACCGCCGAACTTCAAAATCTGGAATCAAAAATATCCGCACTTGAGCTAGACCTCGAGCAGATACAGCAGCGGATTGATGAAAGATGGCAAGGAGTTGAAGGTGCCGCTGAGGCATCGGAAACTGGAAGATTGCCAAACGAATCCAGACGAGATTACCTCATTCGGACAGGAAAGATTACACCTTTCTCGAAATTCGGAGACGACCGTCGAGGCCCATCAACCGCCTTGCAGGATGCTCTTGTTGATGCGGAAGAAGAGAAGGACGAAGAGCTCGCCCTTGAAGATCTCAATAGCCAGAAGTTTACTTCTCATAGACACCTTTTACGTCCAGGATTTGATTACGGCGAACCAAGTGATACTGACAGCCATGATTCCACGGAATCTCGCCCACAAAAGCGTCGACGACTCGTTAATCGGGTACCCGCGGATCGCAGTGATTTTAGAATCGAGAGATCGGGGCCGCAGACTGCTAAACAGCCGGCGCCAGTATCTGACGATGAGTACGTTGATCCAGGAGAAGCTGTGGTAGAATCCAGCGAAGAAGAAGGGGAAGAGTCATCAGATATGTCGACAACGAAACCTAAATCGAAACGCAAAAGCCATAAAAGTAGGTCAACGGGTATGGTGGATTTCCAAGGGGTTGATGATGGCAACGAACAAGTATACCAGTCGAGACTGCATGATTGGGTTTCCCGAAGATCTGAAGCTCGAAATCGGGCTGGAATTGGTCACGAAGGGACGGCTCAGACAACAGATGAAGACAATGCAGCACCCGAAGAATGGTTTCTACCACACCCAAAGGTTGCCGATACGATGCTTGATAATGGGTATCGAATCCCAGGAGACATCTACCCTTATCTTTTTGACTATCAGAAAACAGGGGTTCAGTGGCTCTGGGAACTACATCAACAACGTGTCGGTGGGATCATCGGAGACGAAATGGGCCTTGGAAAAACAATCCAGGTCATTGCCTTCCTTGCTGGGCTCCACTACAGCAAAAAGCTCACCGGTCCCGTAATTGTTGTTTGCCCCCCAACCGTGATGAAGCAATGGGTAAACGAATTTCACCGATGGTGGCCTCCGCTCCGTGTTTCAATATTGCATACTTCGGGTAGCGGTATGGTAAATATCAAGAAAGAAAGCTATGCAGAAGACAGATTGATGTCGGAAATCTGGGAACCAGACCGGCCAACACGGTTGCCAGGGGGACAAAAGGGGGCAAGACGCATATTGAAGCGCGTTTTAGAAGACGGCCACGTCCTTATTACGACTTATGCAGGTTTGCAGACGTATGCATCGCTTTTAATTCCTGTCGATTGGAGCTGCGCGATCCTTGACGAAGGACACAAGATACGCAATCCAGATACAGCCATAACAATACATTGTAAAGAATTACGAACAGCTCACCGCCTTATACTCTCTGGAACGCCAATGCAAAACAATTTGACCGAACTTTGGTCGTTGTTTGACTTTGTCTTTCCAATGAGATTGGGTACATTGGTAAATTTCCGAAATCAGTTCGAGTTCCCCATCCGGACCGGAGGATATGCCAATGCCTCCAACTTGCAAGTACAAACTGCGGCGAAATGCGCTGAGACTCTAAAGGATGCAATCAGCCCCTATCTGCTCCAGCGGTTCAAAATCGATGTTGCAGCGGATTTGCCGAAGAAAACAGAGCAAGTACTCTTTTGCAAACTGACAAGAGTTCAGCGAGCCGCTTATGAAGCGTTTCTCGGATCTAATGAAATGGCGTCGATAATGCGAGGACGGAGAGATGTCTTGTATGGGGTCGACATCCTCCGCAAAATTTGCAATCATCCTGATCTCCCTGAACACAGAACTCTGTCCCAAAAATCTGACTACAATTATGGAAGTGGAGTCAAATCTGGCAAAATGCAGGTTGTCAAATCCTTGATTGAATTGTGGAAAGAAACCGGGCATAAAACGCTTCTCTTTGCTCAGCATCGGATTATGTTGGATATCCTGGAGAAATTCATGAAATCGTTGCCTGGCTTCAACTATCGACGAATGGATGGCAATACTCCTATCAAAATCCGTCAGAGTATTGTTGACGAGTTCAATACTGACCCGGACATCCATGTCTTCTTGTTAACTACAAAGGTCGGAGGACTTGGAGTCAATTTAACGGGTGCGGATAGGGTCATCATTTATGATCCAGATTGGAACCCTTCTACTGATTTACAAGCGCGAGAACGGGCCTGGAGACTGGGTCAGAAGCGCGAAGTGACCATATACCGGCTGATGACAGCCGGGACCATTGAAGAGAAAATATATCACCGGCAGATCTTCAAACAGTTCCTGACGAATAAAATCTTAAAAGACCCTAAGCAGCGGCAAACCTTTCAGATGAGCGACCTTCATGATTTGTTTACCCTGGGGAATGATGGCCCAACCGAAACCAGCAGGCTGTTTCAAGATGCTGATGTCACATTCAATGAGGGCAATGATAGCGCCAAAGCTGCTGAGAAGCCCCAGCCAGTACAAACAGAACAAGAAGAGGATAAAATCAGTAGAGTCGCCGGAGTAACATCCCTCGAGAAATATGAGTCAGAAACCAGCACACCAGCCGGAACTGACGCTGCAACCAAAGCCGCACCCGCATCGAGTTCGGATTCACGCCTGATGGAAACCATATTCGCCCGCTCTGGCGTTCACTCTGCAATTGAGCACGAACAAATTATCGGCGGTAGAAAGCGCGGCGTCAAAGCTGACCCTAAAATCATCGAAGCAGAAGCCAAGCGCGTCGCTGCACAAGCCGCCGAAGAGCTCCTTAAGGCACAAAAAGTCGCTAGAACCGTACCGGTGGGCACACCTACCTGGACCGGTCAATTTGGCACGGCGGGCCGGCCAGAGGAGAGAAATGCCCCTCTAGGAACTGTGCCCGTCTACGCAGGCGGAAATGGACCACGTAGAACGGTTGGTGGCCCATCGTCAGCCAGCATCATTGCGAACTTGACCAACCGTGCTGTTGGACATCAATCGTCGTCGGGGAGAAATAGCCCCGTTCGATCGGGTGCTAACAGCCCCCGGGGTAAGGATTTCATGGCGATGATTCGAGACTATATTATTGCACAGGGAGGTGCAGTATATACGCAAATGTTAGTGGACCATTTCAACAGATTCTGCGATTCGCCGAGGGCAACTGCCGAATTCAAGGAAATGCTGAGGACCATTGCGGTGTTGGAGAAGACCGGGAGTCAAGCCAGGGGCAAATGGGTGCTAAAACCCGAGTATTCACAGAAATAAGAATTTTTTATAGGCGATAACCACTCATCTGCGGAGTTTATTAGTTCTTTGGAGTGGCTTCAAAGTTATAATTACCTAACAAACAGGTGAAATATTGAGTTGAGAACGTTGGAAATCAAGATACTGTGCAACTTTCTCAATGTATCCCACGGATAGTCCTAAACGATTTTGTTGCTCTACATAACCGCACGTAGGATCTAATACGTCATGGTAAGTATAGAGTACTCCACAGATACGCTTCAAAAGTAGCTTTGAGCCAGTGTCCAGCACCTTTAAATCTGGGGTGAGGGAGATATGGCAAATGCTTGATATAAAAGCAGCGTGGCCACCACCTTCGACGACGACTTCCTCTCTGGACAAGCTACTCACTCACTTAAGCACCGTCTTTCAATCCTTGTTGCTTTCGTCAATTCCAAGTTGCCAATGCCAACATGATTGCCCAGCTCGTTCTTTTCTTTCTCTTGCCCATCCTCTCCCTAGCTGTGCCGGCGCCTCCGGGAGCGAGACTATACCACATCCGCAATTCGGAGGGTCTCTATCTATCCCCATATCACATCTACGCTGGTATCTCCGATGCGGTTTTCGTTCCAGACCCAGACAGAGCTAGCCGCGGGTACTTGGACGGAACAGATCAGATGTTCCAAGTCCAGTCGGAGTTGCGCTGGGGTTTGGTGATAATTCCACAGCCGAAGACGGGTGAGTCGTCTCCCCCGGCGCTTGAGGGACAAGGTTCAGCGGCTCACAATGGGGAACTAGAATTGTCAACTGTGCGAATGATGGCCGATCACTCTACTGGTGGATTTGCCATTCAAGACGGCCAGCTTGTGTGGCAAGGCGATAACGAGGTCGAACCTGGCGGGTGGCTCGGTGAGCGTTAGTCCCATCTCACAAAACATTTCAAAAGGTTAACAGTTCCTCCCAATTAGTTTGTGACGGGCCGCATGAGTTCCCTCAACTTTACTGGGGGCGCGATGGCGACAGTAGTTCAGCCCGGTCCTGTTCGCCGACGACGCTGAGGGTCGAGTATATCCAAAGCCAAGTTCGCCTGTGAAAGATCACGAGTCGCAAGACCCAAGCCACGGAATGGGCATTTGAAAGAGTAGAACCGCTGGACATCTGGCAGCAATGGCAACGAAAACCGAGAAGATCGAGCAGTTCCGAGTCTGAAGGGAGTGGGAGAAGAAGTGAAACAATCAGGGTGCTAAAATTAGGGGAATCTAGCCTGCTCGTGTCACGTACCTGTAAATTACACATCCTGTAGCCAATGAGGACGTATCGTACTGTAATGGACGTTGATGTCTCACCCGTGACGATAATCGTCGACTTCAATCTTTTTCGCTTCAGGAACGGACAACTCGCACCCTCAGCTCTTCGCTCGCTTCCTGCTGAGAACATTCGTTTGGAAAAAGAGAAGGTTATTTTGAGGTCAAGAGGAAACTGTTTTGCGGCATTTCCCATTATTTCATTCGCTCGTTAGATCACTTCGAGTCCTCAAGGTCGACCGCCCGTTCGCCCCCCTCTATCGAACACTCCAGCGAGGCCGGAAGCATTGCAGCCTTTTTGATACTACTGGTTCTACGCTCCATTTTGGTTTTGGCTGAGACGGTAGATTCTCGGAATCCTCGATTGGGAGAATTTTCATACACCTGATTCCACACCCAGTTAGCCGGAGAGTTCTAGCGAGACCTATCTTTTGGATAATCAGCGAGGGAGTGCGAGCCGAAATATTGTTAGAAAGAGTGCTACGATTACTTAGTTTCGCCGTTAATTAGGCGATTTGCGAAGTTGTCTCACAAAATGCGAACCTTCAGCTTTATTTTAATAATATGCTCGCTGCTCGTGCTGGCATCGTCCGTTGCAGCCTCTTATCCTCCGGAAAGAAGACGTTTGAATAATGGCTTTGTTAAACGACAGGATTCAGGTGAGTCTTTTATAGTGCCACGCAAATTCGCCTATGAGCCCTCATAGCTCTAACTTGATATCAGAAACGATCACAGATAATACAGAGTCGAGTAGACCTACGAGAACGACCAACACAGCGGACCCATCCGATACCGAGACAGCTGATTCCACCGAAACTGGCACAGATGATGCCTCAAAAACTGGCACCAACACCAAAAGTACGGGAACAAGGACCACTAAATCCAGAGTCACATCCGTGGATCCGCGCTCTCCACCTGGAGGTATCAAGATGATAACTCCGGCGCCCACCGCAGATAGCACGTACGTAAAGATAGGTGACTTTGCAACATTCGCCTGGAACTATACTTCCGTCAAAGTTACCCCTTCTGCTATCGATGTGGTTGCGTACTGCACGAAGAACAAGCACTACTACACAATTGCAGCAAATCAAAGCATGCAAGAAACCGGTATCGTGACTTGGGACACGAGCAAATACAAGACGGAAGATGTGCCTCTATTGACGGAAATATACACTCTCCTTGTCTATGATGTCGAAGTTGGACCCTCGGATCTCCCTGGTCCAGGCCGTTTGGGAGGCCAAGGCCTCAAATTTGGAGTATACTCGCCTCAGCCATATACGCCTTTAAGTAGTATGTTTTGCCCATCCAGCGGGTGCGATTCGATACTAACCTTGACTATAGAATCTGAATGTGTAACATGTCTTGATAACGGTGCCTTATCTGGAACTCAGCAGCAAGCGCTTTTCTTTATGTTTGGCATGATTGCAATCACTATTTGCTCTTTCGGTTGGTTTGCCAGTGGCTTTGGGCTATTTGCTTAACCCGCCCCCGTTTCTGCTTGCCGCAAAGAAAATTTCCACTTTCCCCTTTATAATTCCATTCTTTGTCGATGATATATCTCCACATATGTAATACTCCTCTTTTCAACTGATCCTTTTGAGCTGATGTCATTTTGCATTTTGCTTGTGCAATTGTATCATTCTATTGCAACTTTCTGGCTGTGATACTCTCTGCAGATCTGTGCAATCCAGAGAGGCTGCTCTCTTGCTATCTATTGCACTGCTTTCTTAATAATTATTTACCCCTCGATTTGTCTTTGGAATGTTCTGGAAAGCATGTTTGGCTGGCGATTTTGTCTCACATTCGCGGTGGAGTTACCTGGATTTCTCGGCTCAGTGGTCTCCTTTTTGTCTCTTTGCACATTGTTGAAAAGGCAGGAAATTCATTCTTCCATAGCTAGTATGTTTGCTCTTCACACAACTATAGATATGCAATATGATCCCGAATTGCGGTGAAGAAGGCGCCCTTGAGGCCACAGAACCCAGTGGCCATTTTGTGTACCGCCTTGCAGGGGAGGCATGCGTGTCTCCGCCGTCAACAAGCTGTCAGAATATCAACCTTGCCAATACACGCCGCTGTGTAGATATCATCGATCTCAGCTGCGCGGCGGATAGCTCGAACAAGGGCACTTCTCCCAATGAACTGATGGTTGCAAGTTCAGGCTTTCGGGGTCGTAGCCTATCAGCCCAAGGCCGCCATGTTACGGTAAGCTATGCTCGTCATGTTGGGGTTGACCTTGTTGTACCAGTGCCTGTGGAGTTTGGGCCCAAGTTCAAAGCACCTGTTCTTAGGATTTCGTCGAAGTTGTTGGGGCTCAAACTCATCCCAGGTTGCGAGATTCAAGTCATTTGGCCCGACGGAATTCTCGGCCCGAGAGACCATGACGACCTCAAGGCTCAAGGCTCAACCTCCCCAAAAGGTCGACGATGTACGCAGGTCGCCGCCATATGTTTTGGTCCTTCATATAGGGGCCTCTCCCAAGCCTTCGGCGCTGCTTAGCGGTCCTTGACTTGTAGGGCTGCAGAGACCAACTCCCCCGCAAGATCACCCCTAAACTCAAGCCCGCGAACGCCCGAAAATGCGCCAACTCCGTAATATCATCACTGTTCTCGAGTGATGAATGGCTGATGTTTCTTTTTATATTCAAAAGGCTGGAAGTTTACTAGAAGTTTCAGTCTTACCAAGGAACAGAAGCTGGCTAATATGACTGCCTAAAGGATTTCATGGATCTACAGGAGAAGTTCCTTGTGATGGCTCTGAGTACCACGCACCATCATGATGATATCAGATTTTGCTGTCATCTTGAGCTCATGGACTGTTGTGTTCTCCCCTGGGAGACTAGCTTGTTTATACTGCTAGGGCTATGAAGGAGCTTCCTTCCTCAATAAACCCTCTTTTGCTTTCTCTCACTTCACGTTCTGAAGACTCGAAGCTCTGAACGCGTGTTTTCTCTTAGGATTGTCCTTAAATATCCTCTTCTTCCATCCCTCGTCTTCACTTAGTTATATTCTTGAAGCCATGGATCAAATGGGGCCTCACATCCATGTTGTGTCACCGGATGTCGCGTTAAAGAGTCTTGAAACATACGAGCTCATCGGTTTCGACACCGATACAGCTACCAAAATGTGGAAGAGCTTCGTTCATGCACCGGAGGATGACGATGCTCCTGATACCGAGTTTCTAGATTATGCCAGATTCCAGATCGAACATACAGGTGTCCGTGATATCGACTCGCTGTCCGACGATTGGGAGGAAGCGATGAAGCGCATAGGAATCAATGCGTCCTTACGCTCTTCAATAATGATGCCTGAGTTTGAAGATTTGCGCGCGACCCTTCCTGCAAGCACTGGCTCATTGAAGCTATCGAAATTTGCGTACCAAGCGCTACAGGGATTTGGATGAACAATTAAAGATGGAGCTGGCAAGACGCCAACACATCAAAAAGATATCCGGCCACCAACCGTCTTACAAGGAGGAGTCTGCATCCGCTCCCGCTCCCGCATCAACCGCCCAGGGGGCTCCGCTCGCTCTCGACCGATGTACGATGATCTGGAGGGCATGTAGTCGATCTAGCGCGGAAGAATTCACCAATACCGACCCATCATATCTTAACTTGAATCCAATGTCCAGTGCTCCAGGGGATTTTAGCGGGTATACTCGCCTTGCATCCTGGACCCCACAGAAAGAGACTGCCGACCGGTATGCGACGTGGCTGAGGTACAAGGTTCCCATTGCAGAGATCGCAATCATACAAGTAGCGATACCAGAAACCCTAATCAAGTCACTATCAGTGGCATATCTGTGGTCCAATGGCGCGCCGTCGGAAGCAGACCGATGGAGGAAGATCGTGTGGACAAGCAGGCGCGCACAAACGATTCCGAGGGATCTTTTCGATCTCGAACGTGTGGACCTATGGATCGGTCACATTGCATCTGGCAGGTACTGCAATTTCGTCACAATGAAGGACCCGAGCGAGATAAAGGATTCAGACGTTCTCAATATCAACATCGACAACACCGCGACAAAGGCCATACAATGGGTGTTTTACACGAGCCATGCTAGGGACGTCTTCTGCAAGGGATGCGCGGGCAAAGTGTGGGTTCATGGTCTTGGGAGACTTTTGGGAGGGAAGATGGAGTAAATTCTGTGGCCTGCCTTGATGTGGCTCGTTCACGGTTAATTGACACAACGATATGATAATAATGAGAAGGATATCTGCACGGATGCATGAAAGCTCGCGGTTGATGCACGTAGATAATAAAGGGCAGAAGAAAATCCGCTTTCTCACCTTAATCAGAAGCCTTATATTTGTACCCTCACGGATGACTATACCACCCAAGGCTGCGGGAGTCTTCGGGCCATAATAACCTGGGGGAAGGACGAGTGCATAGGCGGACGGGGAGGACGAGAATGAAGGTTTCGGTCGACGGCTCTGGATTCATGATCTATCAAGGTGTTAGATCATTGTTCTGGCTAGCATGGGGGGAAGAAGGAGGGTTTACAGCCCGGATGAAGCTAGAAAAGGGGGTTCGATGGTTGGGTTATGCAGCTGTTGTCGTCAAAAGAAGACTAGACGGTGGATAAGGCATTTAGATATACGGAGTATGCCAGTGCTATTTCAGCAAATGACTTTACCTCATGTAAAAGAACTGTAACCTCCCCTCTCTTCCCTTGGCTGCCCAGGGAACTAGTTAATTGTATTGACCATAAACTGTGACAGAGCGCCTTTGCCCCTGGCTGCTGAGCAGCTTCATTTTTATTGAGAGGATCTGATTCTCTCAAGTGAATGATCTAAAATGGAAATGGAATTCTTGTCATGGTGATTTTCTTAAAGCAGTGTAATCTTCGCACTCAAATAGTAGGCTGATGTGTCTGGAGCAGCAGCAAGCAGCCTTGCCTGGAGTAGAGATCACATTGTTTGCGTCCAGATACCGGCCAGCATGCCCATCTCAATCCATTCTGCAGCCCAACCGCAAAAAGATACTAATTTGCGTCATGTCGTTTGATCTACTTACATATTGGTGTGACGAAGGTTGACAAAATGAGCATTCGTACATGTGGTCAGTTCTTTTTAATGATTTTAAGAAATGCCGATCTACACAAGGGGTGAGAAGCAGATCATAGGCTGGGGAGCTGATTGCTTGAAATCAAACAAAAAAGGAATGCAAAACCTAGAGGTGGAAAGAGATGTTTGCAATATGGGATAACTAGAGTACAAAAAGATGTTGAGGTCGCTGCTCTGCTGCTCTGCTGCCCGTATTCCCGATTTTTCGGATTTTTCGTGATATACTCAACAGAGCGATCGATAGCCCGTTTCTCCACCCTCGGAATCAGAACGAAATCCAAACGCAGCTGATATGCCACGACAGAAAGGCTTCATCTGGCCTAAAGATCCCCTGCCTGGAAAACCTCTAAAATGGCCTTTTGGGCAACGCTTCAAGGACGTTTTACGGGGCAAAGGTCCGGATATATTCGTCGGTAATATCGATGGGCCAAACGCGAGCCCCAAAACACCGCGTTGGGCTCGATGGCAAGACGTGTATGGCGTTCCAGACGACGATCCGACGCTCCCACCGCTCTTCAAATGCTGCGACCGTGGATTGCAAAGATATGATTTCAGGACGAGAACATATAAAGTCCCTGATGCCGCTACTTGGAGTTATGTGGTGTATCCGGAGGACGAGGGAATGGGCGGCATCGAACAGCCGTTAATGTTTTGGAATGCACAAGGAGACCGGTTTCTGCATCCTAATTTGGGGCATTGGATGATGTGATTATATTTTTGCTGGCAAAAGTCGGGGTTGTCTAGCGCGCGCATGCTATTATCCTCCAACACAGCTAGGATGGTACGGCTCCCATGTGAGCGAACTCCCCACATCTAAAGACGCTGCCTTCTGGGGATTTCGTATCACTGGTAGCTGAGCGCTGCGATCAAGTAAACGACTGCAACCGGTGCATGGCGCAGTTTTGATATTGGAATAGGAAGAAATAAGATTCTACAAGAGTACGCGGTTAATTAGGCTTGTCGAATAAGGGGAGGCCATTCAAACCCTACCAAAAGATATGCTAGGTCCCATTTCCTGTCTCGAGATTGGATGCAGTTAAATATACCATGCTCGAGCTTCGTTGCATGTAATCGTGACTCCAGTGTAACGTTCCATTCTTCCACTCGTTGGCCAGTCGAATCGTTGACTTGCTGAACCAAAAAGCACATAGATATAGCTTGTAGCAACAAGGTAAACCGGGGGGTATTCTCAACGCATTGTATATTTTTAACGGCCAAGCCAGAGGCCTTGTTTGCCGCAAAAGACTCGACAATCTTTTTCCACTCACTGTTGGTAGACGCGAGTAGTTTCTTCTCTTCTTCCTCCTGTTCGTTTCTCTGTTCCTCATCCTTCAACCTCTTTTCTGTGTCAAATCGGGTCAATATCGCGCCGTAATCTCGCTCCCATGTTCCAGTAGTTTGAGGATAGTTTCCGTCGCTTTCCTTCAGCTTTTCTTTAGCTCGGTCAAAAGCAGCCTGCGTTTCTGGACTTCGCCACGCAGCTTTGAAGGCCTCAATTTCTTGATGTCCTTCGCGCGTAGTTTGGCTCAATTGATCGAACAGTTCCTGTGGAGATTTGGGGCCTGAAAAACGGTCATCTCCTTTTCTTCCTGCAATTATGGGAGCCAAGGGAGACCATAAGCGCGTTGGCACAAGAGTTCGCAGTTTTTGTATCTAACAAAGCGTTAACAATGAAAATATAACAGTAAAGGCAAAGGAAGTCAGCTATAACTTGCCTTTGCGTCCAGTTCCTGTAACTGCGCTAGAGCTGAAACGAGCCTCCTCTCAGAGTCACAGCCATCAGAAGCCATATCAGGATCAAATTTCTTGATATCCTCCGGGCTTCCAGCAGCGATATTCTGGGGAACGCTGCTTTTTGTATCGAGAGGTGCCGCCATCGGGAATGATAGCCCTAATAGGACTTGTAAACAAAGTCCCAAGCGAAATACTACACAAAATCACTCTGTAGGCCAAATCTAACAGCCCGGTAGGTGCAACAGCCACTTGCAGCAAAGTATCGGCCTCTCACAACCAGAAACCAGTACCCTAGCGACGGGGCAGCTGACCAGATGAGATTTGTACTTTGCAGGCTACTTCTCAGCTAAGATTAACAAGTAACTGTGGTTGAATTGTGAGTGTTGAATCAAGCAGACAAAGACCAGTCCGTCCCTCGTTGACTACCTAACAAGCTGACCTCCCGCTAGCAAACGGAATCGGAACAATGTTGATCCACCAAGGACCACAACATATAAACTGCAGGCTTCCACCACAAGGGCCAAGAGGGAAGATATGGCATTCTTTCTTCATCCCTCTCGCTGTCCCACTCGCTATGCTATTATTTGCTTGCTAGAGAATCCTTTCGGTCTTTCTGAGTCAGTACCTGGAGATGATAGATGGGTGCGGCTACGACATGTCAACCATCTTGGAATAGGCTCATAGAGGCACATTGAAACCGAGAGAAAGATAGTTGAACATGTTGGTAGATTGCTTCGTTCTAGACGCTCGGCGCTTCAGTGGTGATGCAAAGGCTTAAAACATCCATGTGGTCGGACGTTGAAGGAGTATGCCAAAGAAAGCAGGTATTAAACCTTTCGATCTGGCGGATATGTGAAGCATGGCCCTGGAGACTGAGGGAGTAGTTACTGGCCTGGGAACTTTGTCATGCAGGAGCTTGGCCTTGGCTGCTCTTATCAGAACGGCGGCGAGGAACGGCCCTTTGCAGGGATGAGAATAGTGATGCATTCATGAAGTGCCATTTTGTAAAATTGAAAATATTTGCCTATCTTTCATGTACCGTACAATATTAATAGTCTTATTAACCCCCTGCATTACTTATTTTAATCAACAAGACAACTCGCACAAGAGCTGTGTTGATTAGTTATATCGTTGATATTTGAACCAGAAGATTGATGAACCTGCTTCTGTTCGTGTTTGAGTATCAGATTGGTTACGGAGTGCATGTTGCAGAGAATGAGTTGTCACTATGGAACTCCGTGGAATGATGATCTTGGCTTGATACTCCGTTCTCCAAGATGATATTCTGACCAAGCCGAAACACAGGCCTCGAAATTATCAGCCTGCTAGCGGGCTCAACCGTCTCTGAAACCTTTTCTCTCGGACTGTGGGGAATCAGATTGCAGTTCTGCCATAACCTTTCAGTTCGCTTGTTACCCGAGGACTAGGGATGTCGATTGAGTTCAACGGTGTCAAAGGCGGCCTGGAATCCTTTTCAATCGAGTTAGCGCGGCGTCCTGAACACACTCAACACGGCTCAAAGTCTGAAGTCCTGTTCTGACGAAAGTCACCTTCTCGTTTCCAGCACCGGATTCACAAACCGGCAGACCTAGATCAGTTCTTCGGTTGAGAATCAGGTCTTCACTTCCAGAGAACGGCCCGGTCATTCAAACGCTGGGGATCGAGGCATGAGATTGGATTCCAGCGCTTTGGCTTGGCAGAAGTAGGTTCGTAGCTCGACGCCACCTTCTCCAGTCGCCCGGCAAGGGCCCGCTCAGCTTGACGAATTTCCGTGGCCCCAGAACTCTGTGTTTTGAAGGTTGGGGGATCAGACGTGATCTGAGATCCGAGTTGCATTCGTCTTAAAGACACCACGAACATGCTGGGGACACAGCTGCTAAGATGGAACTGGACTAGTTTGCAGAGTCAAAGCGTGAGGAATGATGTCCAAGCTTTGCAAGCAGATATCTTGGAGCCGTTCCAGACCGGCGCCTGTTTAACTAATCAGGCTTGGGGAACGAGGCGACCGAGTTTAGCGTCGGTGTCCCGAAGGAACCTGGCGGTGTCTCGAGCACTTCCTTTCCTGCTACAGAGGGTGGCGTCTGAAAGGGACGGTTCATCATCAACCTCCCGACCTCAACTGGCCGAGCACACCTCTCAGGCTGCGGCGAATTCACATACATACCAAAGCCCAGGACATGGCACGGCCTCCAAGCGAAAAAAGGCTATCTGCACTCTTTTGAAGGGCTCTGACTCGGGGGAAGAGAAATAAAAGGATGCTTCAGTCACCAGTTCCCGTCCTGCCGCTCGTCGACTCTGCTTGTCAACATTCAAATTCGAGCCGTGCTTCGCTCCTGAACCGAATATCGCTGTACAGCGTCCAGTAATCCTTCAGCAGCAATGGACGGCGCAGACCGCAAGACAGACCCGACTGCCCAAATTTGGGTCAGTGAGAAGAGCCTCAACATCACCATCATCTTTTTGACAGTTCTGGGCTCGGTCATATTGATCCCGACAGCGTATCTTCGATGGAAGCACAAACGACTCAAAGAGATTGAGGTGATCTTCATCGTCGCGGGCTATGTCTTCTTCCTCGGGTACGAGATCCTGTTGCTTCAAATCCAGAAAAAGGTCTATCGCCTCAGTTATGTGGGACTGGGCCAGATGCCGCCGTACCCCACGATCTTGCAAGATCGGAATGCGGTTGTTGTCATGACCATATCATCGACGATAGTTTTCTTCACCGGGCTCTGGTGCATCAAATTGTCGTTGCTTTTCTTTATCCGCCGGCTCATGAAAGGCCTTCCTGACGAACTTCGCTGGTGGCTTGTGGTCTTGGTTTATACAATTGCAACATGGCTTTTTTGTTTCCTTGTCACTCTTATGGGATGTGGGGGCCCCGCCGAGCTCCGCAAGCTCAAACAGCGTATGTTGATTTTCAACCTGTCTTCATCAAGGCGTGCGGCTCACGTTTTGTATAGGATACTGCCAAAGTCGCAAGGAGGCCACTTTGCGTAACGTTAGCCTTTTTGGCTCCTTTGCGGCGGATATCACCACTGATTTGTTTAGTGAGTGCCCTTTTCCTCCCTAGCTTGCTAGTGACCTGCGCAGAGTTGCTAATCCAGTTGGATTTTGATCAGTCATGATTCTACCACTACGACTTCTGTGGAATTTACGCATCTCTCTTGCACGCAAGATTGCTGCGTGCGCTTTGTTTTCGGTCGGTATCTTCTGTATGATCACGTCGATCATTCGCCTCGTTCAAATCGGCTCTAAAACCGGTATCACGAATCCAAATGTCCAATGGGTTTCCCTTTGGAGTACCGTTGAACTCACTACTGGTATGGTTGATACTCACTTTGATCCTGTGAATTTTCCAGCAGCTGACCGCATGCCCTCTTTCGCGCTTCCAGCAATCATCGTGGGTTGTCTCCCAACATTCCGACTCCTCCGCAAGACTTCCAAGCATACGGATCAGTGCTCTCCGAACACGGGGCTCGAGCGTTCAAAGGGCCCTCTGGACGTCCCTTCAAGCAAGGCACCCAGCTCACAGACCATTCCCATGAAAAAATTCAGCCCTCCAAGGAACAGGCACCTCAGTCACTACGACGACATCTCTTCATCCATGGAAAGCCTCGCTCCCCAAGGCGGAATTGGGGTGACCAGCTCTCCTTCGCGTGAGGCGTCCACCCACTCGGCCGCATAATAATCCTGGCCAATGTGTCTGTATTCTTGTTGCGTCTTTAGCGTCAATTCACTTCGTATCGAACAAAGAAAAGTCTCTTAATGTTTTCTAATTAATACCCTGGAGCTTGCGGTTCCCATCTCACCATGATTGCTCCTCTAGATTACCATGGACTCCTTCTTCCTAGATCAAGCTTGGCATGTTTCTATGGTTGATATTCCGGTTACCAGAGCTCACGGCTGTGAAAGCGTGGAGTTGGGCTCACTAGCAACAGTAACGTACAGAGGGATAATAGAACGTTGGAATTGATATTGTGTATAGCATGACCGTAATGTCGTACGAGCACAGTGTAGTCCCGCCAACCGGCTATCGCCCAGACACTTTCGACAACTACTACCAAGGGTAAGTAGTGAGTGGGGTCGGGCAAACGTGTGATATTAGACGTCGCGCAATGTCAAAGTATTATACTCTTGTGCAAGAGGAGGCTGCTTTGGTAGCAAATTCCCGTTTTCCCATCAAGTCCGCTTCTCATGGTGTCACCGGCTCTTCTGTCTGGGCAGGGAGAAAAGTTCGTGCGATTTCGGCCTGGACACAGACAGAGTCCCTTCGAGTCTCTCAGCGATCGGTAGAGAGAAAAAGGTTCTGGTTGTTGTCCCGGTGTATGTAGAGAAATGATCGCCATACGAATCCACTATCTCGGCCAGTAAACATAGAATCCCACAGCTAAATTTGGGGTTGTCCAGATACATGTGATTCGGACTGTGGCGTTGGCACATGGCGAGAGGCTGATTGACACAGCTTGTTAACTAGCGTCCAGCTCCCTGGCCATCTAGAAGGGGCCGCCAGAGAAACAAGCAGGAGATGGCTGGTTTGTGCCACCCATAGTGCTCCTTGTATACAGATTCTGAAATACCCTCCCGTGCAGAACCACGGCCGTGGTGCCAGCAGTTCAATGCGTCTCACCAACACCGCAGTCAACTCGATTCGCGGTGTGGAGCAGCTCTCGCCGTGATGCTGCAGCTATTGTAGCGCGGGTTATCAAACACCAGAGATCCTTGCCCTTTTAAATCCAGACTGCCCACCTCCAAACCACGGCGGTGACTCTTGATCACTTCACATCCAGGTGCGATACGACTCACAGGGAACAGACAAACAAAGGAGGTAAGTTCACCAGCTGCACCAAGACTCTTCCTTCCCTCTGCTGCTTCACCTGGTTGCAGCCTCTCTCCCTTCTTGACAGGCCTTCCGACTCAGCCACACCTGTGATGTAACTACTAGCGAATGATACTAAGCTTGGGTGATTGACAGAGTGCTGCAGCTTGATTTCGTGAACCCGGGCGATGCAACTAGAGCAGTGAATACTTTCCAATCCGATGCCCTCGTTGCCCTCGCCACTTACATCTCCCGACACCAGCTCGTCGGCCCTGGTCTCTGATGTAGCACCTTCGTCGTGCCTGGATGGGACGAGCTTCTCGCAGACCGACAGCTCGTCTCTCTCTGGGCCGGACGGGACCCAGCGTCGGCCCGCGATTCAATTCAACACCGCAGGATCTGAAGCGCGGCTACGGGAGCGATCGCAGGCGTCGAGGAAGGATAGGTTGCGGGCGCTTCGAAGGATACCGTCCCCGCCACCGCCTAGGTAAGTCAGCCCATGTCAATAGAGACCCTGCAGCGCACCTCCCATCAATCTCTCTCTTTACCTGCCACTCGTCATCCCTCCCCCCAAATTTCTCGCCAGGAAGTCTTTTTCTCTGCGTTGCAAGCGGTGGTCTCGTGGGTGGTCAGGGTGACTAAGAGCACCCTTCCCGGTCTGGGGCCCATCATTCCCACCCCGCAGTCCGCCAGCTCTGGGTCTGGGTTGCCCTAAATCGCGTGCCCCGCTTCCCAGGGAGCAAACACAGCTTCCATCTCTCCTTTCTCTCTCTCTCTCTCTCTCTCCTGCAAGCCCCTGCGTCCGACAGTGATTGAGTCGCATCCATCTCCATCCCAGCGAATCTCGTCGGGGAAAGCATCCCACGCGATGCATTCCACGGATTCGACGAGCTCTGAAGTACCGAAATCTGACAGTGGGCTGACGTCCTCTCATAAACGCTCCAGTTCCTATAACCGCGGCGTCTCCTTTGACACGTTTGACAATCGCGATGCGACCGATTTCTCCTTGACGCTGAACTACAAGCATAAAGATTACCACAGCACGCGCAGGAGCCGAACCTTCCTGTGCGGCACCGATCAGAACGATTACTCCGACTTTGCCTTGGAATGGCTTATTGATGAATTGGTAGATGATGGCGATGAGATCGTGTGCTTGCGGGTCGTGGAGAAGGACTCCAAAATTGCCAGCGATGCGAGCGTGGAAGGTGGAAGGTATAGGAAAGAGGCTGAAAAGCTATTCGAGCAGGTGATCGCAAAGAACGCCCACGATGAAAAAGCAATCAGCCTGGTAATGGAATTGGCGGTGGGCAAAGTTCAGGAGATTATACAACGAATGGTAAGCAAAATCCCCCTTGCGCGTGCTCAAGGCGTTGCATTTTCCTGGCTAATCACAGTAGATCCAAATCTACGAACCTGCAGCACTTATAGTGGGCACGCGAGGCCGTAGTCTTGGCGGTATGCAAGGACTCCTCCCTGGCTCAGTGTCAAAATACTGTCTTCAACAATCCCCAATCCCCGTTGTGGTGGTTCGACCCTCCCAGAAGCGGGAAAAGAAGAAGAAGAAGCGGCTCGCCGACCCGTCAAGACGGAGCTATAACCAAATCATGCGCCTCAGCCAGGCTAAAGGCGACCACCTTTTCGATACCACGAGTGCAAATAGTAGCACGTCAAGACTGCCGGAGCATGAGGAGGCTGCCGCGGTTGCTGCCGCGATTGGACTCCCGTCGAGCAGTGTGACAGACCTCCATGAAGAGCGGACCTCCAAACGTTCTTCGAGAGATTTTACGTCCAGCCAAACCAGCGACGCCGGTGAGACAGAATCGATAGGACAGAGAAGCACCTCAACGGCGCCCAATCCGCCGTCGCCGTCGCTCGACTTTTCGTCTGTCGTTCTTAAGAGCCCTGGTTTGCCGGATGCAGACAGTCGATCCGTTAGTGAGGGGGGCGAGGACGAGGATTTTATGGACGATAGCTCACGGATCACCCCGATTAGCACCACGGCGTCGGTTCATAGTTATTCAGATGATCCTATGGATGCGTCAACTCCTACCCCTCGTGCCAATGTGCCGAACTCATCTGAAACTGAAAAAGAGCATGGGCTAGAAGGACTGATGTCCAAACCCGCAATCGAGGATGATGTCCGTATGCACACCGGCAGCCCGGCCGAAACCAAGGATACCGGATGAGGGTTGACATGGCGGCCACGAGTCAAGTTGGTTTTTGTGAAGGAGGCCTGATTCGAATAGATGATGACTCCATTCGTTTTCCCCCCTCTGCTAGAGTTTTCTGACTGGTTTTGAGCTGTCTTTTTTTCAAGGCGTTTTCACGAGATTGTTTTCTTCCGGGCATTCCGGCTTTTATGCCTCGCATTGACATGATGCGGGGGAATGTTCCTGACCCGGGTGTTTTTCAAGGTGTCTAGGAGTCTTTTTCCGGTTGAGTGATTTCTGCGGTGGACTTTGTAACAGTGGAAAACCCTACTTTGTGTTCTTTTTGCTTTCCACTCTTGAGTATTGAATATGAATGAATGAAACGAGAAGTTTGACGTTATATCTTGTCCTCGCAGTCGTGACTACACTGGGTATAGCAGTTTCTCGGACATTGTATACACTCTGTAACTTTGGGCAATACGAGGAGGTTTTGACATCATCCGCGCGGGTGAACGTGATAGACGGTTGACAGAGGGGGATACCCCTCGTGGGCAACCAAGCCACGGTTCTGGCAGTTATGTCGCTGCCTGGAAACGGTGACAACTCCCCCGTTGGCGTGTGACTATGTACATATGCTGTTTGTTGCCCTGTTTTACCGGAAGTCGGGGCATGTCGGGCCGATGAGTCAGGATTAAGGAGTTGGGGTTTTGTTTACTTAGGTTGGGGGGAACCCGATCAGCGGGGAAGATAAGATAAAAGACGGGGGGGTACGTATGTATGTATGTATGTCTCAATAGGGGGGCTAGTTGGTTATGTTGGTTTTTTTTAAATTATCTTTGCCGATTGCCGGGGTTTTTTTCCTCTCATCTGAATGTTGATTCCTGGTTTTGTGTTATGGTGGACCACGTGGAGGGATTATGGGATGGAAGAGAAGCGGCAAATTTGTACATGCCAAAGTTCTAAACACGGGGAATGATTTTGATTCTCAAAGTAAGTTTTGTAATTTTTTTGGGGCTGATATTTTCTGCTTTAAAAGTTGTAGCTATGGAAACTATGAGTATGTAGAACAAGTCTCAACCATGCCAAAGCCAGTCAACGCTCTGAGGGAGAACATTGGGAGATGTAGTGTGAATGTGCTTATTTTTTGCCTTGTTTGGAGAGGAGTGGTGTGGGGAATGTTTTGGGAGAGAGGTGATTTTGGGGTATTTGTAGATAAAAAAAAAGTCAAAAGGCCGTCGAACCCAGCGAAGGCTGCGAGGAAAAAAAGGAAAATCATTGCTCAAAAGCGCTCCAAATCCCATCCAATGCCGCAGATGCTGATGAGGTATCTCGATTCGAAAATAAAGTGATATTATATATATCAGGCGAAAAATCGGTGGTCGTCGCTCGCTCGAAAAATGTAGAAGAGGAATAAATGCAACTTTTTTTTTCGTAAGAATGTGAACACGGCTTAAAAAGCCTCAATCATCCGTCTCTGCTCTTGCGAGGGGATGTAATACCCTTCCTCCAAGAACGTCGACTGATCGGATTTCGAAAGCGGCATTTTGGGCGACGACGACCGCGATGCGCGCGGAGTCGGCTGTTTGGCAGTCGGCGAGTACAGGCGCGACGCGAGGATCACGCCTTCGCGCGGCTCTGCCTCGGAGAAGTGGTCGAATGTGAGCTGCGGCGGGGACGGCGGGCCGGATTCCTCTTCGGACTCGTCGTCGCCGGAGTCGGCAAGTAGTTCTGGGGGTTGGCGGGAGTGGGAATGTGTTCGTGTGAGCGCGAGGTCGGCGAGATCATCTTCATCGTCGTCCTCGGGCTCAGATAGGTCGTCGTTGTTTTGCTCATGTTCCATGTCTGCATAAGAAAGGGCATGAGAATGTGCGGCGGCCGTGCTGGCCTTGGTCGAGGTCACTTTCGGGGCGACGTCGACGAAGAAAGCGTCATCCTCGCCGTAATCTGAATCGTCGGAATCAGAGTCCGAAACGGCCTCTCCGTTCCAATCGTCGTCGTCCTCTTCCTCTGGCTCTTCAGCGATGACGGGCGTGCTCGCCCATTGGATGTGTTTGCGGGTGTGTTCTGAGGTGGTGTTTGCGCCGTGCATGGAGAGATTGAACCATTTTTCCTGCTCTCTCTCGGCCTCGGCGAGATCGAGCATGAGCAGATCAAGCATGTTTGCGTGGCCGACGAGCAGTCGGAGGTTGTGGTCTGGCCGAGAAGCTTCCCGCGAGAGCTTTGCTCGGGCAGTGTGAGCCAGGTAGTATGTTTGCGTGATGCTCATTTTTTTCTGTTTTTTCTGTGGAGGAGGAATTGAAAAGGAAGGCTGTGAGTTCGGCATGGTGAGGAAGAATTTATTTTTATTTTATTTTTTTTCGGGTCTGCAATTGAGGAAAAGTCGGATTGTATATAGCTGAGACCCAAGATCGGAATTGGGTTGCCTGTGAGTCAGGATTTGATAGGTAAGAAAAACTAGGCGTGGTCAGGTCTCGGATTGGCCAATCAGGGCGGTGGCTGATGGTGCATGGACAAGTCGGTGAGATGAAGGGCGGTTGACGTGGAGACGATCACCAAGCACTGGTGGTGAGCAAAAGTGATATGGTTATCTTGATCGAGATGCAGATTTAATATCGTGATAGCGGGGAGGGAACAGCTGATATTGATATAGATTTCTGCTACGGACGAGATGGGGGGTCTTTTTCTCCGAATTCCACAGCAGAACCAAAGACGGTATTGTTATGACGAGGTGTCAGGACGGGTGGCTCGGCACTCAACGCCGAATGACTGCACGGGGCTCCGCTGGCCAGCACCTCGCACGCCCATTGGCTGCGCAGCGGCCGGCGGTGGGGTAAGCCGACCCGCTTGGCGGCCAGCCTTATGGTATTGAAACGGTTCATTATTAATTACGCGCGTGCCTGAGGCCTTGTTTCCGATCCGAACAGTCAGCAACGTTATGCTGGGCGGACCAACGTCACGCTGCAACGGACGAAAGACAGCCCAACACGGCGTATCTTGCGAGCCGATCCTGCGCCTCATTAAAAGAGTTACGACGAATTACTCATTTGGTCAATCTGTCTGCCTGAGACTCCCTGCTGCAGCAAGTCCCCCTTTTTACCACAAAGAGCTTTTCGACGCAACCCACTCCGTGCTCCAGACCAGGCGGTGACTGCACTCGGATTATTTCGTGATTAATGCCGATTGCCCGCACAAAATGCTCGCCGGGTTCCTTGGATTGCGAGAAATGATTCTGGATGATTCAGCCGGGGATAGCTCTGGCCTTAACTGCGGTCCCGGCCCAGTACGGTATCGTCACAAACGCCGTCTCGGAGTTTAGTTACAAATCAACAATTGTGAGTCAGATCGCGTCAATTTGTCAACAAAGTCAGCCGGCCGCTTTTCGTCCAGGACATCATCTCGTTTAATAATTACCCTCTCCTTTTGTTCACTTGGACTGGTGTCACATTTTCCGTTTGTTTCTTCTTTTTTCTTCTCGAGATTTGCTGCTGAAAAGAAAAGATCGTTGTCCCCGCTTTCTCCAATCTATCGTGGCGATCGACCGCCTGCCGAGCGAATACGGATACGGAACCAGCAAATCAGGAACCGTAATTTTTCGCGCTCATGTGACCGACTGATCCTGAGGTCTCCATGGAGAAGCGCAAAATACAGCATCCAGAGCCCAGACTGAGAAGAGGAACAGAACAGGGCTCCTGGGCACTGTTTCAAAGGGAATGCGTCTCGCCAATGGATTTTCTTTTTTAGGACACCCGCCCACAAGGGTTTTGGCCCGTTTGAGCGGTAAGTTGGACGACATGGATATGTGGCTTGGGACAGAGCGGTCTGTCTGACCTGGTCGGTGTTCTCCGCTGCTGGTCGCTGCGGCTCTGGCCCTGAATTGAGTTCTGCAGAGCGACCCTGATGGCTGATGCCTGTCCATCCAGCGCTCAAAGCCACACCTGGAGAGCTGTTCTCAACCCCAGCTCCCAGCCGTCGTGTTCGCCTCGTGGGCTCCTCAGACCCTGTCAATTACCCTCTTTGGCATCAACCTGTTTCTTCGAGATACGACTCTGGACTCCGCCATTGCCGGGTGTGCCGTCCTGGATGGGACTCCGGCCCTTCCCTGTCCCGGCGCTTTTTATAAATGTTGCTGCCCAGCTCTGGCTTGGGGTTCCGGCTACGTGGCCTTGGTCTCTAATTCGCTTGGCCTCGCCAACGAATCGGTGACATGCACATTTTTGTTTTTTACACAATGAATCTGCCTGACTCGGAAATGGCTGCGTTTGCGAGCCGGGCAAGGACAGCACCACGCGCGGGGCATGACATGTAGAAGGAGTGTGGCTGTAGGCGCGTGTTTGCTCCCGATAAAGGGCCACTTATTCATGGTTCAGTCGCTCCGTGTCCGCATGAGATTCTACAGACTACAGCGTACTCAAAAGGAAAATACGTTCAATGCCGTGGTTGTTAACGGAGCAGGTATCAACGCAACTAAGAAGCAAAAAGAAGTACTCCGTACTCTCGGGGTACAGTTAATTTTGTCAGACTCGACGCTTAGCCGTTCGAATGCCCTGGGCATTAGAGGATATTCTCTTTCAGCTCAGCGGTTAAGGAACTCGCTTTGTTTCAAAGATTTCCCCTCGGGCTTTCGGTTTAGCGTGCCCTCCTGGGTATAGCGCATGGCCTCGATGAAGTGGGATATATAAAGGTGCCTCACGCCGCCTTTTCGGATTTTCCTCTCTTTCCAGCTTGTGTTTGAGACTGATATGGGGTTTAGCACCTTTGAGCAAAGGAAAAAGGTGCATGAAGATTAAACGTGTTGTGACTACCACGTGATGGGCCTGGCCCCGCGCTAAATGTTCCCTCTTCATCAAAGACAAAGACTCGCCTGCCCAGTTTCCTCACTTCCGTCGTGCTCACTGATGCAACGCCAGGCGAGTCAGTATCCCGGAAGCCGACGGCCAGCTGGCAGCGGGCCCAAGTAGCTTAATGCAGGGCGGCGGTTACTGTCACAAACTACGAAGATCGGCGTTCTAAAGAACTCCTGAACAATCGGAAAGGATCAATTTAGGCCCGGATATACTATTATCATCGCTCAAAGCTTTAGATTCAGCGTCGGATCTACGGGGATCAGCTGTACGCGCCCTTCAATGGTTCTGAATCCGCATCGCGGTTTCATCCAACTGTGTGAGTAAAAGTCCATGATCGGCGAGTCAAGCCGGGGCAATGCGGCAGGGAGGTTCGGCGGCTATCTAACAGTCAGTAGCAACTGATATCCAACCAATTCTCTGGCGGCACGGATTTTGATACGCTGGTATATTTAACTCAACGGCGCAGGCGTTTGCCTCCAGGTACGATCACAGCCAATCGATGTTTTGCTCCAGTTGTTCAGTCGAAACAACGGCTGGCGCCGCATGGAGACTCCCTCCGCATAAGAAAGGAATCTAAGTGCCGTGATCACATATAAAGTGGCCGTCATGCTGCACCCAACAGAGGCAAGATGTACTAACCGTCTCTCTCAACAATATCTACTTATCTTCTCCTGACAACCTTTTCCAGCGAAATTTCCACGTGTAGGTATCAGGCCAGTTTTCTTCGCGCACAGTACTAACATCGTATAGCCATGCCTCCCCCCAACAATTCTCAACCTCAAGTAGCTGTGCGAGATGCTACGCATGCGGTCGGCGCGGCATTACGCCAAACCAAGTACGCCGTCATTGGTGGAGCAGCATGCATGCTCCTCGGTTCGCCACGCATTACTCAGGTGGATTTCGTGGTCCCTACAGGACGGATGGGCGCTGCTCGACAAGAGCTCCGAAATGCAGGTGTCTTCACTATTCAGTCAGGAACTCTCCACACCTATTATCAAGGGGTTGCGATTGAGATTCTTGAACCACCAGCCCTTTTCAAAGAACGATATGACGCGGAAACCCCAACGATGGAAGTTGAACATGTGCGCATTCTCAAACCCGCACTCATACTCAATGCAAAATGCCGGTCAATCTTGGGACGGGCCAGCGAAGGCAAAAAAGGGACTGACGCTGAGGATATCCTATTTCTTCTACAATGGTTTGTGGACAATCCACAGCACCCAAAACCGACTGCGGCAGAAGTCCCAAATGCTACCAAAGAATTCCACGATTGGTTCACCGCGATATACTGCCCATCACCGAAGGATAAGGCTTTGTGGCCACAGGCCGGGTTCAAGATAAGCACAGGCAAGTAAAGTCCGCCCTGAAACATTTGCATGCAATAACTAATCCAAGCTTCTATCAAATAGGCACCTTCTAACCAAGCTCAATGCACTTAGGAAATGAAGGTGAAACCGCTCAACTGATCAAGGTCACCCCTGGAATACCTCATTCATTGTTGTCAGATTTCTTGCTTTTTGCAGATTTACCTTCTGCCTTCTTTTCCCTTCTTCTTGCGCTCGTACCGTTGATGGCTGTTACTCTTATGGGATGTTTTAAGTCAGAGTTTGAATGCATCTTGAATAACCATTTACAATCACTGCTGTTTAAGTATTGTGATTATGCAACTATTATTCCAAACACCCTTTCTCATATTTTCATTACTTGCAGTTCACACCCACAGATGACTCAAATTTATGATACAAACTCGTTTCACTAGATACCATGTGATTCATTTGTGATTTGCAGGTGGAAGCATAGCCAGCAACTGTGCCTCCACACCAGCTGTGAAAAATCGATCATCATCCCTCGAAACTGAGCACTCACATATTTCATAATCCCCTCTGAGTATGGAGTCTCGGACCTTCTTTGAATGAATTCTAAAAGGCTCTCGAGTATAGCTGACTCCTGCAATCACATCAAAATGGTACTGTTGATGCTCCACTTTCAAGTAATCTGCAAATTCTCTGAGATTTAAAATTGGAACATAGTCATAAAGATAGCCCAAAAAGTTGCTTATGTGGCGGCAGAAAAAAAGGTGATCTGAAGTATCCAGCCATTTTCTGATGAGGGAATCTAGAAGTTGGTGTAGTGGTGGAATAAAGGGCCATCTAGCAATTCTCTGAGGCTGCCAGCTTTTCTGCATGGCAATGTCTGGAAGCTTGATATCCCAGTCGGAAGCTGCAGTAAGAGCAACCACAGGATCAAAGTTTCTCACACTCTTACATTGCAGTTCAACAAGATAGCAAGTGGCCTCCTCAATATCAATGTACCGTGCTTTAAAGTCAGGAGGTGGTGGATGCCAACCTCTTTCAATAAGTGCGTCTGCTGCTTTCTTGACATCATCCACAATGATATGTATGTCAAAGACACCAGTGGGTACTCCATAGTATACTAATGCATCTTCAGCCCAGAGGTAGCATGATATGCCACTTTCCTTGAGTAGGCGGCATGCTGAATATCGCTCAATAGACCACGGGTCATCGCAAGCTTGTTTTGCATACTGCTCAAGGAGCCAGCCCTCAATGGGTGTGACTTCATCAAGCGCAGGCGACATCGTGGGATATCAGAGGAACTTGATATTTGTATCACGTAGCTTGAGCTTTCGATGGCCGTGTTGATTGTAACCCTTGCAACTTGTAATTTCAGATACTCTTAAATGTGACCGATGCATGCGGCCTAGTAATCTCTGATGAACCAGAATCTCGATGGTGAGCCAGAAGATGGTTACATCGAATGGCAGGGAGAGTCGATGCTGTCGGCGCGAATAGTGAGAAGGATCAGAGCATCAAGGGCACTGCGTCACGATGCTAGCAGCGAAAGGAAATGTAGCAACCACGAGCAGTCAACGGCCAAACTCGCAGGCGCTACGGTAGTAAGACGGTGGCGGGAGGAGTACGGGGTGAGCGCAGGGTGAGCCTCAGGCGGATTCAGGTAAGGTGGCGTGCGGGGAGAGAGCAAAAGGGATGATTGATCAAAACAACACGGACAGTCGGGTGGTTTTTTTTGGCGGGGGTCGCGGGCAAGCTTATGTAAGAGCAGCGACGCTAGTTACTTCTCAACCTCATGGTGATGGGTGAAGGATTACTGCGGGCAGCGTTCAGACATGTAACGGCTCAGCCCACTCTTGACGGCCGGTATGCCGACCAAGATGGAGCATTGTACCAGCAAAAAGGCCACTATTTTGCACTCAAAGGCCACGATTTATATCATCTTTTTCACTGACACCTAGAGTTACTCCGTACTCCATACTCCAGTCAAACATCCGAATAGCCAAACCAATCATCCTGCGGCCATCATTTTCCGGACCCTCTTCTCTAGGCTCTGCTCAAATTGCTCAACACCATTTTCCTGGAGATGCAATTTGCCTGCTTTCAAAACAAAAACGTGGCGCCGGCCCATCTCGTTCTCGTCTTCAGACTCGCCTATGACGCTGTTTTCTACCTCATGGTCCGCGTCTCTCTTCCCCTCAACGACAGCCCGGACGAGGAACCGGTCGTGCGACACAAGAAGGATCGCTCCGTTGAATTCCGAGAGAGCGCATGATAGCGCGATCACCGTGTGGAAATCGAGATGCGTTGTGATTTCGTCGAGAATTAGGAGATGCGGTCGTTTCCAGAGGATCCTAGCGAGTGCTACCCGGACCTGGGAATTGTCAACATCCAGAATCTCCTGCAGCTGCCAAAACACTCACTAACTGGCCACCCGAAAGCTGTCCGATCTGGACGTCGGATGCTACCCTTCCAACCAGACCAACCGAGCTCAAGATTGCGCGAGCATCGCCTTCGCTGAGGTCTCCCTCGGCCTCTTGCGAAATCAATCCCAACGCGGTTAACCCGGGCCTCGATCCACCCAAGCCTTGAAGGTCTTCAACGGCGTGCTGGGAATAATAAGCAAGCTTAAGCCTAGGATGGCGTGACAGTTTCCCCTGTGTTGGTTCCAAGGCCCCAACGAGCACACCAATAAGTGTTGTCTTACCGCTTCCATTGAGACCCATGATACCCACCCGGTCACCCATATGGATAACCAAGTCAATTCCATCAAGCACCAAAGCACCTTTGCTCTTGTATTCAAAGGTCGCCGCTTCTAAGGAGAGCAACGCTCCTGGAAATCGCAAATCGGGGGCGTCTGGAATTTCAAGGCTCGCGCCCTTCTCATCCGCTGGAACTTCAATCTCAGCCCGTAATGAATCGTGCCATCCCACACGGTCCCGACTGAGCTTGAACCTCCCCCCAGTGGCACTAACTTCAACGCCCATTCGCTCCTCAAGTTTCTTTTGTCGGGATTTCGCCATGCGGAGTTTATTGTCGTCACCAGTTTTCTTACCAAGTTTGATATTATCTCTGATGGTGGCTTTCATATGAGCCGTTTGGCGGTCCTGCGCCTCTTTCATTCTCCCCCAGTACAATTTTTGAGCTTCAATGTCCTTTTCATACGCAGATATATTTCCCTTGAAATATGTCAGCGTCTGATCTTTCAAGATAATGATCTCTTCGCACACTGCGTTGAGGAAATCCCTGTCGTGGGAGACCACAACTACTGTTTTATCACTTTCGCCACGCATTCGTGTTAGGTACGTTTCCAGCCAGATGACGCCTAGCAAATCTAGGAAATTCGTTGGCTCGTCGAGGATCATTATATCAGCCTTTTGGATGAGGACTCCAGCAAGCATGCAACGCATCCGCCAGCCGCCGGATAATGACTGGACTGGCTGATCGAACGAGGATTCCCTGAAACCGAGACCTAGTAATATCTTTCGAGCTTCTTGCTCCCTGTCGACAGCGTTGATCTTTTGAGCCTGGTAAGTTCTGGTGTTTACTTGGATAAGGAGAGAAATTGTTCCTTACGGCTTCAAATCGAGCTTGAAGATCGTCAAGCATCTCCACAGCAGCTTGGGTCTCTTCGTGAATTACGGATGCATCTGTGGTTTCTAGTGGCTGGTCGAGGCTATTGCACGTCAAAAGAGAAAGACTATCAGGCCCTGATCTCCATCATGTGTTACATACGTGTTGGAAGACTCGACCACCTTGTGCTCCACGGCTTTCAACTCCTTTCTTGCCTGCAAGCCTCGAGCACCGCTTTTCAGAGCCGCATTTTTCTGCGCGAGAAAAAGCTCCTGTTCCAGCTGCTCGTGCCGGAGCTGTCTCACCGCATGGGTCGGTCCGAGCTTGTCCTCTGGGGCTTCAAAGGCCCGAGATAGGACTTTTCACAAACACTTAGTGGTAGGAACGTGGTCAAAGGAGCCAACTGGTGGCTACCTACTATCGATTTTTCTGACAATCCCACTCCTTGATTCGTCACTCTCTAGAACCTGTTGTAACACCGTTTTCGTCGCCTTGCTACTAGAAGAGACTTTGCCAGTTGGTTCCGCAGGCACTGCACCGTCCCCCAAGCATGCTTCTTCGCCATCGGTTTGTTGAAGGATGGCCATTTTTACAGATTCCGGGATACCCGGGATCAACTTCTCAGCCATCGCACGGAGAATAGCTTGTTGCAAGTCAACGATCTTTTCCGCTTTCAAGGAGGCCCGATTATTACAATGGTGGAAGTCGGCATCTTTCTTGCTCTTTACTTACTAGATTTCCCTGTTCCATTCCTCCCAACAAACCCGTAGAGCACGCCCGTCTTCAAGCGCAAGTTGGCATTCGAGAGGATTTCCTTTCCTGAACTCTTGGATTTTTGTTTTCGTGACTTTGTAGCGGTATTTACAGCGGCTGTGGATGAGGTCGGCACCCCGTGGGTTGGGTGGGAGATGAGGATGTCGAGGCCTTGGATGTCAATCTAGATTTGATAGCACCAGAATTAATAGTTGAAACCAGGGTGGTAATTCTGTTTTGAATCCATGAGCTTCCCAATTGTACTTCATTTCGCACATACCTCTCCTGAAGCTTTGTCATCTCGCAAATGGAAGCGTGTTTGCTTGCACGCTGCGAGTATGGTTGGTCGTGACATGATCGGTCGCCACCGATTTACTTGCAACCTGCGACGAAATATGCAGATTTATTACTTGTAGAAAGGTGATGAATCTTCTCCCATCCGTTCCTTGGTCGATTTCGGATTTGCCGGGACACCTGTGAGTTTTTACATTCCTTCGCAAGTCGTGCGATGGACAGATTGTGTTTCGAATTGCTCAAAAAGGTCCCAAACGAAGCTATTTGTCGGAGTCCAAAAGCAGTTCTCCGAAAAACGTCAGGGGGTTCATAAAATGCTCGATATTGACTTTTCCAGCAAACAATTTTTTTTCTTGCCCATGGTCTACTTCATGTCGGGTTATAGAAACGAGTATCTAGTTACCAAGAATGGCCAATGAAACCGCTAGGAGCAAAAATAGATGAATATTCAGAGAAAGTGGCCCAGTTTCGCTGTGTGCCAACTCCTAGCTTCATATATTTTTTTAACATCACTGTAACCTATCAACTGATAACATATGTACCCCAGAAAGATGCCTAGCCCAACCGCAACGTAAACCCAGCCCCAACCTCCGTTCCACTCTCCGCCGTGCCGCCTTTCCCCCCAAAAACAGCTGCAAAATCCAGACTCGGTGCTTCTTCCCCCCTTTTGGGCGCTTCCGGCGTATCCCTCTTCCTTCTCTTCTCCATACCCGCCTTGGACGGGAAAGTTGGGAACATTTCTTTCGGCTTGGGCTTGGGATCTTCGCGGAAGTAGGCGTGTGAGAGGCACTCTTTGGCCGTGGGTCGGGAAGCGGGGTTGAGTGCGAGGAGGTTGGAAAGAAGGGTGAGGCCGGCGGTGGTTAGGTAGGGAAATTTGGCACGGGGAAGGAGGGGGACGGTGGTAGGGCGTTTCGAGGAGGTTGTGGATGGTGGGAGGCGGAGGGACTTTGCGTTTGGTAGGGAGCGGAAACCGGGCCAAATTTGTGAATTTGGCGGGCCGGTAAGCTTGAAGATCTAGATGATAGGGTTAGAAGATGAGATGGATGGGTCCTGTTAGGAATCAAATACCTCTGAAAGTTGCTCGACTTCATTTTTCCCTTGAAGGAGCGGTTCTTTGGTGAGTAGTTCGCCAAATATACACCCGATACTCCACATATCAATCTCTGGCCCGTATTTTTCTGCTCCCAGGAGTAGCTCTGGCGATCTGTACCACAAGGTGACGACCAGTTGTGTCAATTTCGGCGGTGGATCGCCATAGTACCTAGCCATGCCAAAATCCGCAAGTTTGATTTCCCCGCGATTGTTCATCAGGAGGTTTGACGTCTTCAAATCGCGATGCATAATCCAATGCGAATGAAGGAACTCAACGGCAGAAATAAGTTGCAGGAGCAGCGTCTTCGTCTCGGAGGGGAGGAATGGTTCGCGCATGTCGTCGAGGAGGGTCTTGAGGTCATGCTCCAGGAAGTCCATAACCAAAAATACGCTGCGAAAAGAGGAAGTAGTTGCAAAGGAAAAGGTTAATGTCACTCTGGTATCTGGGCTTTTCAGGACAGGGGGCCTTGAAAGAAAAGTCACTGAGCTTACTCGTCCATGGTGTCCCCCATCACAACCTGCCGCAGCCTCACAATGTGCGGATGACGGGCTTCTTGTAGTGTTTGAATCTCCCTAAGCCCGGTAATTGGAAAGCCATCGTAATTGTGCTCCATCTTGAGCTTTTTGATCGCGACAATCTCTGACGTGTTGACGTCCTTTGCTCTCGAAACCCAGCCGTAGGAGCCCTCTTCGATGGCATTTAGCCGTTCGTAGTTATCCACATGACGGCAAGGACCCCATTCTGGACCGGGGAAACGAAGTATAGCTGTCGGTTTCTCTCCAGCGACGCGTCCATCGGCAGCCTGGTCCATTGAAAGCCTTCGTCGCTTCGTTGGTCGCTCCGCTTGCGTACCGCCGCCATCTGTTCCAGCTCCTGCGCTGCCATTCGCGTTTGCCGCCTCAATGGCCAATGACGCAGATTGCCGTTGCTTCTGGGCTTCCTCGAATTGTCGCTGTTTCTCGGCCTTTGCTCGTTTCTTCTCTTCTTTCTCGCGCTTCTTCTGGTCGAGATATGCTTGCGTTTCGGCGTCATCTTCGGCCCATCTGGACTTGGCTGCGGAGGACATCGCTGGTGTGCAGAAGGGTTGGACAATCGGCGGTCATCAAGCTGCCGTTCGTGCATTTGACTGTCTGGGAGCAACAACATAGAGCTCGTTAGTTCTCGAACGCGGTTGCATCAAACCAAACAAGCACGGAGCGGGTTATTGTTGTCCCGGTCATTAGTTAGTTAAATAGCGTCATCAACAGAGCAGGCCAGACTGCCAGTGCCCGTCTATGACTCTAATCCGTGTTATCATGCCAATCCAATCGTTAATCATGGTGGCAACTAATGTGACTAGCTGGATTGTGACAATTTGTTCACTCCATTGATCTGAGCTGGTGACAATTGACATCAGCATCAGCAAGATCTAGACGTCGTTATCAAGATTGGATTATCAATTCTCGGAGTGGGCTGCGACTACGAACTTCCCGACCCCACCACGAACGAACTAACTACCCAAAGTCGAGACTCTGCCATGGAGATTCGCCTTGGTCGTTACTCTTATTACTCTAGTCATCGATTTGTTCTTTTCGACCTTTGGAGATTGCGAGTTTTAGCACAGTAGTATAGCCGTCGCAAAGGCCTGGAAGCTCCGATTCCCGTCATGATCGAACCGTTTCAGGTCCGCATTCTCCCTGTATGATCCCACTGGTACACGGCTGCTGATATTGTCTAGGCGACTTTCGCAGTGCCTTTGACATGCGAAAGTTGCATTAAAGATATTTCGAAACCTTTATACGAGATCCAGGGTAATTTGCCGCTGCCCGCCTTGTCCGAATCATGGCTGAGATTGTTTGCTTAGGGATTCAAAAGGTTGAAGCAAGTCTACAAGACCAATTGGTATTAGTTGAAGGAACCGCCGCGCCTTCTGCCATTGTGGCGGCGATTCAAAACACTGGACGAGATGCCATTCTCCGTGGAAGCGGGACGAGCAACAGTATGTCATGCCACCGACTGTCGTTGTTCTTGATAGTCGAGAGAGATATTGCCACAAGGAACTGTACTAACCGTATGGCCAGATGCCTCAGTATGTATATTAGAAACTCATGCAAAGGTGTCAAATTCAATTCGAGGTCTTGCACGAATGGTTCAGGTTTCCAATCAGCGCACGCTTGTTGATCTTACCATCAACGGCTTATCTCCTGGCCAGTACTGGGCAACTGTACGTGACACAGGCGACATTTCACGAGGTGCCACTTCGACGGGCGGAATATGGGAGGCTCTGAAGCAAAAGATTCAAGGGTCTGAGGAGCCAAGAGGCATCTTCGGGAGAGTAGATGTCGACGAGAAAGGCAAGGGGAACGTATTTCTTGACCGTCCGGTGGCGGTTTGGGAATTAATTGGCAGGAGCATGATTGTGTCGAAAAACAAGGACGGGCCGTTCAAGGAGGACGACCCGAACACTATTGTTGGCGTGATCGCCCGAAGCGCTGGCGTCTGGGACAACGAGAAGATGGTCTGTTCTTGCTCCGGGAAGAATGTCTGGGAAGAACGAAAGGAGCAAGTTGCCAAGGGCATGGTATGAGTTCTCTTCCCCAGTGACGGTTCTCCCCTCAGGCCACATGGGGCTTGATCCTCGTGGACCGCCGAGGACGATCTACTCTTTGGTGCAGCCGATATTGGGAGTTCTAGAATCGCAGCCCCCTCCGGAGCTTCTGTAGAAGTCACGAATTATGATAAAGTATGAAGTCAAAAAAGATCTGGTCTCACAGCGGACCAATTGAGAAGCCACGATGATATAGAAATTCTGACACCTGTCATAGAGGGATCAGGTTAAGCTATTTTCTTCCATGGTTGAGTTCGCACCCTAAACAACCGCCGTTTGAGATTTCTGGTTGTTTCTTCCACAGTTTCAACTCGACGCTCCAGATCAAGGGCCTCTGATGCAGTTTGATACTCAAAGTTAGGTAATGGCGCGCAAGTTTCTTATGCGCAATCCACGGTAGAATCAGCAACTGTGGCTGCCTGCGCTGGGGGTGTCGAGACGATAAACGGCCACCATCTGGAGGTATCACAAGGATGCTGCAGACCGTTAACTAACGATGCAGTTCAAATGTGGCGTGATGGGCAACCTGCATCCCCTCGTCCTCGCTGCAGTCTTGATCACCACACAACGCCTGTCTTCATGCAAATCAACCGCCACTCCATGAGCCCATGTCACTCATCACCGGCCAATGAACCCTCGATTCTAACCCTTTTCACCCGCAAAACAGCGAATCGGAGCACCTCGACACTGCTGTGGAGAGAGCAGACGGATTCTGAGTCGATGGCCGTGTTGCATTTGAGACTTGGCCTGCCTATGAGGGGGAGCCGGTCTCGTTCCGCCAGTGCGTCTTGGAACGCTAACCCTTGCATTCTGCAACGCCAGATGTGATAGGCGACTGGATCGAGGTCTGGTCGCCGGCAACCCCTCGCTCGCTGTGTCGCCCGCAGATTTTAAGGTGCGAAGGTCGTGTCTCTTGTGTTCCGGTGTGGCTCACTCACCGGCTGGCGTTGAACCGCACCCTCCCCCAATTTCCCCTGTGCACCACCTCCGGGATGACTTGAGAGCTGTGAAAAGTGGCTATCCGAGTAATTTGATAGGACCTTGCGGTCATCGCTGAATCTCGTTTTTTTATGGTCCGTTTCCCTCGTTGCCACTCTTCAGTGATGTGCTTCGCCCGCCCTATTAACGCCGCTCGGTCCTAGCCGCCCAACACCTCCGCACCGTGATTTCGTGACGGCCAAATACCAGCGAGTAGCCTGTTTACTGTTCAACCTTTTGGAGATTGACCCGGCCTGGGCTAGATAGTTTTACGTTCTTTGACTGGCTGCTGTTGAGCAAGCGAAGCACCCACCATCGATACCAAGCTCACCACTTGCAGACCAGAACACACATATCACACGCACCAGCAGAGAAGGAAGAAAAAAGTGGGCTGGCAGGTGCCAAACTGCATTCCAAGCACCAAGGATCGTGCATATATCCATTCGCCAGTTGCCCCGCTGCAGGTTGCCCTTTTTGTCCGTCTTCGAGATTGCCCCTTTACTGTGAACGCCAGCGCTCCGAGTCTTTGCAGGTTCAATTTTCTTAGACGGATTGTAAACCGATCGAAAGACGGAAAATCATCCGTCAGCTCGATTTTTGAGCAGTCCAATTTCCTCGGAGGCGCTTCTGTGCGCGCCTTAGGGGAACGTCGCCATGTCCTTGAAGCAGGTCAGTTCATTCGGGCTACGCTTCTGCGGTCTTTTCTATTCTGGCTAACAATGGGGGTCGCGGAATAGGAAATAGAGACGTGGGTTCAGGCTCTGGGACATTACGACAATAATGAATTCGAAGATGCGCTCAAATCGTTCTCCAATATCGCCGACACCTCGAAGATTTTGTTTAACTGCGGTGTGATATATGCGACCTTGGGGGAACATGCCAAAGCTGTATGATTTTGCAGCAATTCCCAGTAGACGAGTTGATGTTGACGTAACACTTCTCCCTAGGTTGACTTCTATCAGAGAGCGATCGCCCTCGATAAGTACTTTGCAATTGCGTATTTTCAGGAAGGTGTCTCGAATTTCCTTCTCGGCGACTTTGAGGAAGCGCTTGTCAATTTCAACGATACTTTACTCTACTTGAGAGGAAATACGTCAATCGATTATGAACAATTGGGACTCAAGTTCCAGCTGTTCTCCTGCGAAGTTTTGTTTAATCGGGGATTATCGTACATCTACCTCAATCAAATCGACCAAGGCATGCAGGACCTCGATTATGCCTCCAAGGAGAAATTCAAGCCAGACCATGATGTCATCGACGAAGCAATAAAGGAGAGTGCGGAGGTAATCATAGCCTTTTCAAATTGATTTTTGAGCACAGCTAAACATTTTGAGTAGGGCTACACCGTCTTTTCTATCCCGGTTGGCGTTGTATACCGGCCAAGTGAAGCAAAAGTAAAAAATTTGAAAACAAAGGAGTATTTGGGAAAGGCTAGACTCGTTGCAGCATCTGACCGCGGAAACGCGTTCATCGGATTCCAGGGCTCTGAAATCAAACGAACTAGGACGCTCGATACCGGCAAAGATGACAGACCCACTGATGCGATCTCGTATGCCGCAACCAACTTGGTACAAAAGAATTTGGTTGGAAGAGGACGACAACAGTCAGAACCGCCGATAAATCGGAATATGTTCCCCCCAACACCCCCACCAGATAACGATAAACCACAATCATTCTTCGGCGGTAGCTCTAGTGCTAATTCTACAAAGCCAACGAGATCGACATCTGTGCGAGAACCACCCTTCCCTGTGGTTCAGCGAAGCATGGACAATGGTGATGTGCCCCAGGTGGAGAGACTTCGAATCGGAGCTACCCGGTCGGCCTCTGAATCGAGAGGACCCGGAGTAAGGTCGCAATTTCCTGCAAAACCGCGCAATCAAAATCAACCTTTGTACCGAGAGACTACAGGTGATCGGCGCCAAAAGGGTTCGACCTTCATCCCCTTATCCGAGGAAGAGGATGCCAGTGCAATTTACAATATGTATTCGGGTACTGAACCTCCGCGGAGCGTGTATGCTCCACGTTACAGAAACACCAGGCAGCCAGTTTATCCTGATGAAGACGGCTACGAGAGCGATGCTTACGAAGATGACTCTATTGGCGATACACAGTTTGAGATGATCGGGGCCCCTCCGCCTGCGCGCAGGCGCACTACGGGCTCGAGACGGTCAGATATTAAGAAGATCCGTGTGAAGGTCCACGCGGACCAGGATACTCGCTTTATCATGATTGGCCCCTCAATCGAGTTCGGTGCTCTCGAAGGGAAGATAAGGGGAAAGTTTGGCTTCAAATCTAAACTGAAGATCAAGATGCGAGACGACGGCGACATGGTAACATTGGGCGACCAGGATGATTTGGACATGCTTCTTCAAACAGCGAAACAGGTCGCACGGAGAGAAAATAATGAAATGGGTAAATTAGAGGTCAGTCTTTCCGCTTATGTTTCCTCTACGGACCTGAGAACTGACTTGCTGTTTGATGCAGATTTGGGTCAGCGAAGTGTAATTTTCGAGTCCTTTCTGCTTTCCGATGAGAATCCCGCGGGGACGTTTACATTCTCACACTATCTATCTTTCGATATTCCTTCTTAATTATTAGCGAGGGTGTTTGAGGCATCTTATTTTGCTCACCCATACCGTTGTTTGAAAAAGCTCCCTCCACCGCGTGGCCCGTTTTGCATCGTTTCAACTGTTTTGTACTTATTATATATGCCCCTTTTAGACGACACAGAACAGGCATCATTGCATGAATAACTCCCTTGACCATACTTTATATTATAGAAACTTGAAATATGAACTGAGGTCTCAGTCTGGAGCACAACACCGTCGAGTCCCTTGAATGTGTATGCTGACTAAGCATCAGCACTGTCCACATCTCGTCATCCTCAGTGAAACCACGATGCCGAACAGGCCCAATTGCGATTTTGCAGAGTAACCTTGCAAGATGATCATGAATCGGTGATAATGGCAGACATTACCTTTGTTGTCAATGGACTCTTGAAATCCCATGGCGTGTCAGGCATCCCGAACCGCGAAGGCCGCAGGGCCAAGTACCAGACAGTGGACGAGTTCTTGAAGGAAGCATACCGAATAGTACGTTCAACCGCTACTCTCCCTCTGCTCGAAAGTTTACGATAAACAGTGTTAATCTCCCCTTTTTTTGTTCGCTTCAGAACTCCCACATATCCTCTCTCCTCACGTACCTAAAGTCAATCCGGCAAGCGTACCTCTCCACCGCACCTCGTCCGCCTGTGTCCCGCCGACAAACACACCAATCCTCCACATCAATCGCAAGTCTCCAGTCCGGCAACACCTCCCTTCATCTAGAGCAACATCTAACCGACGAAGAGCGGGACTCCATCGACTCCTCCACCGCCATACTTCTCCGCGACCTCTCCTCGTCCATCGAAAACCTCGCATCCGCCGAAACCCTCCGGCAAGAGACGCAATCAAGCCTCTTCCGCAAGAAATTCGGATACAAGCTGAACAGCCGGATATGGAAGTGGGCTGGCGGCGGGGCAGATGGCGCGGAGCAGGCGTCTCGGAGTGCGGAGCAGGAGGTTGCGGAGGATTCGGAGAAGACGATGAAGACGGTGAGGGAGAATGTGCTTTGGTTGTTGCGCAGGAGGCTGGAAGCTGCGGTGGAGGTGCAGAGGGCGATGGTGGAGAAGAGGATTGAGAGGGCGAAGGAGAAGGAGAAGAGTATCTTGTATAAGAGTGGGCGGGCGTCAGTGAGTGGTGGTGCTGGTGCTGGTGCTGCGGCGCAGGGTCGGGCAAGTGAGTACCAGGCAATGTTGGATGATGATGTTGCGAAGACAAAGGCGCCAGTTAGGGTGCATGATCCGTTTGTGGATGAGAAGATGATGGCGGATATTGAGTCGCAGCTTTCACCAGAGCAGTTGCAGCTGTTTGCGCAGGAGAACGATACCATGCTGAAGCATTATGAAGATACACTGAGTAAAGTTCAGTAAGTCACCATTGCTCCCCGGCCCCTTTGCAAGCTCGAAGGGATCTCTGACGATTTCTCATTGTGCTTTAGGAACGCCGAAAAGTCGCTCTTGGAAATTGGTTCGTTACAACAGACACTGGTCGCTCACCTTTCGACGCAGGAAGATTATATCAGTCAATTGGTGACGGATGCGAGCACTACACATACAAACATTGGGCGCGGAAACCAGGAACTGAAGCGTGCGAATGAGAGAAAGAGTACAGCACGAGCAGTGTTCTGGGGCACAGTTGGATTGTGTACAGGGCTTATTATCTGGGATGCTATTTTCTAATTTTTAAAAAGGGACCCGAGATCCAGTAACTAGTTGTCTCAGCAGTCGCTACTCCAGGAGAGCGGTTACCATATCACATGATACCTTGTTTCTCCCTGGATCGCTCTCTTCTCTTCTTCTTCTTCATCCCTTTATGCCACCCTCGCATTTCCATCATGCCAGCTCCTGAAAACCCTGGTGCTATACATAATCCTATCCCATCACATGGGGGGACAATTCAATGCCCCTTCTGGGTCTAGGAAGGTTTGGTTGCGTTTTCAAGCACACTGAAGATCGCGTTCTCAAAATGCCCAAGACATATCCCGAGGTGGACAACCCTGATATCGCCTATACATATCAACGAAGGGAACATAAGTTGTTTGAATCACGAGGCCGACGTTTACGAACGGCTTGGAAAACACAAGAGGATTGTTCCATACTTTGGCCGTTCCAAATACTCGATCGAGCTTGCTCATGCCAATCAAGGCGACCTGTTCAAATACATGCAGAACCACCCTCAGCCGATAGCGGAAACTCGACTTGGGTGGATTCGATCTTTGGCGGACGCTTTTGCATATGTTCATTCTCGCAGGGTCGTTATTGAGGACATTGGCCTCAAAAATATGCTTGTCCACGATAACTGCCTTCAGCTGGTGGATTTTGGGAATTCATTTTTGCTGCCGATGAATACGGACATGGAGTGCTTCCAGGTTCAAGACATTACGCCGGAGGCGGAAATAGTTCATGTTGGCTGCTTGTTTTATTCCATTGCGACATGGACTGAATTCAAGTATGATTACTTCGAACACGGTTGCCTGCCAAAATTAGATCAGCTTCCAAATACAGATGGGATCCTCGGCGAAGCCGTCATTCAAAAATGCTGGAGTGGGGTTTATGCTAGTATGGATTTACTCAGAAAGGATGTCAAAGCTTTACTGGGCTGATAATACAGCAGGCTGGGATATGAAGGGTAAATACACCTGGATATCCGCCATCAGCCTTGAGCAGTAAGGGTTTGGGTGACCCCAAGCTAGCTTATCGTCCAAACACTTCCCAATGTGGACTCTTCCGTTGAATTAATTCGAATTGCCTGTGCGTCTTTGTCAAGTGCTCATAGGGCGGTGGGCACAAGAGAGAGATATTGGTTTATAGGGGACAAGATCTTGCACGGATATTGACCCGTTATCATCCAACGCGTAAACTTTTGATGGACTGTGAAATTAAGCCCGCTATGGACGGGAAGTAGATAAGCTAGTTATTGTTTTCTCGTTGGAAAGTAGTATCGTTCAGAAGCTATCAGTGTCTCGTCTTCACCCTACCATTGCCGCATCGCAATCAAGGCTTCCCCCAGCAATCTTTCGATGCTAAAGGTGCTATTGCGGCTCTCGTGGTTTCGCAGGACGCACGGCGACTCAAGACATTGGGAACGGCCAAGCTCAGACAACGCGTCATCCCCGCAAGTCCAATCGCCGTGCTTTCAGCGGATGGAGGCCCGAGGGAGTTCACATCGACAAAGACAACGGTATGGGAGTCGATCGTGTGGGGAGCGGGCAGATCATCTCCTTTTCCCGGCATCGATGAGAGAGAATTGTTGTCCTCTGCGTCTGGTTCGGAAGCAGGCAAGGGACGATCGCCACCCCTGAGTTTCAGCGACGAGAGCAGCTTGAAAGCAAAGCATCATGACACGGCGGAGGATGTCGATTCTCCTGCTTTTGATGGAAGTTGCATTGAGTAAATAATAACCAACTTACATAATATAGAGTCCAACAGAGCAGCTGCTTATCTAATCTGCCAAGAGGGCGCCGAGCCGGTACGGGCGTGACAATACAAAATCGGTGTAATTTACAGACCCACTTGGCGCCGCTCCGCTATCTTGGCGCTAGGCTTGGCGCGGAGTGTCTCTTCCGCCCTTCAACTTCGCTTCTTTGCGATGAAGACTTCAAGGTGAAGATTCGACGTCTGCCAGGCAACAAAGATCATCAATGCAGCACCGGTGGGCCGCAGGCAGCCGGATCGTCACTTTAAGTCCAGAGGCCGATGTTCAACTCCCGCGTGTTCGGATAACTCCCAGGCTAATGAATCCCTGGCCGATGTTTCGTCTGGTGTTTCGCGCAGCAGGAAGAGATTCGAAATGATTTCTAAAGCAAGATACCATGCGTCGCTCTGTTCATGCTCGTAAAATTACGAGCGCCCCGGGATGATAGGCTCGGGTCTGCTTGGGCTCTCCACTGAGCCCACGGCTTGATGCTAGGGCCGTCTTATTTCATTCCACCAGTTCCCACTCCTCGGGGAGCCTTGCTGGCCGTTTTGGTCTTTGCTTCTTCTGCTTTCCTTCATCTTGCTGCTGACTCTTTTTGTCAGGAGACTTTTGTCTGCTTCATCTTCTGGTTATTGCGACATTCGACAGTCATTCCTTCAGGCGGGCTGCCGCGTCATTCTCTCACTTATAATAGCTGGCCCCTGGGCTGTTCGTCGCTCGCTTGAACTCGGTACTTTTTGCTGGCAAATTTTAATGGCCTAAAGTCGATTGAGATATCGAAGATACATTCCACGACTTTTGTCACTTGGCCTGTTGATACCCTAATGCGCTGATATAAAGAAAGTCCCGTTTTTTCCACCTTTTGTTAATTACGCACCATGGCTCCGCCGAAGAAACGAGACGACAACTGGATCGATGTAATACCTGACTTCCCATACAGCCCAAGCTCCTGAGGGCCGTTGACTAACAACCACCCCAGGGCCTGCGAGGACTTGCCTCGTTTATCGTCGTTACAGGCCATCTCTGCGTCGCCTTTGCACCCATTCTGCATTCCCCCGCCGCCGCGGTGGACAGAGGACCGATCCTCTTCCAACTGCCCATCTTCCGACTATGCGTTGGCGGACGAGCTGCCGTGGCGCTCTTCTTCCTCGTCACCGGATTCGTCAATGCCATGAACCCGATTAAGCACTTTAACAATGGAAATCTGGGAGTCGCGCTGCCGAGCTTAGCCCGTGCCGCATTCACGCGGTTTGGGAGATTGATCCTGCCCACCAATGCTGCGGCCTTGGTTGCGTGGGTGGTCTGTCAATTTGGCGGTTTCAATTTGGCCAGGATCGTGGAGTCGGATTGGATTCGGAGTGTGTCGAAAGCGCCTGGCCCGACGCCGTGGGAGGCCATCAAAGCGCTGATGCACAACATGGTATTCTTCTGGCACGACGGGAGCGGGACATACGACCCCACGCATTGGGCCGTTTTGTACTTCCTCAGAGGCTCCATGAAGGTCTACCTCACGCTCCTAGCCACCAGCCTGGTTAAAACCAGATGGCGAGTCGCCATCATTATCCTCCTCCACTCCTTCTCCTGGTGGACAAAAGACTGTAAACCATGCCCCCCATTCCCAGCTTTCATAGTAAAGACAAATGCTAACAAACAAACCCCCTCCAGACATCACCGGGATAAACATCTACTCCGGCATGCTCTTCGCCCAACTCCACGCCACCCTCGGCGCGCGCTCCACCTCCCTCCTCCCCAAACCCGTCCCCACCATCCTCATCCTCACCGGCCTCATCATCTGCTCCTACCCCCAGAACAACCCCGACTGGATGCTCTGGTCCTCCTTCCTCAAATCAGTCATGACCGCCGTCATCCCCCCCTCCGCCACGGGCTTCATCAACCGCTACTGGGTCAACATCGGCACCTCCACCCTAGTCCTGGGCGTCTTCACCTCGCGCAACGCACGCCGCATCCTCTCCCTGCCCCTGTTCAATTTCCTGGGCCGCGTATCCTTCGCCGTGTACCTGCTGCACGACACGTTGATTCGCAGCATGCTGACCTGGATGATCTATGGGGCGAACGTGGGCAAGACGGATTTGTCGGTGGTGAACGAGAAGGGGCGGCCCATCAACCGTGTGCCGCCGGCGGGGGCGGGAGTGTTTTTGGTGGCGATACCGGTGTTTTATGTGGTGCTGTATGCGGTGGCGTATCTGTGGACGATGCATGTGGATGTGTGGTGTGCGAATGCGGTGGTTCGGGTGCGGGATATAATGTTCAAAAAGGACGATGGCGGGGGCGTGGTGAATGGGCGCGGTGGGGGGAGTGTGGCGGAGAAGGAGATGGAGTTGCAGCAGCAGCAGCGACAGCCGTTGATGCAAGGGGATGCGCCGGTACTGCCGGTTACGAATCATCATGTTTCTTCATAACCGTGGGGGGGAATATACCTTCCCTTCTTTCGCTTTTTATTCACCCTTCATTTCTTCAATGTATCTTCTTTTTTTCCTCTTTTGTTGCAGAGGTGGGATTTTACTTGGTGTATGTATATTGTTGCACGTGTGATGATTGTGTATACTCTGGACTACTCATTGATCTTCAGGTTAGTTCTGTATAAAAGAATCCAGCTAGCTGTTTATCTTCAATGAGAACTACCATGTAGGATACCATCTAACTGATCGAATTCACACCAATATTTTTCTTCTGTTCATAAATTTAAGAGGAGAGTACAATTGACACAGGGATTCCCCTCCCCGGCCAAGAATGAGATTTTACAAAGAAGAGGCGGAAGCAGACATATTGTGCTCTACCCACCGTAGACCGGCAAACCCGTCTAAGACGAAGTCTCCCTGACGACGCTGTCAACCGCTTCAGCAAAGTAGTCGATGTTGTGCGTATTCAGACCAGCCATGGAAATACGTCCGTTCTTGGTCTATTCAACGATATTAGTTCGTATCGCAGGAGGGAGGTGGGGGAAATTGCAATAGCGGAGTATGACTGGGACTCACCATGTACACATGCCACTTCTCCCTCAGAACCTTGACCTGCTCCTCCGTCAACCCGGTGAAACTGAACATGCCAATCTGGTTGGTGATGTGCTCCCAGGTGCCCGGCGTGCCCCTTTTCTCCAGCCTCTCGCGCAACCCCTTGCGCATCTCGATAATGCGCCCACTCATGGTGCGCAGATCCTCCTCCCACTGCGCAAACAGCGCGGCATCGTTTAGGATCAGCGAGGCAATGCGCGCCCCGTACGCCGGCGGGTTTGAGATCTCAGAGCGCTGCAGGATCGCCAGCTGGCTGGCGATATGCGCCGTGGCGACCGAGGCGTGCGGGCCCGGGGCGGAAACAAAGTGAAAGGCGCCGGCGCGCTCGCCGTACAAGCCAAAGTTCTTGGCAAAGGACTGCGCGATGCACAGCTCGAACCCTTGCTCGACAAAGTAGCGGATGGACCAGGAGTCGCGCGCGAGGTCGCCGGAGGCGAAGCCCTGGTAGGCGGTGTCGAAGAAGGGGAAGTGGTTGCGCTCGCGCATGGCGGCGGCGATTTGCTTCCACTGGTCCGGGGTGGGGTCGACGCCGGTGGGGTTATGGGCGCAGGCGTGCAGGAGGATGACGGAGCCGTGCGGGGCGGCGCGGATGGCGGCGAGCATGCCATCGATGTCGAGGCCCTTGATCTTGGGGGAGTAGTAGGGGTAGTGGGCGATGGAGAGGTTGACGTTGGTGAAGATCTGCTGGTGGTTGGCCCATGTTGGGGAGGAGAGGTAGATGGCGGGCTTGGGGTTGGCGGGATAGAACTTGGAGAGGAAGAGGCCGCCGAGGTGGACGGCGCCGGTGCCGGAGATGGTCTGGAAGGTGGTGACCTGGGGAATTGAGTATTAGATACTCCGTATGTATCAAGGAGCGAGATTTGGATGACATACCCGTTTCTCCCTGATGGCGGCGGAGTCGGCACCCAGGATCAGTTTCTGAGCGGCGGGCGCGAGCTCAGGCAGACCGGCAATGGGCAGGTATTCGTGGTTGACGGCGGGATCGTTGCGAATTGCTTCATCGGCCTGGGAACGAGGGTCAGTCGACGTTTCAACTAGCCGTTTCGGCAGGGGAGGGGGTTAAAATTAGGGAAAAAGCAAAGAAAAAGCAAAGAGATAAGATAGAGAGATATAGAGTAAACACACCTTTCTCACAACAGGCAGAATCCACGGCTTCGCAGTGTCGTCTCTGTACGCACCGATGCCCAGATCAACCTTCTTGTCCGAGGGGTCGGCGCGATAGGCGCGCATGAGGCCGAACAGCGGGTCCTCGGCGGCCTGGGGCACGACGTTGGCGGTGAAGATGGAGGAGGACGCCATGATGTGGTTGGAGATGGTCGAGAGACGCGAGCGAGCGGTGGACAGCGAGGACGATGGAGAGCGAGGGAGTTGATGTGAAGAGGAAGAGGAGGAAGAGGGAGAAGAGCGAGAAGCGGGCGAGAGAGGGGGCCGGGCGGGCATCCTGGTTTCGTTGAATAATGCAAACTGCTAGCGGGCTTGGACGTAACACTGAAGATGAAGAGATGAACAGAGGATAGCAGAGAGAGGATCGAGTAGATATTGTAGATATTAGAACAGAGATAACTTGTAATGGCAAACCGAGGTACCATTGCTACGACTCGATCATATGCTATCCGACTACATATATACAACAACCAGCAACGCCACACGAAGCCGCCCAGTTTTGACAGACCAGATATTCCTCCATAAACAATGCAGACCATGTAGCACCCGCCCGTATTTTTAATCCACCAGATGTAAAGCAATAAGTAAGCAAATCCGCTAGTATGTCCCATCAGTACCATGCAAAATCGAAGAATCTTCACGTCCAAGGAAATCCATGACTCGTTAAACAAATGAAAAAAGCACCTCTCCGCCATTCTCATCACTGACGGAGCGACGCTGCATCCTACGTTTCATCGCCGTGGCGTCGCGTGTGAATCCTGAACGAATCCAACAGCAACGTCGAGAAGCGCCGGCTCCTCCGTCCCTCGCTCACAGACGGCCCAATCGCGCCCGTTGCCGCCGTGCCTGACCGCAGCCGCCGCACCGCCTCGAGTCGCTGCTCGATCGACGCGTCGTTGGGCGGCATCGCGTTGATGGTCGACTGGATGTACGTCGCCAGGCTGCGGCGGCGCGGACGGCGGCTGGCCTCGGGTTCGTTGCCGGGCCCTCTGTTGTCCTGCAGGGGCGGCGGCAGCGGTCGGTCGTAGTCTGGCGCCATGGGGATGCCGTAGATGTCTTCTTCGTCCATGGCTTCTCCGCCGGCGGAGGATGGAGGGTGGAGGTCGATTCGGCTAGAAGAGTCAGCGATGATACTTTTGTCATTTTGAATGATTTTCTTACCAGAGAGGACAGGTCCCAGACACGTTCACCAGCCACGGGTCGATGCACTCGGGGTGGAACTTGTGGTCGCAGGGCAGCAGGCGGACATCCTGCTCTCTTTTCAAAGTCGTCCGTGCAGATGGGACACCCCAGCGTGCCGGCAGTCTCGATCGGCGGCTCGTCCAGCGTGCCTGCTCGCGGAGGAGACGAGGCGGCAGAGCCAATCTGTCCATCGCGGTTTGTGGCCCTAGAGTCCAGCGAGGGCCTTGCGTCGCGCCCGGCGAGCTCCTTGTCGTCTGCGAGATGCTCTTGCTGGCCCCGCTGCTGCTGCTGCGCGCCCATCTCGACATCTGCGCTCTTCCGGGCGGTGCTGGGCTGGGTGGCGGGCTCGTCGAGGTCGTCGAACTTGACAATGGGCAGGGTCTCCAGCATGGCGCGTGCGATGCCCTTGGCGCGACTCTGGCGCGGGCGACCGGCGACATTGCGGGGGCCGTAGCGTTCGGGGTGCAGGTGTGCGCGCACGGCGCCGGTGACGATGACGCCGAGGAAGAGCAGGGTGATGACGCCGGTGACGGCGTAGAGGATGATCATGGCGACCGAGGTGGTCGGGGTGTTGTTGTTCTGGCGGTTGCGCTCCATGGACGAGTCGGGGTAGCTGGTGGCGATGGAGCCCTCGTCGGCGGAGGGAGAGGGTGCTTCAGCAAGGATGGAGGAGGTGCCGCGCGGGCTGGAGTCGAGCTTGCGGAGCACCTCGCCGGCCAGCGGAGGGCGGGTGATGGAGAAGATGTTTGGGTAGGGGGGCAGGGACGGGTCGGGGTCGTAGGCGCAGTACTTGGACTCGAGGGAGTAGAGGATGGTGGCGGCGGCGGTGGGCGAGCGGGCGATGAGCATCTCCAGGGTGTCGTTGACCTTGAGGATGCCGGGATAGGCCGAGTCGTCACAGCTGACCAGAGCTATCTGGGACTCGTCGAGCTGGCTGGCGTTTTCCGGCGAGACGTCGACCAGCGTGCCGGTAGCATTGAAGCCCTAGAGGTTAGTTAGACACTATCATAGGAAACAGGCTATCATCGAGCATACCTCTGGCGGACGGTCGGACATGGACTGGTTGAGCGGCACGAGATAGACGGGCTGCATGTCAAACTGGCGGGTGCGCAGGAAGAACTGCGGCGCGCCCAGCGGCGGGGTTTGGACGAGGCCATCGGACGGGCGAGCATCCTGCGCAGCGACGGGGGAGAGCAGGACGGACAGGCATATGCAGCCGAGCAGGGCGGGAGAGGGCATGCTCGGCGAGCCTCATCTAGAGTCAACGAGAGAGGTGATGGAGAAGCAGCAGCATGGCGGATGCTATGGGTGTCACGGAGTATATAACCTGGAGATGAAGCAGCGGTCGGAGGATATGATACAAATGAAGGAGCAGCAGTGATAATCCGCCATGGACGCCCCGGTCAAGGGAGATTTAGCAATACGACGAACAAGCTTTGGGCAACCAGGTCGCAGGGACGAAAACACACCGTAAGTTCAAGGTGATGGATGATCAAGATGATCAAGAGATGGATCATAGACTGGATGGCAAGATGCTGGATGCTCTACGCAGTGAGAGACTAGGATGAACAGCTGGACCTGTCTGTCTAGATGTGTCTGAGTCTGTTGCCCAACTGTCTGTCATATTAGTTATCTGTTTGAGATCAAGACCTTTCATCTCTCCGTCTCCCTTCATCTCTCTCTCCGCTCAACACGCGGCTCGCTCCAGGGTTGCGTGCTTGGCTGTGTTCCGGCTGACTTGATCCTGGTTGGAATATCATCCGATCGTCTTTGCTATTTATTGCTGATTCTTTGTTTTTATCGGCTATTCGCAACACCCGCCGCTGATCCGCCAGACTATGCTTGACATCTTGTCTCCCATCCATAGCTATGTTGTAGACTCTTATCCATAGATGTGCAGTTATCCTACTATCCAACTTGCAAGTGGTGGGACGATGGATCAATTCTCCATGATCTCCATCAGCAATCCTGTTGGCGATGCATCAATTGGTGGTTCTTGTTAGCGTGCGAGGCGGAGCGGACTGAATATCTCTTCTCTCTGAATATCTCTTCTCATTGTCATTCTCTCTGAACACACTCATTCCATCTCTCTCTCTCTCGTTACACTCATTCCACCACTGTCGTTTCTGTTATGCTCTAACACTCCTTAATTATACGGAATGGGCCCGAAACGCTTCTCCCGCGACCGATTCCAGCAGCTGTCCGACATGCCCAACCCGCACGACGCCTCCATCGACATCCCCCTGGCGCCCGTCCCCAGCCAGCCCGCCGAGTCCAGTCCCTACGAGAAGAAGCATCTCTTCCACGGCCGCCGCGTTGTCGCCGCGCCCTCCAAGCACCTGCAGGCCCCCGAGGATGGCAACCTCACCCAGATGGGCCGCTTCTACAACCGCATCCTCAACTTCTCCGTCGTCACCCGTTACTTCATCTATGTCCTCCCGCTCGCCCTGCTCATCGCCATCCCCATCATCATCGGTGCCACCGCCGCCCAAAACGCCCGCATTGGCGGCGTCAAGATCGTCTGGTTCTTCACCTGGGTCGAGGTCGTCTGGCTCAGCCTGTGGGTGTCCAAGATCGTCGCCCACTACGTTCCCTTTCTCTTCCAGTTCCTCTGCGGCATCGTCAGCTCCGGCACCCGCAAGTACGCCCTCATCCTGCGCAACCTCGAGATTCCCTTTTCGCTCGTCGGCTGGGCCGTCACCTCCCTCGCTACCTTTATCCCGGTAAGATCTGTCCATTGAGATATTGGGATATTGAGACAGCCACTGACATGCCCAGTTGATGACCCGCAACCCCGACAATCTCAGGCGAGGAGACACCGGAATCAAAAAATGGCAGGATGTCGTCAAGAACATCCTCTTCGCCGCCTTCATCGCCAGCCTCATCCTCGCCGCCGAAAAGGTCCTCATCCAGCTCATCTCCATCAGCTACCACCGCAAGCAGTTCGACCTCAGAATCCAAGACTCCAAGCGCAACGTCCACCTCGTCGGCCTGCTCTACGAGGCCTCCCGCAAGATGTTCCCCGAATACTGCAAGGAATTCGAGACCGAAGACTACATCATCAACGACTCCATCGTCGGCGGCCTCGGAAAAAAGGGCAAGGCCCACAAGAGAACCGGCTCCGCCTCTCCAATGCGCCTCATCCAAAACGTCGGCCGCGTCGGAGACAAGATCACCGCTGCCTTTGGCCAGGTTGCCCATGAAATCACCGGAAAACAGGTCTTCAACCCCACCTCCGCCCACTCCATCGTCACCCTGGCCTTGGAGAAGCGCAAGTCGTCCGAGGCCCTTGCTAAACGTCTGTGGATGTCCTTTGTCCTCTCCGGCCGCGAGGCCCTGTTCATCGACGATCTGTACGAGGTCTTTGGGCCCGACCACCACACCGAAGCCGAGGAATGCTTTGCCATCCTCGACAGAGACGACAACGGGGACGTCAGTCTCGAAGAGATGATCCTGACCATCACCGAGTTCGGCAGAGACCGCCAGGCGATTGCCAAAAGCATGCACGATGTCGACCAGGCCATCCACGTTCTTGACAATTTGCTCTGCACCGTTGTTTTCATCTTGGTCATCCTGGTCTTTGGTATGCACTTCCATCACTACTTTTTGCCCGTGTTCTAACCGTATCCTAGTGGCATTTCTCAACAAGGGCTTCGGCACCACTCTTGCCGCCGGAGCCACTGCCCTCTTGTCCCTCTCATTCGTCTTTGCCGTCACTGCCCAGGAGGTTTTGGGTTCTTGCATATTCCTCTTCGTCAAGGTAAGTTTTGGCCTCCATCGTCCGCGCCGGTAAACTAACAGACGACGTTTAGCATCCCTATGACGTCGGAGACCGAGTCGATATCAACGGCAGTCAGTTGATCGTGGAACGAATCTCGCTCCTCTTCACCGTCTTCAAGAACATCAGCGACTACAAGGTCACCCAAGTTCCAAACATTGTGCTCAATACCTGCTGGGTTGAGAATATCAGTCGCTCCAAGGCCATGAAGGAACAGCTCACCCTGACCGTCGACTTTGGCACCACATTCGAGGACGTTCAGCTGTTGAAGCAGGAGATGCAGCAGTTTGTCCTCGAGAAAGAAAACTGCCGTGACTTCCAGCGCGAAGTCGACATTGAAGTCACCGGCGTCGGCGAGATGAACAAGATGGAACTGCGCATTGAGATCCGGCACAAGTCGAACTGGTCCAACGAGACGGTCCGCGCGGCCCGCCGCTCCAAATTCATGTGCGCCCTGGTCCTGGCGGTCCGCAGAGTGCCCATCTACGGCCCTGGAGGCGGCGACGCGGCGCTGGGAGATTTCGCCAAACCGTCCTACTCGGTCTCGATCTCTCACGAGCAAGCGCAAGCGAGCAAGGAGCAGTATGCAGCCGACAAGGAGAGCAAACGCATGGTCCCCGCCGGCGCGATCAAGTCGCCCGGATCATCGGACCGGGCCAAGGCCACCGGGACCGATCTCACCTCCCCCACGGGGCTCTCCTACCGTAGCCCGCCGGCGGGAAGCAGCGAGGCAACGTTCGCAGAGGCCCTGAACCAGCGCCCCGTCGCGCTGGACCGCACCCGCACCGACGACCTGCCATCCGTCGACCTGAGCGAGAACAAGCCACTGATCCGCGAGCCGTCGACAGGGGTCCGGTCCGCAAACCCGCTGGCGTCGGCGGTCTCTACCAACACGCCCGCGCAGGATTCCACCGCCGCGGCCAGCACTACTCGCCCGGGAATGAACTACTTTGACTTTGAGTCGGCATACAACCCGCAGTCGCCGCCCGGCAGCCAGAACCCGTACCGGCCGCCGTACGCACAGACGCCGTCGAGCCAGACGCTGCACTCCAGCCAAACACCGGGGTTCCAGACGCAGTCGTCTTCGCCGGGGCAGACGGCGGATGCGGCGCGACGGCCCGTGCCGCCACAGGGCGCGTACTCGTCAGGGCAGAATCCGTATCAGCAGGGCCCGTCGAGCCAGCGGTATCCTCCGCAGTGACGGCAGAAAAAGTTGAAAAAAAAGTGATTTGAGTAATGTGAGATGAAAGTGTTGTTCTTTATCTTTCACCCTTGGATAATATCGTTGAAACTAGATTTGATTTTTTTTTTGTGATAATACACCTTTAGACTGTTTGGGAAGAGAAGGTTTAGAAACAGACACAGACAAGATAACGGGACATGTAGGAGGAACTATTTGCCATTATATTTGTCATTCTTCGTTGAGATTTAATGAAGTGTACCAATATCAAGACCGGTTGTCGATAGCCTATACAAGACTGTTGGGCAGGAAATCTGATGTCACGTTTGTGCCCAAGGCCTGATAGTGAAGGCGAAAGTTGTATGTTAATACTATAACTATATCTATGGGATTATCAACATGACCTGAATGTGGTACAGCTGTTTGCTGGGCTTTGATGGCATGACAAACTGATTGACTACTACTTCTATTTCGCCACCGCTCATTGCTATTAGAACAGCTCCCACCGCCAGGTCTGCCCGGCCTGCTCTCGAAATCAGCACGGCGCTTTTGATTCCTATCAAGTGTTTTACCAGCTAAACGTCCCTGCCTCCTATTCCCTCTGTCTCCCGGGGATATAGTTATCCTCGAGCTGCCACCATGTGCATAGCTCTAATCTCCACCGCCCACCCCGACTACCCGCTCATCCTCATCGACAACCGCGATGTATATATGCTCCCCTACCAGCGAACACTCACAAACAAGAACAAGAATATGCTAACCACCCCCAGGAATTCCTCCGCCGCCCAACCGCCGCCGCCGCCTGGTGGCCCGCCCCGCACTCCCACGTCCTCGGCTCGCGCGACATGGCCCGCTCCGCCCACGGCACCTGGCTCGGCGTCACCCGACAAGGCCGCATCGCCGTGCTAACCAACTACAAAGAGCCCAGCAGCGACCAAGCAATCGGCCAACTAAGCCGCGGCCAAATCATCAACTCCTTCCTCGAGCTATCTCCCGACGACACCACGAGCACGGCGCAGTTTGTGCAGCGGCTGGTGGCGGGCGGCGAGGCGCGGGCGGCGGGCGGGTTTAGTCTGGCGTGCGGCGGGATCAGGGGGCCGTTGGCGGTGGTGTCGAATCGGGTGCGGGGGGAGGAAGGGGTGCGGTGGATTGCGACGGGGAGGGGGGAGACGGTGGGGTTGAGTAATACGGCGTTTGGGGATGGGTCGTGGGCGAAGGTAAGAGATGGGGAGAGGATGATGAGGGAGGCGCTGCGGGAGAGTTGGGAGGGGGGGGAGGATGAGGGGATGTTGGTGCAGAGGTTGCTGGGGTTGTTGAGTACGGATACGCTGCCGCGGGTGGATGGCGGGGGAGGAGGAGGGGATTTGGAGACGTATCTTGACCTGTTGAGTGAGAGTATCTTTATTCCCGTTATTGGGGAGGAGGGGGAGAGCGCGCCGTCGAGGGAGGAGGCCGAGGTGTGTGCGTCGAATATACACGAAAAGGCAGAGGTGCTGGCTGACGGCGACGACGGGGCGGGCCATTTGCAGTACATGAGCGGCCTGTACGGGACGCAGAAGCAGACGGTCGTCCTGGTGCATCATTCCGGCAGGGTCAAGTTCTTCGAGCGCACGCTGTACGACGACGATGCGAAACCCATTCCCATTGGCAAGGGAGATCGAGTCTTTGAATTTCAGGCAGAGGAATAGCTGTGCCTTGCGGTCTATCAGTTGCCTTTTTACCTGAGAGCTTGATATCGCCATTCGCCTTTTATACCTTGATCTAATCCGCGTGCTTCTTCCTAGAAGACCCCCGTCGACGCTTTCTGGCATTGATATACATCCTCTACTCATTCCTCATTCTTCGACCTCGCATAAATATGCGGTTAGAACAACCCATCGTTGCTACAATTGGCAGCAGAATGCATGTTGGATAGAAATCCAAGATATCCGGTCACCACGGCCTACCTAGTCTAATGATGCTGATGAATCCTTAAGAATTTTTATTTCGTCTTAACCTAACAATCAATAACCATATATTCCCTTCAATATGCATAGCCATTTCTTTCCGCAGTTGAACCACCCCGTATCTCCCGTCAAATCTTCCTCTTCACCAACCCCCTGAAAAAATCAAAACTGTTGCTATCGCTCTGCAACTCCCACTTCCTCCCCGTCGGCCGATCCTCCCACCCCAGCTCCTCCGCCACCAACAGCCCATAATCCCTCGTGATCCCCTTGATCCGCGCCCTCACCCCGCCCTCCGCCTCCAGCGTCACGATCTGGTCCATATGCAACCAGTCCGCGTAGTACATCTCCTCAAACGTCTGATCAAAGCCCGTGCGTAGAAAGCGCGTGTAGAGCTCCTCCAGCGTGGTGAGGATGCGGGCAAGCAGCTTTTCGAGGGAGAGAGGTGACAGGCGCGGCTTGGTGGGCGGTAGCGAGGCGTTGAGGGCGGTGAGAAGGGCGTTTAAGGAGGTGGTGGGGAGGGCGTTGAGGGCGTTGATGCCGGCGCCGGCCACGGCGATGTATTCTTTGGAGTTGAAGTGCGCGTTGACGAGGATGCCGGCGATTTTGGTGTAGGTTCTTTTGTCGGGCTGCGAGGGGTCGAGGGCGTCTGGTTTTGTCAGCGTTCACTCGTGAGATGGAATAGGGCTGGAGGGTATATACAAATATCGTTTGGCCATTTTAGCTTGACGGGCATGTTTTCGTATCCCCTATCATATGATTTTATGCCCTTGACGATAGCCATAGCAACAAGATATTGGATGAAAACGACAGGGGCGGCGACAAATTTCTCAACTGGATGGCGGATGCAGACCGAAAACATTGCCTGGCCTGGCGGAGAAACCCAGACGTTGGAACCGCGGCCGCGACCGGCGACTTGAACGTTGGCCGTTGCCACAAAGCCGTTTGGAAGTCTGCGAAGTATTTGTGTATTCCTATGACCCGTCAGCAAGCAGGGATTGTTGCTAGAGAGCAGGGCGAATACTCACTTCTCCAACAGAGAGTTTGTACTCGTCACAACTTCTCCGTATAAAACATGGGAACCGAACTCTGATAAAGATTCTCTAGATTGCGATCTATACTCTTTAATCATGGCGTAAAAGGTCTGATGATTAAAACGAGGAGTCTCGACGGGCGATGGATAATCTTCGTGGAGGACAATATTTTTGATAATTTTGCTATAATCGACAATTCGATCATCGCTCGAACTCTGCTCGGCTTCCTCCTCCACAGCGCCAGGAAGCGCATCGGCCACTTTATGCATGCTCAGCGGGGACGGGCGTTCAAGGCGGAAAGTATCACTGTCGTCTTTGATGTAATCCTCTCCATCTTCTACCGTGACGATCTCCCGAAGAACTACAACAAGGTCCGTAGCGGCATCTGGCTCCAAGGCGGACAGGTGCATCCGGGAGAGAGCCGGTACCGCTGCTGTTTCATCATTGACCTGAAGCCCAAGCTTTTTCAGGCAGCCCCGTAAGAATTCGGTCCTTGCCTCGTCGTTTTCGGCCAGGGTATCGATTACATGGCAGAATTCTGGGCCGTCTGCGTTTCTGTCCAAGTTGGAGGCGGCAAACCTGGGGGAACAATTAGCAAACGCTGGCGTAGAGGAGAAGAGCAGTCAGGATACAGACTCTGGATGTGGCCCGGTTAGTATAGCAGCACCGTCACCGACGCGGCAATACACTACCGCGGCCAGTCCTTCGCCCGAATCAACCTTGAGGGGCTCAGTATAGCTCGCGAGAACCTCGACCCCTTGATCAGCAAATTTAGGCGCATCGACAAAGACGCCGCCACCATTGTAGTAAGATTTAAACGACGCTGGAATGTGCTTCTCATCAGTAAACGCGGATTTTGATACCTGTAGTTCAGGGGCTCGGGCGCCGTCTTCGCTGTTGTAAACGAATCCCGGGAACGCACAGCCACGGCATATCCCAGGGTAAAAGGCCAGCTCTCTGTCACCGACAACCTCGAGCTTTTTATTCCCCACCTCGAACTCACAGCGTTTACTGCCATAGTAGCCGCCCGCGCAGAATCCCAGATAGGTGCCTCCGCGGCTAACGAACTGGCTAATCCTTCGGTTCCCGGTGCCATTCAGGGTCCTGCAGTACGGCAAATCTGCACCACCGGGCATAACGAAGAGAGCACAGCTCGACGTCCATGGCTCATTGATTATCATCTCACCCGTCACGGGGATCACGGCATAATTCGGCGCCAGCAGGCGACGCAGTGAAAACAGACATTGGCGGACAGAATCCACAGTCGCTCCATTCCCTGAACAATCGGTCAGAACGTTGCGTCTCCAATCAGAATAGCTTTGCCCACCGGAGTAGACCAGGACGTTGAGCCTCTTGGTCGAAGCGGCGGCGGTGGTGGCGGCCATCTGAGCGTTGGGCGTCTGCGTCGACCTCCAGCAGAGAGTTTGGCTGCGAAAATCTCTTTTCGACCTCACTTGTCTCAGTCCCCGCGAGAAAAGAGAGGACAGAGGGGGTATCAAGATGTCCAAAGCCGACGACAAAGCGAGAACAGTCCCTGTGGACGACGATGATGAGCCCGACGATTGGTATGCGCCTCCTCAGAGCCCCGCGGCGGCGGTGCTGATAAGTTGATGTAGGGACAAGCGGATCTTCAGCACCGGCTGCGCAGGTACGAAATCAGATCAGACAGCGTTCCGCAAAGACGACGCAGACGCAAACTACTGACAAGCAATGCCACAGCCGAACAGACGAAGATGAACGACTGTTACTATGAAAAGCGGGATTGGCGACAGTGCAGCAAGGAAGTAAGTTTTGCTCCCGAAGCTTTCTCTCTGGCGGCGAGCACCCGCGGCTGGCTTCGGGCACGCATCCAGCCCTGGAGCAAGCTGTGTCCCTGGCGATGCGCCACGGAATGTGCTCTGGACAGGCAAATGGGAGCCCTTGAGCTGAAGAGTGATTTTGATACAGATGGAGGCGTTCCGCGAGTGCTGGAAACGCAAAGGGAACGACCAGCGCACCCAGACGAAGGACACTTGAAGCAGGAAACCTCTCTGTACATTAGCCAGCTTCTCTCTCCATTCATCTCATTCCACTACTCTCCTCTCTTTTCTCTTCTTTTACTTTTTCTCCCATTTTGTCCCATCGCGATGTCACGTGACGGTTGATTTCGCGTTGACAAAAGACAGAAAACAGCTGTCGTGAGAGCAGATTCCATGAGACCAGCCAGCTCCGGGGATTCTGGAAATGGCACACGGAGCAATTGGACAGGCCAGCAGGGCTTTATTAACCCGCAGCCCTTCCCCGTACTTCAGATGCCACCGCGCCTTCAGCGGCCGCTCGCAGCTCCAGCATGCTTTATACAGACCAGCACATCTCCGCACCCTCAGGACGTCGACAACCGCCTACCAAGTAAGCAATACTAATATCACTCCGAGTCAACCTTCTGCCGCTCCCAAACCCACTCCTTCTCCAGCTCCAGCTACCGCGCCAGCGCCTAAAAACCCACTCGCCGTCCAAAACATCGCCAAAACCGGCCTCGACGACAAACCCGCCGAGATCGAACTAGACAACAATGGCAACACACCAAGCAACGGACATATAGACTGGACGCGTTCCTACCATGGCCTCAGCGCCGAACCCTTCTCCAAGGAGGCGGCAGACATCCTTCTACAGCCCCTCGACCCGGGAGACGTCGAGATCAAACCCGATGGAATCGTGTACTTGCCGGAGATCAAGTACCGGCGGATATTAAACAAGGCCTTTGGGCCCGGGGGATGGGGCCTGGTGCCACGAAGCGAAAGTATCGTCACGGCGAAGACGGTCACGAGGGAATATGCGCTCGTGGCGCATGGGCGGTAGGTCTAACGTCCCTTTCTTCCCTATGGAACAGGCAACTGACCGTTTTGCTTCTCGTTGGACAGCCTCGTCTCCATCGCTCGTGGCGAGCAAGACTACTTCAACGCGGACGGCATTCCGACCGCCACGGAAGGATGCAAATCCAACGCCATGATGCGTTGCTGCAAAGACCTTGGGGTGGCCAGCGAGCTCTGGGACCCACGCTGGATCCGCCAGTTCAAGAAACAGAATGCCAAGGACGTTTTTGTCGAGCACGCCGTGACAAAGCGCAAGTCGAAGATCTGGATTAGAAAGGATGACGAGATACCCTATCCGTGGAAGGCTACGAGATAGGACTGCGAGAGGATAACCTGTTGTACAAGGCGCCTTGGGTTGGGAGCAGTCGGTGAGGAGAAGATGGAGTACAGAGTAGCGTCCACCCTTCTCCCATAATTAGCATTTCAGGCTTAATATTAACACATAAAACATCTTTAATATCATACATTTAGACTACATCTTCTCAGCAATCAAAAGGCCAATATGTCAAGAATATCTCTCTGTCTTTTTCGTCTTTCACCAATGCGTCCATGAGCTCGGATTTGATCTCCCGCAATTCACTCATCACAACTTCGTAATTCTCATGCTCACTGAGGCCCTTCTCAGGCCACAAGTCCCCCAGCCGCCCCTTGATTGTGCCCATAACTTCAATACTCAAATCAGCAGCCTGCACATCGTTTTCAATCTCGGCGACCTCGTCTTCTGAGAATTCAATGGGAAATTTTGGACCCGAAGACGTTTCCGACCATTCATCCCTCAGGTCGAGCAGTAACGCTCGGGCATGTGCTTCTCCAAGCACAGCAATATTTTGCACAAGATGTCCAAGATGACCGGCTTTGGATCTCCGGAATTGAATGGCGCTATATTGGGCAGGGTTCTTGGCCTTAACCACCATCCGCCATGCAACCATGAGGCACTTGGTGTAAAATTGTTTTATAGCAATGGCGCGATCTGGCGGATCAAGGCTGTCGACCTCTTTGGGTATTATGGGAGGTTCAAGATCTTCTCCCACATCTGGCCCCTCATAGCCTAGGAAGTCCGGGTCCAGACAATGGTCAACAAGAGGCATTACTTGCACGGATTGCCAATCGATAATGCCGAGAATTTCTCTGGGGTTGGCTGGGTTGATGTATATGTTTTCCAAATGGAGGTCATTATGCCAGAGGTGGCCTGTTGTAAGGCCCGGCTCTTTGGGCAGCAGAACGCTTGCAATTTGAAAGTACGACTGAAGCGCTGCAAGTTTCTTCGCGGCAGTGGGTTGATAAACTCCGGGTCCATAGAGCATCACAAGTTGTTTAGGCGTCTGCTGGAAGGTTTTGACAGCAGCAGCTTCTCGAAGCCCGATTGCTGACCGAAGATCAAGGATGGAGAGCCCTTATAGAAGGTGAGCAGACGTTGAAGGAAATAGGAGGACAGGACTTACAGGGGCCACGATCACACGGTAGATTCTGTCTGCCATTGTCAACCCATTCTCGGCCAACGGCAGGGCCTACAATGAACCTGGAACTGTCAACAGGGTGCCCTGCTTCATCAAAGTAGAGTCGACTCCCCGGCGTTGTTGACTCGATGTCCTTGGAATAGTAGATGCTTCCAAACTGAGAAAATTTGGCCGCAGTCCACTTCTTTTGGTATTTGAACACCTGCAGGCATATTTTCATCCAATCTTGCAGCTGAAGCGAGTCCCAGATGCGTGCGAGAGGAATGCCCGGCATTCTTTCCATGACGATATACTCCGCGCCAACCGGATTGTTTCTATCAACTCGGGAATTCCAGGCATACACCTGCGGTGCCGGAGTCTGTAGAACATTTCGCATCTACAACTATCACATTAGTACACTGCCTGATAATGCTGGAATCCTTTGACGGTCCAACCTACAAAGTCCATGGTAGCAACCTCACTCGCTGTCGTGTAGTGCTCGATGCCAGCGTTCGGGTTTGGGACCTTTCCAATGACCTCTTTACCTGTATCCATCGTCAGGACGTAAGCCTTGTTGTATAGGCCATCGGGGCATTTCTCGATTTTGATGCATCGTGCAGCACCGACGGCTTCTGCAGCAATCTGGCCAAGCTGCTTGAGATCGAATTGGATATACCGCGGTCTTAATTGATCGCTTTCGTCGTATACAAAACGTCCTCGAGTGAACTGGAACAAATCCTTTTCTGCACTCCAATCTGCTAATTCTTGAGTTCCCGTATAACTACCCGAGTGCCAGACAATTTGTTTAGTTACCTTTGACCCCAGCACTCTTGTAGTTCGAGAAAAACCTGGCGAATATTAGAGAGGATAATTGAATTCTGTTCATGCCCAGCGTAGAATTCCACCCTGAGCGAAGATAGCTCATGGCTTGCAAGATCAACATTGATAACCCAAGCCCCCAACTTTTGCATCAATAGAAGGATGTTGTCTCATCGAAGAACGAGCTAAAGGGGCTCGGTCCAGACGAAACTCCGTGTAGCCAGCTCACCGGTTACGCGCCTGAAGAAAAAGGGAACCAAACTGACTTCTGTGGAATTGTGCGCATATCAATTCAGTGAAAAGCCTCCATTCAGCGCTTCAATAGAGATGAACCTGTGTTTACCCGTCATCATTCCTATCCAAAATCCTCAATTGTAACTGGCGGTTCCGATTATCAGTGTAAAATAAAATAAAGAAGCTGGATTAGACGTTCAAATCGTATTTTCGTTGACATTACTTTTCTTCATCGCAAAGTCACACAACTCATTTTAGATACGGAAAGACATTGTCTGGCCGAGTCAAAATTTACGTGCCGTGTGCGCCATAAGACTCCAAAGATAACTTGAAAACGTGACATGCGACACGGGTCTCCAACATTGCCATGCCCCAAGAAAAGGGAGATTAGGAAATACTGTAAACAACTCTTAAGCACTTTTATTTTCAGTTCCTCCTAGTCCTCCAAGCCGGAACTCTCCTCGTCATACTTCTCCGCGTTCGCAAGACTCTGCTCACCCGTCAAGACCGGATCGCGGAGAACAAGCGCAAATGCAATGAGTAACACGGACAGGCAGATACCAGTGATGCAGAGCAGCCGCTGAACGTGCTGGTAAGCGAGGATGACGGCGTCTCTATCCGGTGTTCCAACCGGATTTTTCGGGGCCCAGGTTAGAGGGTTTGCATAGACTTCAGCTGCCTTGGTGGCATTTCCCAGGCGTGCTTCCAAGGTCTTAGGGAGGACTTGGTTCCAGAGCGCCCCGGAGATGGAGTTTCCAAGGGCGGAGCCAATGTTATAACAGGCGAGGTACAAACCGGTAATGACGGCGACGTCTGTGAATTTCGGGCGTTAGAATTATAGGCTCGGATTCAATATCACTCTTGTTTACTCACGTTCGTGTTTGGTTGCAGCCTGGATGCTTGCTTGAGCTGGGTAAGGGAATAATCCGCCGGCTGAAGATCCGTTAATAAGAATCTAATATCAAGAGGTCGAAAGGGTACCTACCAATTCCAAGAAGAACCTGAGCACCAATAATTCCGGAGTGGCTAGATGGGCCTACTCCGCCACGGTAATGAATGAGAAGCCCAAAGGCGACCATGAAGAGGAGGGTTCCAGCTACAATAAAAGGCTTCAATCGTCGAACTCTGTATACAATTAAGCCGGCAATGCATCCCGTGATTACAGACGTAAAACTGTAAAGCGACGTGATGCGGGTGGCACTCTTGATCGACTCGTTAAAAGCAACGATGAGGACTGTGTAAAGGAAATCACCTTGCATATACCAGGCTAGATGGAATTTTCAGCATGCGATCAATATGCGGGGGAGGAAAGATATTAACCTGTGTTTAGGGAGATAGCGATACCCAAAGCGCCCCAAACTGCGCGATCTTTGAGCAACTAGATGTAAAATTAGCGCCACCGTGCCCAAAGGAATGCCGACTTAGTAACAACGTAACAACGTAACAACGTACTCTAAAGGGGACCATGGGGTGTTTGCATGTCATCTCCCAGAGGATCCAAACTGGAATAAGAAGCACACCGATAACAAGGGGAGCAATGATTTTGGCTGTCTTCCACTGGAGTTGTACACCTCCAGCAAGTGTAAATGGTACAAGGATGAGTGCAAAAACCCCGACCAAGAGGATGATCCCGATGACATCCAATTGCCAGAATAAGGAGACCATGAGTTGGCGGAAGCCGAGCAACTCATATGGACTTTTGTAGGCGATGAGTGAACCGGCTTTTTTGGCTCTACGATGGACGTTATAGAGGGATAACAGCAGAGGTATAGTGCAGGCTAAATATTCGGATCAGTGGCGTTCCTTGTTGGTCAATTGGTATATCGTGGCGTACCAGGATAAATTATTGCCCACATTCCAATCCCTATGCCCACGAGTTAATACGATTTGACTGTGAACGCGGCATCGAACATACCCCAATTCCATGTAGTCTTTCCAAGGACAGCACTGGTGATATCACCAGAGACCCAGGTGTTTATCTACTTGATGTAAGCTGTCGGCATTCCCAGTGCGTTAGGACAGACTCACAATAAAAGGGGTCGCGGGGATGTAGGAGAATAGGAGACGGGCTCTGAGAGAGGTAACGTCTGCAATGAGGACTTCAACCAGCAGCAAGATGCCTGTATATCCAATCTAGGACGAAGGAAATTAGCCGTGTTACTCATACGCTGCAGTTTGATATCTCACCTGGTACAACACCGCACCCGCTGCGAATGATTGCACATTGGTGGAACACGCCTCGACGATGGTACCTAAGGACGATGAGTAATGTAATAAGAAGGCATTGAGTATATCCATGGCATACCAACGACGTAGAATATCACAGTAACAAATATCACCTCCACTCTCCCAAAGACATCGGCAATTTTTGCAGCAGTTGGCTATGAATAGCTCTTAGCAATGTCCGAGAATATTTTAAAAATGAGCTGATGAGATACCTGAGCGGCCGCAGCAATGACGCTTCTCAGCACATTCACTGTCGCCAGCAAACTGTGTGATTGGTATGAAGCCGTGGCATAGGGCTAGATTATTGAGTTAATATATGTCTAAAAACATGATCTTGTCCAAGAACCGTACTTGATAGGTATATCGGATTGTCCCATCGAGGCCGTATGCATAGGCAAGGACGAAGATGCCAAAAAAGAATACGACCCGATCTAACAAATGGAAATGTTCTGATATAACCTCCACACGTTGGACGCCAGGGCTCTTTTTGCCAAAGATTGACACAGATCTCTCGTCAACTGGCGGGGCTTGCGTTGTTCTCGGTTCTTTACCTTGAGCATTCCCCAAAGGCAAACCTTTCTCATCCTGTGTGGCAGACATCCTACCTTGTTTGCAGATGCCAGAGAATGAGGATAGAACCCAATCGTAGCTACAGGGAGGCTGAAAAACGTGAAAAAAAAGAGGGGGGGAGGCTGGCTACAGAAAAGAGGACAAGGGCTTAATTTTGTAGCACCCTGGCATGCACAGTTTCTGGTCAACGCTGGCACTCAAAAGCCAATAAGAGGCAGAGCCGGATCGAGAGAGGATCCTATTGGGATCCCCACAGGAATGATTTCTCCTTGAGCTAGTAGTCTGGATGCTCCTAGGCTGCAAGTCCAATGTATCCATGGGGACGAGAGAAAAAAAGAAAGGGACTATCAGATGAAAACGGGGCTTTGTCTAATCTGATTGAGAGATTGATAAACCTGGGCCAATGAGATCATCGAGTCGTCGAGCGCTGCATGTTGAGTGCATTTGGGTTGAGCCGGGCTGCAGGCATACCACGGCACGTTAAGCCCCATCCATGTGTTCCAGGAAGCAGATGGCCCGATGCAGGGCTTTTTGTCGGCCGCTAGACGTCTAGGCATCGAAACTCGCCAACCAAGGGAGTATCTTCCAGGCAGATGGGATGGAAGTGGGGGTCTTCCAACCGGCATCGCAAGGTTTTCCGCGGGTCTTTACTTATCGTATCTGATCGTCACGAATCAGTCGAAGGCTGCTTTTCCTTGAAGCTTAATCATCATAATGTGGAAGATTGAATCGGAATCCATGGCCCATCGCCACCTCGACCTCTAGGCTGTAAGGAAGCCGGAAGGTTCGGGAGTTGGCCATGTTTTTTAGCGACAAGCACAAGGTATGGGAGCAGAGCTTGCATCCGAGGACCTGCGAGGAGGAAACGACCAAAAAGATAACAAAAATATGGAGCACATGACGCGAGCCCAAGTCGTCGGCGGCTCCGGGTTTCCGTGGTCTCCATACGCCTGAAGGCCCAGGATGAAAATCTGCTCGCGTGGCGGCGTCCCGGGAATGTCTTGGAACGCCCCTCCGGATGGGACGATGGATGAAATTGACACGGTCAATTATTGTGGAGGGTGCGATATCCGGTACCGTCTGTTCCTCTTGAATGCTGCACCTCATCGTTGCTCTGTGTACTCTGGAGAGCGCAGCACGAAATATCTTCTGCTGGGAGGAGCAAACACAGCAAACATTGCAAATGGTGCAAACAGGACAGTCTAACCAGATCTGGATTAGCCCTGGACTTGAGCGGGTCATCTGCGCCAGCCAATGACGTTGTTGGTCTCCGAGGCTGCGAGAAGTTGGGAGCTGATAGCGTGCACTCCATCTTGCTCTCTTCTTTGTCGCAGATTCATACTATTACTCTCAACAAGGTACCGCCGTGGATTGGTGCCTCCCTAGCCTTTTGTACATTGCTACTGCTTGGTTACGTATAATCTTTCTTTTTCGGTAGCTTTCTGGTGTTCGGAGATCAATCCCTGGTTCGTAGTTAGCTCCTCACCTAGAAGCCTTTTGACGCAGATATTGACAACCATCATATTTCTTCAAGATTTTTCAGGGCGGATTGCTATTTCTGATAATTTGCAGCTACCCCCTTCAGTGCCATGTTTGGAATTATTGCAGATCTGCTTTCGTGAGTGTTCCCAAGCTCCCCGCTTCCGGGCGCAGGGGCCCCGCCCAACGTGGCTAGCATGGCCGGGACGGCTACAGTATTCCTGGAAAGATAGCTTCAGATATGGATATTAATCGTCTGCTTTGAACTGTACAGGTCCCTTTTTACTATCCTCTTCCCGATTTTCGCGTCGTATAAAGCTCTTCGCACATCCAATGTCTCACAAATTGCGCCATGGCTCATGTACTGGGTGATTATGTCGATGGTACTCTTAGTTGAGTCGTGGACTTTCTTCATTGTTGGATGGTAAGTAGAGTCTTTGCTAGCTCATAGGATTGACACCGGCTTTTTACAACTAACAGCTGCCCGTTGTCCATAACAGGTTCCCCTTTTATAGCTGGATTCGATTGTTCGCGCTTTCGTACCTCGTTCTACCTCAAACCCAAGGGGCAAAAAAGCTTTATCTCGAATACGTTGACCCGTTTCTCCTGCAATACGAGCGCCAGATAGAGGAGTTCATTGGCGAAGCACATGAACGCGCCAAAGCTGCGGGCCTGAATTACATTTATCAGGCAATTGATTTGATTAGAGAAAAGATACTCGGCCTGCCGCCTGTGCGGAATGCCGAAGCAGCTCCTCCACCTCCTAGTGCTGCGAGCGGACCTGCTGCGTATGCGCAGTCTCTTTTCTCCCGATTCAATCTGCCTGCTGGCCCGGGGACGAATCTCGCTGGTCCTGCATCAGATCTATATTCCCTTCTCAGTTCCGCAGTAACAGCAGTAACGTCGACGGGCAAGAGGGATGTACAAGCCGAGGAGCTCAGTGCTGCCGGTTTATTACCGCGGGATCTTGCGTCGGCTTCAAAGTCGGAGCGCGTAGATTACATTGTCTCTCAAAAGGAGAAGCTCCGAATTCTTTTCTCTGCCCTTGACCGGGAGCATCGAAACTTGGGGTCAGACGGTCGAGAGGACGACGACTTGGCATACGGGACCAGTTATGACGGAGGATTGAGGAAGAATCGAAGCGAAAACTCGTTTGAGAACATCGACCATGAGGACTTGGGCGCCTCCTCAGCGTTCGATCGGGAAGGGTACGGCCGGCGAAGGTCTGGAAGGTACGAATAAGTGAGACTCGGCCATTAGATGAATAAATGTATGTACTAGGTTTCGGCTTTGGCGTTGAAAGCCATGGCTCCGTCCATGCACGAGGGACTGTGATACACAGGGTTGTGGGGGTAGATTTATGCTTGCTTTTATATCGATGATATGTGGACCTTAGCGCGATGATGTTGAGTCCAACGGCTCTTACCATGTATTCTTGTGATTCCTCATCCATTGATACACCCGCGGCGGTTGCACCGTTGCAATACGCGACGAATAGGGGTGAACGAGTAAGATCGGGTCTATTAATAATTTTATCATACGATACATGTATCAAAGGTGACGGTGGCGAGTCTAACATGGGGCCGGAAAACGATGACAGGAGGTTGTTTATCCAGTGTTTGAGCCACTGATCTCTTCTTCCCCTCCCCTTTCTTTTTGACAGCAATCCTTGGCCCCGGAGTGTGTGGCTGAACAGCGGAGAAGAAGCTACATTCGATGCAGGTGTCTTCCTCAGTCTGCATGATGTAAAGTTCAACGTAGCTACATGGATCTGACGCCGCAGATGACTTGGGAGGAAACTCGAACAATGTCCTCCTCCGCACTGTAGAAGTCGTAGGACGCCAGTTTCAGAGCGCTATCCATTTTTGCATTTGGAGACCTGTCATAGCGCTGCCTCCAGCGTGGATGGTGTCTTTTGAGGCTTTGGGGCCATGCAGAACGAGAGTCGGATGATGTCAAGATTCACATTCGAAGCCAGGCTTGGGGTTGTGAAATGCTGTGATTCAGCCCTGTGAAGTGATTGGCCTTGCATGCAGACCACCCTACTTGTGACAGGTACTGCAGTGCCTCTTCTGCCTCCATTGGAAAGATTGACATTCTCGACGGAGGACGCCGTTGACAGGTTGATATTCATCAGGCTACCTGCTTGTCGCCTTTGTTGAAAGCCCAGTGTAAGATACACCGAATACCGGTAATGACGGATACATATGGGAGAGTCAGGGCGCGTGGCCAGTGATGCAAGCGGTGTTCTAGCGTGTATTAGGTACAAGCAATACGCCTGCTGACAGGAACTTTGTTCTCCCTTCGCATTCCAACAACCAAAGAAGAAAAAAAAAATTGCCTGACAAACCTCTTCCTCTCTCTCTTCTCTCACCTCTTCTCCTTCATCTCCATTTATACACCAGAACCAAATTCACATCAGATTTTTCCAGCGGGTTCTCTTCTTTACTTGCAAGAGGACGATCGCGGATAGTACAGTTTCTTTCTGTTTTATCCGCCCGCTTTTACTTCTCCTTTTCATCTCTCCCGTGCCGGTCGCCCACCCGTTGTGTGGCCACCGAAGCAGCACTCACTCTGCTCGAGTGTTGACGTGACTCCTCTCGCACATAGGATCGGTACGTTGACCTCCAGCTTATCCTTCTTTTTCTTGCCAGGATACTTGAGCAAGCGCTGGGAAAGTGGGATTGCGCAGATTTTCAATGTTGTGAGGCTTTTCGCACACCAGGCCACGGACCTCACGACTTCAACCTTTCAACCTCTGTCCAGCATGGCTTTTGTTTTTGATCACACTGCGAGGATAATTCCTTTTTAATTTGCGACCGACCCAATTAGCACACATATCCACCGGTTATCTTTTCTTTTTCCTGTTCCACAAATCTATCCCGTTTGACAAAATATAGCGCGGTGTCTGAATTTTTTGCTAACTCGAACTTTTTTGAATGCAGCTTCACAGACCCCCGTCATTTTTTTTTCAGTTCAAGAGTAACACATCTTGACCGAGCTTCCTTGTAATGACATCGATCCCTCAGACATCAGTCCTCCAATCAAAATCCAACACAGCCGGATCGCAAGGACAGACCCCGAGTGGAAAGTCTTCCCCATTGGCATCTGTGCCTGCACCTACCGCCCCTCGCTCGTACGCTAGCGCAACGAAGAAATCGTTTTCGCAAGCCGCTGCTACGGGCGATTCAGCGAATACTCCGTTGTCCACCACAAGTCAAGGAGCTCAGCATGGCAAGTCGCCTTCAATTTCTCAAGTGAATGGTAAATCGAACATGCAGAACCCTCCTGCCCCCGGTGCCGGTGGCCCAACCATCGTCAACGGCAATACCGCGGCCAATGATCATTCCAGAAAGCCCTCGGTAACCATCAGCGCTGCTGGCGCGAGTGGCTTTATATCGAATGGTGGCCCCGTTTCGGGACGCCCAAGCAACATCCGCTTCGGCTTTGGCGTCGATTCACAAAGCTCTCCGTCGATGGGAGCTGCAGTTTTAGCAAATCAGCAGCAGTCCTCTCTTGGGGTTTCTCCCGTCAATAACCGCATCACATCCCCAGACTCCTCTCCTTCTCCCATTCCTCAAACCCTCAGCGGTGGCCGTCAACCACCCTCTCATATTCAAGGACCTGGATCGATGCATTTTGGAAATTTCCCCGGGGAACCCAACGATATGAACGTAAGCATTATCTCTATTGACAAAGTCACCTTTCGCGACCTGGATGTTTTGGAAGCGGTGTTCTGGCAAGTAATGCTAACCCGTTATTATGAATTTAGAGAAATATACGACCAGGTTCGCAAGGTCCACCCAATAATCCTGCATCAGCGCACGCCCGACGAGAGTCTGCGCAATCTACACACGGAGATATGGGCCATGGCACGCCGAGCGGCCCAACTCGCGGAGGATACCATGGACAAGGTGGGAGAGGGAGAAGCTATAACCCTTCGCAGGTACCCTATAACTCCCCAGGCCCAACTTACAGGTCGAACCACAACCAGCGAGGTGGCCCCGGCATGAACCACTTTCACTCCCAGAGACAGCCCTTGGGCTCTTTCCCCGCCTCCCCCCACCAGACTGCGCGCAGTCCTGCTTTGTCAAATGCAAATCCCGCAACGCCGCCAATGGCGCATGTTTCAATGGCGAATTCACAGATGCAAGGACAACATTATGGATATCCGCAACATATGGGCCCTCAACAAGTAAAGCAACACTTCCCTTTCCAGTTTTCAAACCGTCGTAATTCATTATCTAAAAATAAAATTGGCACCCGCCCCAATGCTTCAGCGCCTCGACAGCGTTCAGCTAAATTTCAGATCCCACCGCTTCCTCTTACATTGTCTCCTGAAAGTGGAAATTTTGAACAGTTTCTAACAATGATTAAATCTCAGGGCTATATTCCACCCGGAAACTACGATGCGAGCGGTTATTACTACCCAGCCCAGTACCAATATCCAATACACATGCAGCATATGGGCCCTCCCCCCAACCGACCACCTTACATGGCTACTCAACCTCCTTTCATCCCGGGTCAATACGGAAATCAAGGCACCCCCCCGGCTCAGGGAGCACCCCTCCAGAGATCAACTTCGCAGGTCTCGGCCAGCGAACGTCCAGGGTCCAGCCTCGGCCATGGCCAGCAGCCTACGGTTCCTTTGACCCAAGCTCCAAGCCATACGCCGAATAGATCCACCAGCAGCCCGGCACCGAATCCTCAATTCGTCCTTCCGACTAAACGAACGTCTGCTCTTGTTATCAAAAACCCTGATAGTGGTAATGTTGTAGCATTTGATAAACAGTCTATTTCCCCTGCCCGTGCGACTCCCTCACCTGCCAAATTAGGTGCAGGTACGACTCCCTCAGCGACTCCTCCTCCACGCACAGCCAGCCGAGGCGAACCCGATCAAGCAGAACCTAAAGTTCAGACACAAGAGCAGAAGATACAATCCTTCCATGAGAAGGTTCGTCTGGCCGCAGAGCAAGCAGCGGAGGAACAGAAGGCTTTAGAACTCAAGAAGACGACGAAAGATAAAGATGATTCTGAACCTTTGAAGGCCGCTCCTGAAATTTCGGAAACACCTGCTGCACAGCCGGAAGAAGCAGAGAAACCCGCACCGGAACCTCAAGAGAAGGAAGAACCTAAGCCAGCGGAACCCGAAGAGGAAGAGATTGATTTCGACGCTATAGAACGGGAGTTGGCCGCCAAAGAAGCGGAAGAACTTGCTAGAGAGAAAGCCTACCAAGAGAAGAAACAGCGAGAAAAAGAGGAGGCGGCAAGAAAAGCCAAGCAAGAAGCCGAAGAATATGATGTTAAGATGAAGCAGGCTGAGCGAGAGGCGGAAGCTGCTGAAGAGGAACGGCTAAAGAAACTTGCCGCCAGTGAAAGCGATGCCATCAAGAAAGAGAAAGCGGACGCCTTTGCGGCGCTCAGAAATAAGGGAGCGACGCCTTTAGGGTCCCCAGCAGTTCAAACTCCTGCCGAAAGTGGTGCCGCCACACCAATGTCTGACACTTCCATGGGTCCACCAAAGTCACTCCCTAGCGGTAAACGTGAGAAACCTGCAGCCCTGAAGCTTGAGACTAACAAGACAGTGGAGCCGCCGCAGCCAAGCGCTGCTATGAAGTCTTTGCAGACTGCTCGCTTTTTGGAAGACCCTAGCAAAATCGCGTACCCGCAATCTATTGTTTCTCCAAACCCGGCCCTTAACGTCAACGCACCTTCTGATCGCAAATTCAAATATAACAAAGAATTTTTGCTTCAATTTCAGAATGTATTCAAGGAGAAGCCCTCTTTGGACTGGGATACAAAAGTTCGCGAAACAGTGGGAGACGGTTCCGAGTCTCGCTCCAATACGCGGACACCTAATCCTAAAAATCCATCTCGGCAGGGTACCTCTGGAGGCTTCGACGCGATGGGCAATTTCCGAGGAACCGGCCGAACCCAGACTATGCCATCCGGAGGTCAAGATCGATTCCCCATTCCTGGTATGCGTGGACCAGCTTTGGGTGGTAGCTTTGGCCAGTTTGGTCGTGGTCCAGGCGGTTTGTCCATGGGCGCGTCAATCAGCAGAACAAATTCATCATCTGCTCAACAGCTTCCCGGTTCTCCTCGCTCTGGGAGTCACCGTGGTGGACGTTCTGCCAGCAAGGCGCATAAATCCGGTAAAAAGGAAGAAGAGACAAACAAATCAATGCCTCTTACCGCTGGGCTCAAAATCGAGCCGCTTGCTCCCTCAAATAGTGGATGGAAACCAAGAAGTATTGGCAGAGCCCAAAATCTCGTTGGCCCTGACGGCCATCTCCCGCCTGATGTTGTTCAAGGAAAGGTTAAGGCCAATCTCAACAAAATGACACCCGAGAAGTTCGATAAGATTTCGGACCAGATTCTTGCTATTGTCGCTCAATCGAAAGATGAATCTGATGGCCGTACACTCAGACAGGTGATTCAGCTTACATTCGAAAAGGCAACCGACGAAGCTCACTGGGCCCCGCTCTACGCCAAATTCTGTATGCGGATGCTTGAGAGTATGAGCCCGGAGATCAAGGATGAGAATATCAGAGACAAACACGATAATGTTGTTTGTGGAGGTAGTCTTTTCAGAAAATATCTATTGAACCGTTGCCAGGAAGAATTCGAACGGGGGTGGAAGATCAATCTGCCCCCAAAACCCGAGGGCGTTACCGACGAAGCCGCTATGTTGTCTGACGAGTACTACATCGCGGCGGCTGCCAAACGACGAGGCCTTGGTCTCGTTAAATTTATTGGTGAATTATTCAAGCTTAGCATGCTTTCGGACAGAATCATGCACGAATGCGTGAAGAAATTAGTCGACTATGAAGGTGTTCCTGAAGAAGCTGAAATTGAAAGCTTGACGGGTCTATTGCGTACTATCGGTGCTACCTTAGATCAGGGCACTGATAAGGGCCACATGATGATGAACGCCTACTTTGAACGTATCGCTAAGATGGTCCAAACCCCTGGACTTCCGAGTCGATTAAGATTTATGCTTCTGGTAAGTATTCTGCATTGAGGATGTATTTGTTTTGGTTCTAGTTACTAATGCCATATCTAGGATATCATCGACCTTCGAAAGGCCAACTGGGTTTCGAAGGACGCTGACAAAGGCCCAAAGACTATCCAAGAAATTAGAGAAGCAGTAAGTCAAAAACATAACTTTTTATTTGGAATTGTTCGTACTGACTCGGGATTTCTAGGCTGCGCGTGCCCAGCAAGAACAAGAAATGGAACGTAAACGCCAGCAAGCAAGTAGGGGTAGTGGTGGTATAGGACTTGGCCGTGGAGATGCTCGAAACTTCTCCGGAGGCTACGGCGGCCAACCTCCTCTGGACTATGCGTCAAGCAAGGTTGGCAGCGATGATCTTCGTCGGTTGAAGACTTCAAGGACTACCAACCAGCCTATGTCTTTTGGTCCTTCAAGTTTACTAGGCTCCCGGAGCAATAGCGGCCGTCGAACGATTGGTCCAGGTGGTAACCTTGTTCGCGGTGGAGAGGACAGCACAGCAAGCAGTCGAACTGGAACTCCCCCAGGTCGGAAGAAGGACGACAAGGAGTCTGCATCCTCTACAAATGTATTCAGGTGAGGATCGCAGCCCGCTCCTTTTCCAGGAACCTCCGCATTCTAGGTTGGAATTACTAACGTGCTCTATTTTTTCCGCGTATCAGTGCCTTGGCATCTCTGGATACTGGAGACTCTTTAGCTACCTCGCCGCCCTCGAATCCATCTTCTCCACAGTTAACGAAATCACGCCCAGCTGTCCAAGCACAGCCAGCAAATGCTCCCAAAAAGGACGATAGTGCAGGTGCTTCTTAATGATGCCATCCTGACACCAGTCGAAAGACCTCGTTTGGGCTCACTTTTGAACCAAACGCTTTGGCTTTCAGCACTACAGAAGGAACGATTACAAAAACTTTGTTCTTGATCCGCAAGTATCTACGCATGGGCATGGCGTGATTTGATAATCGAAGATGGAAAGAAATGGACCTGGGACGAATTTTTACCAAAAAGTATTATGATCTGTTTGCAAAAAGGAAAAAAGCGCGTCCCAGCCACACATGAACACTCATAGACAGCGAAAAGAGCAGTCGAGGCGCCCTGAGCCACTTTCCAGGCGGGATGGATGGTTTGCATTTGCGAGGGTTCCTTTGGTTTTCTCTTTTTCCATACTCACATATTTTCTTTTTTAACTCAAAAGACGAATACCCGGGATCACTTTTTCTTTTCCCTTGCCGCTTTCTTTTTTTTCACTTCCTGCTATGATGAGGGAAATGAGCAAAAACGGCTAGATGGGGAGGCAAAAGGGGTTCCACCGTGTTTTCCTTTCTACGTTTTCCGATATCTCAAGGGGTCTTATCAACATGTTGTCTCTGCGTGATGATTTTGTTCTGCTCAGTTAAGTTTTGCCTGTTGCTTTTTTTCTTTTCTTTTTGTTATCCCGTCTCTTTCCCGCGCCTGGTAACTTTGCATATTGCATTTGTTTGCAGAGAACCCGATTTACTTATCAAGGTTAGGTCTATTTTAATGCTGGCTCTCCTTGGTTGTTTACTCTTCTTTTCCTCTCTGATGCTATGGATTATAAATTCTTCTCTATAGGAACCCTTTTTTAAACTTCTTTTCTCCTTTTTCCCTCATCTGTGTGTCTTGTATCTCTATTAAGCTGGTTTGAACGAGTTGAACAATTTGATAATCTTGTTTAGCCTATTTAACTTCTTCTCTTCATCACCTACCGTTGCTCCGCATGACAATTGATGATCTGCTTACACTATTAGCTTCGATGATTGAGTTCTCAAAAGAGTATCCTAGCTGTGGGAATTTTCAATCCTTGCAATTCTCCAAAAGCAATTTATGCTAGCACAATGTAGTCTATGTACATTTGCTGTCCCTTCCAACGGGATATGAAACAGGAATTGGACTGTGAGTCGGGCCAGAACGACTATTACGGGCAATATCCTGATAACAGCTCGCTAAACAAGTTCAAAGTGCCGCCCAGTAATGATGAAATTGAATGTTAGCCTTCAGAGACCGTTAGACGGGTCCCTGTATGTTGAAGCTCAACAATTGGGATAAGTTTGCTATATCTCGCTTCGCACCTCCAGCTGGTCCATAAACTAGATTTAGTGATTGTTGCTCTCATTGGGGTTCATCTCCTTAAGGGAAGGGAATATGTCCAGTCTTTTTTTCTCACTTTCGAAGTCTCGAATACTCGAGATAGAGCTAAAAGTAGTAGCGTGTGTTGTGCTACTCATCGGCTCGCTTTGACTTGAGTCGTTAGAATCAGCGCTGGAGCCCTCTTTGCGATTTAAACGTCCTCCAATATCTCTAATTCCCGAGTTGGGATCAGGTTCGGAGTTGACCTTATGTCTAGATGTATCACTCAAGGATAGACGCACCCGCATAGCCGTTGAGGCTGATACTGACATGATTGGGCACTTTCCGGTTTCCCCTGGAGACTTGGTTCCCGCGTTCAACCCTTCGCTAAGCAAAGATGCATATTCTCTCTGATCAGTTTTGCGGAGTTTTGTCTTTGAGCGCAACTGTTCCTCGCGAAATGATTCCGACAGGCCGATGGGAAGCAACTCAGCGGGGGATTGAAACTCTTCGTTATCATTGAAACGATGATCCAACTCAAGGCCAGACGTTCGATCGATAGCCTCAACCAAAAAGAGCAAGCTTGAGGGTAGTTGTTCCACGGTTTGGGAACATTCAGCTTTGCGTTCCGGTCTCGTAGGGTAATCCTTTTCCATAGGTGTTTGAGATACTTGCCCAACACCCCACTCATCAGGCTTTCTTCCCTCGTCCAGGCTTTGACTACCGGGGGTGATAGGATGCAACTGATAGCCGATTGCCGCATCTTTGGTTTCTTCTGTTGTGGAGGGGGTCAAGACATCGCTAGCACTAGTCATTCGGATGTGCTTGCCAACATTGCCACCAACTGGGCTGTCTCGGTGTTGGGCGAGATGTGCGGAATCTGCTAGAATTTCTGAGCACTTAGAAAATATGGAACAGTCCAAAATGGGTTTAATCTCACGATCATTCTGAAAGGCTCCCATGGAAACTAGCCATGGCAACAGCAAGGGGTTATTACCTAGACTGTCACTGTCCCCATCCGCTTGACAATCAGTGCGGCACAAGTCGGTGCCGAAAGTGGAATCTTGTTCAGTGTTACACTCAGAGACGGCGCGAACTGATGTCTGGGAAGCACGGAAATTTTTGCTAGCCATCCACATTCCTGGCTCCAAAGATAGTTGGGAATCAGAGATCCTCGAAGAGGCTCGATGGGAAGGCAACTGGAAAGTAGCTCGACCCGAAACTGAATTCGCACTTGCATCGCAGGGATTGGCTAGGGTGGAGCCATACGATGTAGATTCCATGGGTGTTCCATCGACGGTTTCAAAAGGAGGGCATGTAGCGGATTGGGTAAGTGTGGTCGATGTTTGTGCGGCACTCGGAGTGTTATGAGCCGAAGAAGGTTGTTCTGTATTGCTTAAGACATCTAAAGATGTATTCGCTTCATAGAATAGGCCGAATATATCTTCATTTCCAAAGTTGCGATCGCGAATCTCTATTTCGGGAGGGCCATCACTCGACGAAGACGCTCTATCCGAGGCACCATCATGCGTTTCTAATTCATTTGAAACCCTGGACTGGCGACTTCGGCGATTAACAAGTTTAGACAAAAAGGGCGACCCAAAAATTCTGTTTTTAATGCCTGGAGGCTTTGTTCCGTATAACGATATTGCCGCATCGGGACTTTCGAGTGTATCGGCTGAGGGAAGTTCCGGAGGTTGCCCGATACTCGCTGATTTTGACGTAGGTGAATGGTTTGGAATATCGACCGGAAGGGAACGACGTAAACCCAGGTCCTCTTGGGATTTCGGAGGTGAAGTTTCCGGTAGGGGTTGGCAATGTTCTGCCTCTGAAAAGGATGGGATCTCTTTGCGATTGAAAAGGGACTTCGATCGAATACTTCCCGCCAACGCTTTTAGGCTTGAGCGTGCTTGGCGAAGAGATTTTGACGGTGAAGACTTCTTTGGTGAAACCGCCACCGCGATCTTTTGGGGTCGTGCAGATGGTTTACGATCTGAGGATTCTGGAGGCATCGCAGATTGTAGTCGGTTTTTGAGTTCTGGGTTGTGCCGAGGGTCGTTGGGATTATAAATCGGATAATGGATTCTTTCCTGGCAGGAGATCCTAGGGATGGGTTGACACTGAGTCGTGAAGCCGGGATCAGACTGAGACTCGCGTTTGGAGCGTTTTTTAACTGGTGAGCTAAAGAACTGCGACACACTTCGATGATGGTTCGCACGCTTTTTCGGAGGGCTCATGGTTGATTTTGCTTCATGGGACGGGGATCCGCGAGAAAGAAAACGATGCCAGAAGGATGGCATTGTCAAAAGCAGTACAGGGGGCGGATGCCAGCAAGGACAAGCATCAAGAGTAGGGACCAGAGAGAGAGCATGAACCACCCAAGGAAAGCGGTGATATCAAAACGGAACCATTCAAGCAGGAGTAAGGGGAGCAAGGAATCAAGGGAAGGTGCACTCTTCGAAGCTCGAAGCTGCAATAGTTATCCTCAGAAAGCAAGGAGATCAAAGAAAGAAGAGAGGCATCTCGTGGATCAAACAGCAGCAGGTGTTTGGAGATGGGCCAGGAGGTGGGCAACGCTGGCTTCTGAGGGACATTGTCCATGATGACAACAGGAGTGCCTGTTGCCATGACAAACAGCAAGTTATGTAAGAGGCACAGATTCACTGCTGGAGTTTGCGGAAGATGCCGCTTTAATATGGGCATTCTGGCCCATGGAAGAGTCGCAGTGAATCTGATATCGATGTTGTTGACTCCTTAACTGGTTAGCGCCGGGGATATTTTTGGAGTTGCCGCTAGTTAACTAGCAGATCACGTGGGAGCTCAGCCATCAAGCTGTGAAAGAGGAAGAGAAAGAGTCAAGGCGCTGTTCACATTGCTCTCAAGTCAATCTTTCTTGCTGCTGAAATGCGCTGAGTGGCTCTGTCTGCACAAAGCCTGTGGTGAATTCGTCTGCCACCTGAGAGACTGTTCAGTTCCGTTGCTGAGGTTTTGCCGCGCTCTGGCTGAGCGAGAGGGATCATGGCCGCAAGAAAGAAGAGTGCAAAGGATGCCCCGTCATTCCAGGCGATTGTTCAGGCTGGTAAGTGTGCAGGTCACCTGGATGGTTGCCGCCCCGACAGAACTCAGGTTGTGATTCTAACAGAATATACTCTTATTCCAGCTCGCGAAAGGCGTCGAAAACAAGATTCAACGGACGAGTTCTTCAATAAAGTGAGAAGCCAAAATGCGCCGGCTCCCGTGAAACCAGCGCGGAAGGAGATTTCCAGAAGAGTTGAGAAGGTAGCCATTTGCAGCGCATGCTTAGTGTCTCTAGTTTTACGCGCGCGACAATACTGATTGCGTTCGTTTGACCTTAGCGCGCCGCGCCCGGGGGTATCAGGAAAGCAGAACCCACTCGAACAACGGTTACGGCTCGTCGTGCCACCCGAGAAGCTCGTTTACTGTCGTCCGCGTTGCCCGAGCCTGACTTGAACATCAAGGGTCGGGCCATGGGACCTACTGCTGTCCTTGGAAGTAACTTTGCGCCTGGAACAACCGCAGAAGATATTCAATCGGCCTTTGAACCAGTGGGGGGAAGAATGCTGAGATGTCGTCTCGTTTCGACCTACCCCGCCGTGATGGCCGAAATGATGTTTGCTGATCGCCGTGGCGCGGATGATGTTGTCGCCAAGTTCAACAACCAGAAGGTGAACTGAGCTCTGCTGTTCTTCTACTAAATGTCGGCCGATTTACTGATGGAAACCTGTATCCTCTAGGCCGATGGGAGAATCCTCCACATTCGCATCAAGCCGGAAATCACCTGAATCTGACTCAAACCTCCATTATCATTACGCCCCTGTCCCCCACTTTGCAAAGCCGCCCATAGACAGGATCCTACAACAATATCGCAATTTGGCTATGAGAAACGAACTAAAATCTTTTACCTTTTTTGGGCTTTGATTGGATCCTCGAATCTCGGTCTCGGATGCTCACTCGCACCCATGTACATTACTCGCATTTTACCCATCTAGCATAGCTCTGGCAGATCTTAGCGATTCCTCCTGCTAAGACTAGTATTGGTCCTTGGGTTTTTCAGCATGAGATTGCCTCGTTTGGTTCTTTTCTTGACTGTCTGGGGATTATGAACGGCGCCGAGTTACGGGGAGTTTACATTCTCTGCTGGAATATTATTATGGTGCTCCTGGAGGAAACGCTTTATCATCCTTTCCTATCTCTGGTATAGTCAAGAATCCAAAAATGCGTAATCTAGCATTTTTGACAGCCCATTTAAAACTGTATTTCCCAGCAGCAATCAGTGGCGCTTGGAGGTTGCAAGATATCTAGGGACATTCTATAGAGATATATGCTACTTTCCAATCCATTCAAGGATCTTAACCGTAGAATCAGGCCAAAGGTGACCTTCAGCAATCCTAACCTTAGGAATTCTCAGCGGCATTGTGAAGCGACATTCCAATGACGTCACCCAGATTGGTCCATAATAAACTACCTACCTTGGTTTGGACTTCGCTGTTCATCGGCTTGGAGAGATTGTAATAAGGCTCTGAAAACCAGCAGCCGCTCCATGCTGTACTTATAGTCTCACAATAATACTAATACTCGCCAATCTCATTATCTTCCTTGGGCTTTGGCATCATTTGAGCCGTTCGCCATGGGCCGGCTGAAGCCCTCCGTCGTCCTCCAACCGCAAGCTTTCCGTAAAGACCTCCGCGCAAAGCAGGCCAAAGCGGTAATTAACAAATCCATCCCCGCGCTTCTGGCGTCGGATGCTCGAGCCCGGAAGGGTGTCGCCGGCGCGGAGCTGATCGCGGATCCTCCGCCGAACGAGCGACCTCTTGAGGAGGGTCAATGCATGGATCGTCAACAAGAAAGCCCACCTTTTGAAGTTAGCATTCATGCAGAGGATACAATTACCGCAGCCCTCCGTCTATATGCGGGAACCCCGTCATCGGGTACTGGCCGGGTGGGAATCTTGAACATGGCGTCTCCGCTTCGACCAGGCGGGGGTGTCCTCAATGGTGCTACTTCACAGGAGGAGTTTCTCTGCGTGCGTACCACGTTATATCCTTCGTTGCAAGAATCCTTCTATCGGCTTCCGGAAATCGGGGGCGTGTGGACTCCAGACGTGCTCATATTTCGAGACGGAGGACCCGAGGGTAATAACCTGGCGAAAGGTGATAGGGTGTATGTAGGGGTCGTGAGTGCTGCTATGCTCAGGTTTCCGGAGCTTGAGGAAGGGGGTAGGGCCTATTCGAATTCGGGAGAAACGGAAATGGTGGAGAAGAAGATGCGCGCCGTTATGAGGGTATTCCAAGCTCGGAATTTGGAGAGCGTAGTCCTGGGGGCTTGGGGCTGCGGCGCATATGGCAACCCCGTGGAGGAGATTGCGAAAGCCTGGAGAAAGGTCTTACGACCGGACAAAGACGCAAAGGAGAAGCGGATCACGGAGAGACCTAAAGAGAGTTGGAGTGGAATCCGGAGGGTGGTCTTTGCGATCAATGATATAAACACGGCCCGCGAATTTGCAAAACATTTTGGTGAAGAACTTATCGTGGAGAACGTCGCTCCTGAGGATGTGGATCAACGGACACTCGACCAAAACGATCGTGCCATCGAAGAGTTGAAGAGTAGAATCGCTGGGTTGGAGGCTCAAATTCCAGAAGCCAGAACGGAGTTACTCAAACATCGGTTACAGGAAATCTTGACTGGTTTGAAGCTTCAAGTAGCGGGTCGGATGGCAGCCTCTGAGCACAGTGGGCACTCAGGCGCAGCGCACACCGTCGAAGCCGGTAGCAGCGAATATTGAAAAAAAAAGGATGGGCACTGGCTTCACTATCAGTCAATAGCCGGCCGGTTTTCAATTCCGTGATGCATCTTTAGGGTGTCTCCCGTGAACTTGGTAGGCCATGGTAGTATGATTTTATGGTTATGCAAAAACCGTTTACAGCCTTGAGTATTAATTACTGTTTCAAAGATCGCTCTATGGGATCAATTCACCAGATGTGCGGTTGGGCGATCGTAGTTTGTTCGTAGATCCCGGATCGAGTTCCGATGGTGGTCCTCGGAAAGGTCTCCCGGCTGTTCAAGACGCTTAACTCGTTAACTGGTCAATATGAGCCAACTCGATATACCACGAGGTTGACGTTGACCCTCTCAGCTCCACGCGACAAACCTGACCTTCTCATCCGCAAAAGATGAGCAATGGTGCCACCCAGATAACGACTCGATTGGCAAGAGCCAGTCGACATTCTCGGCTGGCCACGCCATCCGCTGCTTCACGATGTCTGTCGACCGCACCGCAAAGACAATGGTCGACCCCGCTAGCAAAGACTATTGCTGAGGCCATCAACGTTCGTACAGTTCTCCAGCCCCCTTTGCCCTATCTGTGTACTAAAGAGGTTGTGGGAGTGTGAATCAGACCACCGGCCCGATTTCCATCGCTGCGTATATGCGGCAATGCCTCACGTCACCTGAGGGCGGTTATTACACCTCGCGCGGCTCGCCCGGGGCTGAAGTGTTTGGGAGACGGGGCGATTTCATTACGTCGCCGGAGATTTCGCAGATGTTTGGTGAGCTGCTGGGTGTCTGGACAGTTACGGAATGGATGGCCCAGGGACGGCGGAGTCGCGGCGTTCAGTTGATCGAAGTCGGTCCGGGACGGGGTACACTCATGGCGGACATGCTTCGGGTGAGTGTTTTCTCAATTTTGGTGGTTATCATTCCAGTGTGGCTCACTACGTTCTGGTTCAGTCCGTGCGGAATTTCAAGAGTTTTGCGTCAAGCATAGAAGCGATATATCTTGTGGAGGCAAGCCCTACGCTACGAGCGATACAGAAGCAAATGCTATGTGGCGATGCACCGATGGAGGAGATAGAGGCAGGGTACAAGAGTACTAGCAAACATCTAGGCGTCCCTGTGATATGGGCAGAGCATATACGGTCGCTGCCGCAGGGTTTGTCTCCCCAGGATCTCGAGGAAACCAGAGACTAATGATTTTTTTTCCGACTAGGCGATACCGATGTGCCTTTTATCATTGCTCATGAATTTTTCGACGCTCTCCCAATCCACGCCTTCCAGTCCGTTGCGTCTCCTCCCTCCGACACAATTGTTACACCCACTGGCCCTACCAAACTCCGTCAGCCACTTGCTTCAAGCCCAACGCAATGGAGAGAGTTGGTCGTATCCGTTAATCCAGCAGCAGAGGCCCACGCTGAGAATCGACTTGAATTCCGTCTATCTCTCGCTAAGTCAACGACACCCGCTGCAATGGTGATGCCAGAGATGTCTGAGCGCTACAAGGCCTTGAAATCCACGCGCGGATCCACAATTGAAATTAGCCCTGAAAGCCACGCATATGTACAAGAATTTGCTCGCCGCATCGGGGGGAAAGCAGACGGAAGGTCCCCAGGCCGGAAACCCGCCGGAGCAGCGTTAATTTTGGATTACGGCCCATCGCATTCCATACCTGTGAATTCATTACGTGGCATTAAGGATCATCAGCTGGTTTCTCCGTTTACGTCACCGGGACAAGTCGATCTCAGTGCTGATGTTGATTTCGTCGGTTTGGCAGAAGCCGCTATTAAGGCTAGCCCGGGTGTTGAAGTTCATGGGCCGACAGAACAAGGGAGCTTTTTGCAGTCTTTGGGTATCATGGAAAGAGCAGCACAGTTGATGAAACGAGCCGAAGATGAATCGAAAAGGAAAAGCATCGAGACCGGGTGGAAGAGACTAGTGGAGAGAGGAGGCGGGGGAATGGGGAAGATTTACAAGGCCATGGCTATTGTTCCTGAAGCTGGAGGCACCAGGAGGCCCGTTGGGTTTGGTGGCCAGGTTCCTGCCTAAGGCTTGGCTTTAAAGTCCTCTGAGTTGATGAGTATGCACAGTATCTGGTACGCTCATATATTGGTGTATACTAATAAAAGCATGTATGTACGATAATCTATTGGAAAGCCATCGCCGTAAACTGTATATGCCCCTTGCAATGCGAATATCAGTAACCGGTCAACGCCGCTTCGCTCAGTAAAACGCCATATACAATCATTTCAAAGGAAAAAGAGCAATGCCATGGCCCGTCATGGCCACCCCGATAACGCATGATTGCTCAATATTCCAACCAAATATCCTTCTCATAAGCCTTTGTCAGCCTTTCATCAGTCCCGTACTTCTCCTGCCACCGCAAAAACCCGCCATCAAGCACATAGACCTTCTGTTTCGCTCCCTCTTCGAAGCCAAGCACACTCGCCCTCTCTCGCGCGTACTTCAACGCCGCGGACGGCCCACGCTGCTGACTCAGTGCGCAGTGGAAAACGACTTGTTCTTTATCCTTTAGCGTGCGGATGAGCTCTGGGATGTGCGCTTCAAGTGTCGTGCTAGGAATCCAAGTCGACGAGAAGATGTGGCCGCCGACATGGTCTATTTGTTGTCACAGGAGTCAGTGGGCAAGGTATGTAACGAGGGTTTTTTTTTTTCTTTTTGACGCACACACCTGAGTCCCTGACGTCTATGATGGCGACTTTGCTGGCGTTGGAGGAGAGAAGGATGTTCGATAGGACCTCGCGGGTCATGCGGGGCAGGGTCGCGATGGTGATCGAGGTCATGATGGAGTAGTTAGGAGGGTGGGAAAGCGGGGTTTGATGATGATAAGTTAGAGTTGTCAGGATCTCAGCTTCCAGCAAGTAGATATCAAGCAAGGCACAGGTTATTGCTTGTTGTTCCTGTATTTCGTCCTCCTCTGCATGTTCGATAAAGCTGTCCCGCCGTATCGATCGGGACGATGTGATTGGCTCATAAGTTGAACTAAAAGCTAAACTATAACCGGCTAGCGTAACTAACTAATCAACGAATTACCTAAGCATAGTTAAATAAGTATCACGTGATCGTTCAAAAAAGTCGAGAATCTGGAATCAAGAGGCCATCCGTCCTGCTACCACTACCGGCCTTTCCCATGCCACAATTTCTATTTACGTGGAACTAGGACCTCTGGCTACCAGCTATCGCAATCCCTCAGTATGGAGGTCCGGCATTGCGTCAATGGCCTAATCAAGGCGCACCGGATACAGCGACAATGTCTCTTTACCTCCCCATATCGCTCCATCGCTCCCTCGTCAACACGAGCCGTCACCACCAGCGCACCCTCTAAAGCGCCAACCGGCGCCGCGGCCGCATCTAATTCCCGCTCCGACTCCAGTAATTATCGCTCTTTCACCCTCAACCCCAACCGCAGATCCACGCCCGAAGCAAACAGGAGCCTTCCCGAATTAAGTGAAGTCGACAGCATCCTTCGTTCCATAAAGACAAACACCGCTGCAAGACCCCAAGCAGCACCACGAGAACTCAGCAGCGGCGGTGACTTGTTTACCAGGGAGATGTCGGGCATGTTGAATATGTTCGACAAAAACTTTCAAGCTGGGGCGGACGGCGCCCGGAAGCCACGCATGTCTTCGCAGGTAGAGCTGCGGTTGACTCCGTCGTTGGGTCGGACGGTGTCCGTGGATCATATTCGTGGGTTTGATGTCGCAAAGGCGTTTGTGCATATGGAGGCGCGATGTTCGGCGAATAAAGTCCGTCAGGATGAGAAAGCGCAGAGATTCCATGTTCGGAGGGGTCAGAGGAGAAAGGAATTGAGGATGGAGCGGTGGAGAAAGACGTTCAAATTTGCGTTCCAGCACACGGTTAACAGATGCCTGGCATTGACGAGGCAGGGCTGGTAAAGGGGTTAGGAGCACGGCGGATTTTGTGTTATGGCCGTGGAGGGGTTATTGACGAGATTATTTCGTTTGTGGTATACATGAAAATACTCGACTTGGGAGCGCCTAGATTGGCAAACGAGTTGTGATATCTTGTGAGGATCTCCGCGCCGTTTGGTGGGTACAAGGTCTTTCGATGTACTATAAGGGATTAGACGGCGATATTGAACGGTTTATTCTACATGAACAAAGTGGAATCGATATACAATCATGTCTATATTCGTTAAAAAAGAGCCCCAAAAGAATGCTCTGGTCCATCAATCACGCTTCCCACTCGAATACCCACCGTAGCCCTGACTTACCCCATTCTTCCCATTGAATCCGTAACCCCCATATCCATTCGTCGTCCCTCCTGGAGCCAGGTTTATAGACACACCACGGCTTTTTCGGCCGAAGAGTCCACCATGGCCGCCTGTAGAATGACCCAGAAGCCCATCCCCGTTCCATAAACTGCCTCTGTTCCGTTTATAGCGCTCCCACCCCAGCGCAAGGATCCCGCCCAAACACCCGGCCATCACGAACATCAGGCAATTGTACAAAACTCCGGACAGAGTCATGTCGGAATCCTGTAACAAAACCAACCCAGAAATATCACTCTCTTGAACCCAGCCAACATGGAACTTGAACGTCAAAGGTTCACCGCGGAGTACTTTCACCCCTTCTCCCGCTTTCCACGGGTCCCACGGCACAGGCACACCCACAATCTCCTTCTTTGCCTTCACGCTCTTCCTATCTTCCTTCCTACTAGCCCCGCCTATCGACGGATTCGAATACGCCGTTCCCGCCACAATCTGACCCGACGCCCGCTTCCCCTTGCGCGCTTTCTTCTTGTGCCCATCCACCGACCGGTGCATCAACACATTCATATCGGACCAGATGTGCAAATGACTCTTCTGCAACGTCCCCTGTAGCGCAATCGTCAACGGCGTAAACGGTGCTGGCGCGCCGCCCTCCAGGAATGCCTCATGGCTACCTTCGCCCGTAGCCGTTGGGTCGAAATGTTTCGAGGGCTGGAGGAGCGGGACGGTGGGTATGCGGCATGTTAGCGGGGCGTCGGAGTGGACGTAGTATTCGAAGAGGTGGTAAAGGGTGTCGGAGAGGGAGTCGATGGTGCAGGTGACGGTTTCGGAGATGCCGTAGCGGAAAGAGAGCGGCTCGGAGGTTTCGTTGCACGTTGGGAAAGGGATATATTGGAGTTTTCCGGAGGAATCAGTTACCTATTGTTCATATATATTAGCAAAAGAGATTCAGACCGAACCCGGAAGTTCCGGGGGCTTCAATCCAGGGGAGGCGCATACATGCTCACCAGCATCTCTGTGGGACAAGCACGAACAATTAGTACCAAGTTAACAAAAAGCGCAGGATTCCTTCCGACTCACATTGTCCGATTTAAACAGCTCACCGGCACGTTTTGACCATATTTATACGTCCGCTTTGCGAAATCATGGGAATGTATGAGCTTACCAGCAGCCGCTAGCTCGCTAAAGAAGAGCAGAAGGACAATGGTGCTCGCGCATGCGTACGATACCCTCGAGAGAGCGGCCATGGTCGATTATCCGGTCCAGCTCGTCCGGGACCACTTGGGGGAAGTGGATTGAGGTTCGGAGTTTCCAGGTGGCTATTAATCAGTGGGAACTCTGTCCGGATGGCGAACAGGGATGAACAGCCTGGCCTTTTTGGGCTTGGGCCTTTTGTGGTTGCCAATGCCTGTCAAGATTACATGGAAATACCTTCAGTTCCTCTGCCCGACAGGTTGATAGAAACGAAATATTGAAACAGAACGCATGCTCATGGTTTGACTCGGTACCTCATTGTGTCAGAATAGCCGTTGCCCAAGGTCTTGGCATTCAACAGTTTGATAAATTGGATGTCTTCAGGGGGAATATAACTATATCAGTTCCATGAATTTCTTTATTCTGTGCTTGATACATAGGAATGATGTCCACAGGGCCATTCCAACATTGCTAGAGAAAAGCCGAATTTACAAACGACCCGCCTTCTGCTTGTATGCGGCAATCAATCCGCTCGTGGACGCATCGTGGCCACCTCCTGCGCCCTCGGTTTCCAGCTCAGTCTGGATCTTCTTTGCAAGAACCTTACCAAGCTCCACTCCCCACTGGTCGAAGGAGTTGATGTTCCAAATTGCGCCTTCAGTGAAAGTGACATGCTCATAGTACGCGATGAGCGCGCCAAGAGTGGCAGGGGTGATTTTCTGCGCGAGGATGGAGGTTGTTGGACGGCTGCCAGTGAAGGTCTTGTGAGGCACCAAGTTTCTCGGGGTGCCTTCGCCACGAACCTGATCTGGCGATTTTCCGACCATCAAGGCTTCAGCCTGGGCAAAGAAGTTAGAGGCAAGCATGGTCTGGTGTTTGCCGCCGTCGACTGGATTGTGTGATTCTGCAGCCAGGATGAAGTCGGCTGGGATGAGTTTTGTGCCCTGGTGAAGCAGCTGGAAGAAACTGTGCTGAGCATTGGTAGCAGGCTCGCCAAACAAGATTGCACCGGTGGTGTATCTGACGTAATCATCCGTTCGGGTGATGGCCTTGCCGTTGCTTTCCATGGACAGTTGCTGAAGGTACGCAGGGAACCGGTGCAAATACTGATCAAACGGTGAAACTAAGTGGGTTTGAGCACCGAAGAAGTCACTATACCAAACACTCAAGAGGCCACCGAGTACTGGGATGTTTTGTTCCAAAGGAGTGTTCTTGAAATGCTGATCCATGGCATGAGCCCCCGCGAGGAACTGGTGGAAATTGTCGAAGCCGATGTAAAGGGCGACGGACAACCCAATGGCGCTCCACACGGAGTATCGACCGCCTACCCATGACTCAAAACCAAACATGTTCTTCTTATCAATGCCGAATCTTGTGACCTCAGCTTCATTGGTTGAGAGCGCCACGAAATGTTTCGCGATGTGAGCTTCATTTTTCGCGGTCTGAAGGAACCAAGCCTTCGCAGTTTGCGCGTTGGTGATGGTTTCAGCGGTCGTGAAGGTCTTGGACGCAATCAAGAAGAGGGTGGTTTCGGGGTCGGAGCTTTTCAATGCTTCAGCAACATGGGTGCCGTCAATGTTTGAAACGAAATGAAGGGTAAGACTGCGGTCCGCATATGGCTTTAGAGCCTCTGTGACCATCACTGGGCCGCTGGCAGCTGTTAGCAGGTCCGTCACGCCATATTGGATAAAACACCGCAAGAAGACTTACAGGTCAGATCCACCAATTCCAATGTTGATAATTGTCTTGATTTTCTTGCCGGTATACCCTTTCCATTCTCCGCTTCTGACCTGCTCCGAAAACTCCTTCATGTGCTCTAAAACGCTGTTGACACCCTCCACGACACTGTTCCCATTGACCTTCATCGGCGAATTGGACACATTGCGCAAGGCAACATGGTACACAGCACGGTTCTCAGTAAAATTGATTGGGTCACCGTTAAACATCTCATCCCGAAGCTTCTCAACGCCAGTTTCTTTGGCCAACCTGACGAGGAGTTTGAGGGTCTCATCCGTAACCAGGTTCTTGGAGAAATCAAACAGAATCTCCGAGTTGTCTGCCGAGTTCTTAAATGTATGAGAGAGCTGGTTGAATCGCTGAGGATTGTTCTTGAATTCCTCCTTCAAAATGATGGACTTCCCGGTGCTGGCATGATGCTCCTCGAGCGCTTTCCAAGAAGGGAGGAAGCTTGCTTGATCGAAGCCAGCCATGGTGGGAAACTGACAGTAACAAAAGTTATGCGAAAGACGTAGATATCAATTGAGTCGAAGAGCGAGGAGGGAGTTGGGAGTTGTTCTGTTGATTTCTTTGCTGCCCACCTGAGGCACTCCAGGTATCATGAGGTAATTGCCCCGCTAACTACCGCCAACGGTCTGGCCATGGCACCCGGCAGCCATTATTAATTGCGCCTCACCGGACCACCTCGTTCTCTCTCCACGGTGTAACTATGGCAGGGGAATGTCGGCGATCGTTCTTTGTCAATGATATTATCCAAAGTCCATCTGCCTCTGCTGCACTGCCGTTTTACATGGGTTTGGCTAATTTCAACTAGGTGACCAGAAGGAACACGAGGGAAACGCTGAGCATTCAAGTGACACGTTTTAATCTACAAAGTAAAGAGCCAGGCCAGATGAGTTATTTCCTTGGGAACAATGGGCATTGTCAGGAACAGAAGCTGAATGGAGATGCCTATCCACCATTCCACCTGCAACCGATGGTTCCTGTTACAAGACATTCTCGAGGAACCCAAGCAAAGCAACAATAGCCACTCCCCCTTGAAGAATATTCTGCGAGCTCGCAGCACCCGTGAACTCCGGCAAATCGGCTGGCGAACCTGGCCCCACGGTGCTGGGAAGCGTGTTGTTGGGGCTACCAGTTGGGTAAGGAGGGTCCAGGGAAGCATTTGTGCAGACCGTGGAGGTCACGGCAGGAGGTGTGGCGAGACGAGAATCCGTCGGCGATGGTGATTCGATTGTAGCTGATGGTTGCTTCGAGGTTTCTAAGTCGCTAGTGAAACTCAGGGTTACGCTCAGCTTCGCGGCGCATTCCTGAATTGACAGCTCCTAGAAAGCGCCGAGTCAGCTTCCCCAAACACCGATATGTTTCCGCTACATATGATCAATGGAGAACTCACATTTGGACAGCATTGCCCCGCCGTCAAACAGAAAGAACCAACCGGACAAGGGTCTGCAAATATTGTCAATTCCCAAAGTGTCAGATGATATGACGCGATGCTCACTCACATCCTTCACTGCAGCAGGTATCACCTTCGCTAGCGCTATAACAGACACCGCTGGGGGCACATTCAGCATATCCCGCCCCGAAGGCGTCTGCGCAGTTTGAGCCAGCCCCCGGTGATGTCCCGGGGGTGAAAGAACCGCCTTCATTTTGGCGAGCGGCAATTGGTTTGATGCGGAGAGGTTCGAGTTTCACCAGATTGTTGGCGATAACGCAATCAATCACTGCAAAAGATAATATGAAAAGTTGGATGCGCATGTTGGATGTACGGGAAGCAATTTCCAAGATGAGGAATGGTTATGAAAAGCAAAGCTGAAAATTCGAGGGTCTAGGAGGATCGAACCTCCCTTACATAGTTCGAGGTTAGGACGAAAATAGGTTGAAAGATATAGATAAAAATTTGAACTGAACAAGAAAGCGCCTTGACCCGTAGACTTTCCAATCAGTTAAAGGCATTGAACTGCAGAGGCGTTCCTCTCGAGGCCCTAAGAGATTGCAACTGCCTGGCGGCGCTTAGGAGACCTGCGATCATATTATTGTCTATATTCATCCTCTCCAAAGGTTCTAGAGCTTAGAAACAAGGGTAAATATCAACATCGTTTGGAAGACGGGGCCGGCAATCGTCACCCTATCACCTACATTTTGTGGCTTTACACGTTTGCAATCCTTGCGGATAAGCTGATCTCGAAACAGTGGCTGTCTCTTGAAGAAAATAGAAACCCTCATCAGCTCGCCTCAGTCTCCAGGGTGTAAGTAGAACTGGTTGGTAGGCGTTGGATATCAGAATGCATCGCTATTTTTAGGCGCACTAACTAGTTAGTCCTCTGGGCGGCTATTATTATTTGACGGGCTTTCGCCAATCATGAAGGTTCTCTCAGCACCTCATGCGTGATCCAATGTCTTTAATAATGAGAATAAAATCTAAGAACTTGATTCTCTGCACATGAAATTTATATTTAAAAATGCTTGCCTGCAATTCTACTTCACATAATCTAGCAAGAATTTTTTACATATGACTCTTATACTTTTTCAGTGTCTTACTGAAGATCAGAAGATTGTCGATGTAATTATGGAGGTCGCCGCCATAAATATTGGTTCCCTTGAATCTCTTTCAGGCGTTCGCAGGCTTGAGTTTAGGGGTGATCTTGCGGGGGCAAGGGAGGTTGGTCTCTGAGTCTGCAGCCCTACAAGTTAAGGACCGCTAAGCAGCGCCGAAGGCTTGGGAGAGGCCCCTATTGAAGGACCAAAACATATGGCGGCGGGGGTTGGGGTGACTGCCGCCAAATTAGGCATTTCGCGATGCCGGAGAGTGCCGTTTCTTATGCCCACAGCTGAACCGATAGGTTCGTAAGATCCTCCTCGTTGAGGGCTATGTCCCCCTCGCTATCGACGGAATCTCGTAGTAAAAGTTTTTGAAATGGGATGAGGAAGGGCCCATTTCTGACCACAGGATTTTCGGGGTCTATTGATCCCAGAACGGAGACGGTTTGTGTCGCTCTCGGTAGAGCTGATTGGGGGCCGGTATCCCCGGGGCCATTCTCCCAAGTCTTCAAGACGATGGAACGATCGCGTGCGTTGACCGTGATCGTGATGGCCAACCCAACATCCCCGTTCGAGGCTTGTAGCCACCATTTCGCATCCATTTCGAGCTTCCTAGCAGACTCGGTGAAGCCCACTTCCACGATTAGAGAGGGCCATTTGTCACTCCTGCCATCGGGTAGGCTCTTCGGTAGGTATGAACAATCTGGCTCTTTTCTCCTCGATTCTGTCGCTACTCGTGAGGCTCCGGCTATCTGCAATGTCCTTCGGGGGTTCAGGCCCATATGTTTCAATTTATCAAAAATTATTACACCGAAAAGCGCTCTAGGTGCCTCATGGGGCCTTGTTAACATTGTTAGGATAAGGAGTTCAAGGTCGACCCAAAAATCAATCCTGGCCTTGCCAATAGGGGAATCAGGTGCGCTTTCGGGGTCAATCTCGCGGGAGAAAATATCAGACGAGACGCCAGAATACACGATGAGCTCGCTTTTGACATGCGACAATGATTGTTGATGGACATTTCGGCACTCAGCAAGAGAGTCCTGTAGACATTGCCATTCGCAGTCGATGGTTCTTTTCATTTCTGTAGTTCCGCGATATTGGTACACTGGGGTGTCTGCCGGGAGAGTGCTGAGGACGTCCTCAAGCTGATCTGCGGCGCCGTTAACATCGTGATTGCCAGAGGTGTTGCTAGTACTCTCCCCGCTTCTGCGAGGGCAATATCGATTCTGCTCTTGATTATGATTCTGACCATCACGGTTCACCGCGGCCATTGTGTGTCAGATGGAGAAAGTTCAGCAGATATTGTCTATAATAATGTCAGCGGTTACTAGCATATACTGGATCAAATTCCAGATTGAACTGCAGAGGCGACTGTAAACTTCTCTGGTTACGGAAGTTGTTAACTTTGAATTCTCCAGCTTCATCACTCTGACATCACCAATATAAACTCAATGGTAGAGCTGAAATTTAATGGAATGTGTGCTGCTGAGTTTTCCAGAATGGGCGCTTTTTTTAGTTATCAGTACTACTAATATCTCTTGCTTCCGGGTCGCGACCACGATGGCAAATTAAATTAAGGAATAAAGAAGGCCGAATTCAACAAGCCGGCATCCCATCTACACGGACTTCCTTACGACTTTCGCGCAGGATCCGTCTCCTTCATATACAAGTTCATCCTGTTACTTCCGCCGCAGAACTGGGTGCTATTCCCAGAGCAAAAGAAGCTGCAGCCTGTGTCCGGCTGTTCGGTGCTGGTCGGCGACAGACTGTCGCCGCAGTAGCATTCGCTGAAATACTCAACACCGAAATAGTTTGCCCCGTCGCAAAATGACGCGCACAAGTCCACAGTCATCGCCTCATTGTACATAAAGGTTCCCGATAGCGCGCGACTGCTGGCTGAGTCGTTATAGCATCCGAGGTGATTATATCCTGGAATCTCGGGATTGATCGTGGGCACCCACTCTGTGTTCTTATAAAGACTCAACCGGTATGGCGCACCACACAATTCCGAACTGTCACCGCTACAAGCCATGGAACACTCGGCGTCGTCCACTAGAACGCTTTCAGAGTTTTTCATGTTGCCGCAGTAGCACTCCCTTCCGTATTCGACGCCGAAGAATTGATATTGTCCACAGAGATTGGCACAGTCTCCGACTGTCAACTCATCGCTGACAAACGCGGCTCCTGTCAGAGCTCTCGACTCAACGGTGTCGGTGAAGCAGCCTTCATAACTGAATCCAGGTAAGGGAGGATCGTCCGAACCGATAGGCGCACACGTGGACCCTAGATCGGCTGTGCTCTTAAAACTATCTGACTTGACTGCTTCACCGTCGCCGACGGAAACGTCGAATTTGGCGGTTGGTTTATGAGCTGGGTCAACGATATGGCTGATAGAGTAAAAGGTATATGGCCCGATACTGCCTTGCTCTATCATTGCAACCGATTCCTTCGTCAACGCAGGGACAACGCAGCAGTTACGGGGTGTTTTCGTTGTCAAGGAGAGTGTAACGCTAGGAGCCTCCACAGGATTTCGTACCTATACTCCAGTCAGCTCGTGGTAGCATTTGATCTAGGGGAAGGGATCTTACAGCAGCTACCACCGTCAAATTGCCGGCTCCATTGCTTTGTCTGAAGCAACTCTGCCTTGGCTGGAATAGAATCGCATCCTGCACGGGATATCCGGTCTCGTTATTGTCGTACATCTCCACTTCACCTGTGGTTAGGGTGACTTGTACGTTAAACCCGGAGATTGATGTGGCTGAGGATAGACTGGTGGAAAATCCGTAAAACTTTTTTTATCATGTTAGCAGCATATTGTATGGGGTTATGTATGTGTCACACTCACAGCAAAGTGGTCGTCAAATCCATCTGCGTTTCCCTTGTGTTCAGTGTTTATTACACATGATCCACAGTCTGAACCTCCAAGGCGGTCCTTGAAGAGAAGATCTACTTTGGCAATTGCGCTAGCTGGCCGAACGGTAGTTCTGACGCGGATCTCGCCAGAGAAGGTCAGTGTGGTACCATTTCCAGCCAGGGACAACTGAATGTTTCCCGGTTTAACCTCATATGGCTCAATGGGTTCGGTGAGTTGCACCCTGGATGGCACAACCTCGATCATCTTCTGTAGGACTCTCGCGCAAGTGGCTTGAAAAGTCGCTGGATCCGCCAACTCCGTGATTGTCACATTGCCGTCTGCTGTGAAGGTCTTGGTGTCGGAATCCCGTGAATTCGCCTTCGCAAGAGGCCCTGCTAGAGGGTTTGGATCATCGCTACTGATAAAATTGGAGGCTATTTTCTCGTCAAATTCTGGTGTAGAGTCGAGCAATTGGAAATCATTCGGTGCCGTCCCCGGCCTGACAATCTGAGGGAAGTTATTTGCATGAACACCCCCCATTGAATGACCACAGGCGGTGACAGCGATCATGTCCGATACATTGAAGCCAACTCGGGCAAACTGGTTGATAAACGTTCTTTGGGAATTCTCAGGCTGTGGCACCCCAACTGGCCCTCGAGAAGTCGCATCAATTCTCCCACCCCTGACTTTGACTACGGGTCCTCCGCATGAGCGGATTGCTGTATATACCCCGAGGGCGATTAGATCCGCCATAGAAGACCTGGACGAAAAAAAGGGCGAGAAGGTCTCTAAAGTTGTGTTGAAGGCCGAGCCAATGTTTTCTCCTCCATTGCCGCCGAGCTCATAGACAAGCGACGCATCAAGTCCACCAATGCCAGTAAAGACATTGCCCGTGGCCATGTCATGGAACGCAGTTCGAAGCCATTCTGCGGACGCAATCCGTGATGGACCTTGCTGGGAGAAGGAGCATGGTGTCACACCGGCGGAGAATGCTCGAGCGCGATACCCGGTGTGGAGGAACATAAGGTCTTCGAGCTCATCGATGGCAGATGGCCATGTTGGCAAAGCCCATCCTTTGGGCAGGCTGGAGGTCGCCCCGAGAATCGCTAAAGTCACGGCGATTAACATATTTAAAGGATGCCACTTGGCCCGCGGTGGTCGACTGTTTCCAAACAAAACAGTGCCTGTTCAACGGGGAACCTGGTGCGATCACCTCACAGGATTTCCCAGGGGAAAGTAGCATCAAATAACTAGTAGTCGAGGCGGCCAGGCCAAGATGGGACATGGATATGGATCAAGCCCATGATTAATGCGCCTTTCGCCCAATTTCTCCGGATAGCCATGGCGGCCTCGCACCCACGGCATTCTCAGAGTGCAGATACCCCTGTGAGGCAGAAGCGTGAGGGAGCTCCACAAGCACGAATACTTCGGCGGACACAGGTGGGCTCGATCTGGAAACCAAAATGGGGTCTGAAACTGCAAGCAAGAAGAACCAGCTAGTCAATTAGACTTTGCTCCGATGGAGAAATGAGATTGATTTCGACCCTCGAGGTGTGACGGAGCAGCGGCGCGACAAAATGTCTTAAACCCCGTATTTTGGGCATCAAATCTAGAACTCGTGGGGCCGGTCAACAGGGGTGGCCCTTGAATGCCAGCTGGCGCCACAGTGAAGGAACCGTTGCATTCTTGATATTGATCGAAGAGCCATGCATAATGAAATGCCATCGTTGAAGAACGCCACTCCTGACCGCAAGTCTAACTAACTAGTTAACTAGTTAGGTAACTCGTGCAGTGCAACGAATCAGGTCCGCGATGAACAATCGGGTAAACGAAGCAGCAGGTAGTTTCAAAAGAAATATTGATGACAGCTCTTGTCGCTTGTCAACTTTCGCTTAGCTGAATAGTTGTTGTTGAATTGATCTTTAGTCTTGTTTTGTCTCGCAGACCGCCGGAAGCATCCATTCTTCAAAGTTTAGCGAGTAATGTAGTCATCAATCGATGTTTCTGACTGAATCGAACACGGGCTTCGGTCCCGTTGAGCCATAGTGCAAAGGATCTCATAGATTAGTTGAAACATAGAACATAAGCCGAGAAGTCACCACAAAATGCTATCGCTAACACTAATACAAGAAGCCAAAACAATCTATGATAGGCCTGAGGTATCAGATAATATGCCCATGCGCCAAGATATTGCATCCCAAAGTACAGTAATCAGTAGTTGAAAATCATCAGTGAAGGGTTTAGGAGCAAGGGAAGAAGAGCATGTGAAGATAGGGTCACTGCCATGGGCACCACTGCTGCAATCTCAGTGATCTCCCAGCCCCTAGGAGCAAAGCAACCTAGGTACACCATGCCACCGATAAGAGGTATGATGACCGCATACATCCATTTGAATCCCTTGAAGATCTTGGGCATTTCTTTAAAGAAATTTGAATCATCTTTCTCCTTCGCGGTTGCTCCCCATTCCATATTGATGCGAAACATCTGTGAGAGAATTGCCAAGCTGAGATGAAAGGAGATGCCACCGAAAAATATAGCCATCATGGGCACCCATTTGAAGTTTTCAACGAGGGCGCCCCATAAGCTTTTTTCCCCTAGACGATAGCGGATAATGGCGAGAGAGACATTGCCGAACAGAGGGAAGACAACGATAAGGCCAAGGAACACTAGGATTACGCGAATTAGCAATTTAACGCATATTCAATACGACGTAAATGCATACCTTTCCATGATTCAAGATAGAATTTGTCCAAGTAACCGTTGAACCAGCCGACCAAAAAGTAGTTTGCAATTGTCAAAGGGAAACCGGCAGCCAATGCATAGTCTAAAAAGAAATAAGTTGTTGAATAGAAAGATATTGAACACTTGGAGACTTACATGAAGAAATATATCCCAGGATAGTTATCTTGGATGACAATGGTAGCTTACACCAAAGAAATGTCATAAAAAGTCGAGTAAAAGGACCTCTAAAAAGCCAGGTATGGATTGGATTGAAGACAAGCTCATTGCATCCATATGCATATCTATGTCATTGACATTAGTATTCAAAGATACAAAACTCCGAGACGAGAAATAAGGACATACTTCTCCCAGCGCGCCAATTCATCATAAATGGTCAAGGAGACACCCTCTTTGAACTCGTCGCCATGATAGCTCGCGAGGCGCACAATGTTACCGCCTATTTGTAGCCGAAGCGCAATATCAAAATCTTCTGACACATGGCTTTCGGACCAATAGGCTACATAGCCGTCATCTGGTTTGCCTACAGATTGAACCGCTAGTCAAAGGATGTCAGAAAACTACAGCGTTTAGTGATTCAAGTGGGATATGCATACCCTTCCAGCGAAGAAAAGCATTATGCCCAACAAATGGGGCAGTTTCGCCGCTTCCAACCGCAAACCTGATCGCAGAGTAGATTAAATTCGTAAAGAATGTGATCCCGTTTTCAAAATAATCCTCGGAGACTTGCATGACACCAGTCGAATGTTGAACAATTGCAACCTCTGGGCTGAGAAACATTTCGGCAGCCCCATATAGTAAACAGTCTACCGGCTAAGTGGGAAGGTAAGTACGAGATATATCGGAACCGTTAATGGTTGAGCACATACCACTCGAGTATCCGAGTCCACGATGAGGATTGATTCCCCGATGCGTATGTCCCCAGCCGCCCAAACACGACTGTCGGAGGCAAGAACCTCATTTAAGGCCAGCTGGTAGAGGTGCTCTTCTTGGCTCGCCTCTATCATATCCGTCGTTTCCAATGTATCTGATAGCATCTCAAGGAGCCTATCCTCCACCTTGTTCGAAACATTTAACGCGAAATTCATATTAGAGGCTTTTTTGAATTTGCCCTTCCGAATGTAGCCATTGTCATTATTTTTAGGTCGTGCCACCCAGCCAATATTATTGTCATGATAAAAGTTGATGCGTTCTTCTCGTTGTTCTTCAGAGAGATATGCGAGTCCATCATCATTAATAAAAATCGAGGCACTGCCTATAGATGCCAATCAGCAAATAAATCTACCTGGTTGATAAGAGGATTGACCTACCTCCGTGAGATTCGTAATGGGATATAGCCGCCTTCAAGCTGGTCACAGTTGGAATGATAACGCCATTCAATGACTCAGTGTAGACTGGCATTTGTATCGTAAGCCTCGGCGGTTTAAAGCCTAGAGAGTAGGCATGAGATAGATCGGGCCTTAGCGCGGAGTAATACCGGGAGTTCGTCTTCAAAGTCTTTATAGGGCCAATCGCTTGGAAAATGTCGGTGAAAATTACAATGACAAAAAATATGCTGAAGAGCATAAAGATTGGAATGGTCGCAGCCAACGCTAACCTTATGTAATTCCCATCGATGAAAACTTGGAGCAATAGATTAGAAACTCCAAATCCCAAGAGAAGAACAATAATCAAGCACATCGCTAGACCGACAAAGATTGAACTTGTCAAGGCGAGCGGCCGGTCCAATGACTCAATGGGAGCCGCAGCTTCTTCGTCCGAGGAGCCAAATGTTTGGTTTGCAGGCGTGGTTGCTTCCTTGTTCCAAGTTGAGATAACATGGTGTGTAGACTCGGCAGGCGAGGTGAGGGATGAGCGCTGGAGAGGATGAGCATTGACGGATGGGGCAAATACTGAGCCTGAGGTTCCACAGATCTAAACAGCAAGAAATCAGCTGTGATTACAAGTAGAATCGGTGCACAGAGGTACTGTACATACGAAAGAGAGGAGTTTCCCTTCCACATTCTCTGCATGTACCAATATCCTGTCTAGTTCATCATGCCACACGAGAAGAATACTTTCTTCTCGAATAAAGGCAGCGTACTGGAATTTCTTCACGGAGCTAGACGGAGAGCAGGCAATCTCCGATAGAGAATCAAGAATCTGCACCTGGAAGCCGTTTGGGAGAACCAGTTCTGTTTGCTGCGGTTGCAAAAGAGAGAGGATTATTCTTGTCGTCTCAGTCGACATAGTAAAGGCGACCGAGACATTCATTTTCTCCACTGCAGCAAGCAGAAGCGGGTGGACATTCTCCGGCTCGGAAATGTATGCGCCGCGAGATTTTCGTAAGAGGAGGCCATGATATTGGACGGTCGGATCGGTGGGAAGGGAATACCACTGATTAGTGGCAAGTCTTGCGTGAAGGTACTTTATTATCTATAGTAAACCAATGAGCAAGGAAGAGTCAACTCGGGACCACAGAGTAACCTACAGCCCTATACTTGGAATCTTCGTCAATTCCTCCTGGAGTAGTGCGATTGTCAGAGCGTGAGAACGGACGGCTGGAGGTCCCTTGGGCAGACGACACCTCAGAGAGCCTTGGAGATCGGTCTGCTGGGGACGTCTGTGAGGAAGGCACTGCAGACTTGGAATTGCTCCGCTGTAAACGTTTCCAGAACATCCCTGCGATGTAGAGATAAAACAAGGGTAAAAGGAAGGACAAAGAATGTACAGGAAATGGGGAGAGACCGAGTCCCCTGAGAAGATGATATACTTCGAGATAGGAAAAACAGCAATTAGAAACGGTCTCGAGAGTCAGGTATTTCGTTCACGATTTGAGCTGGGACGAAGTGGTAATCCACCGCCCCGACAGCTTCATTCTGAAGGCTGAATGTGGATGGTAGCCACATCAACAAACGGATTTGCAATAATGTTGACCTCCTGTCTCAGGCTCGCCTAAGATGCCTGCTAGGCTGAAAGCAGGAGGGCAATGGAGAGCTCGCCTTTGTGCCACCGTCTGCTTTCGTGTCCACTGAGCCGCGACAGGCCTTGAATGAACCCTCAAGGTAATTATAGATTGTTGATCCACAACGGCACGTGTCAACTGCAATTTTGCCCGAGATCGCGACCCCAAAGAATGCGTGCATGGACCAGCCATGTTTCCCTTCAAGACATCCGAACTTCGACGGGTTGCAGGCTGGAACGACCCCTGCCATAAGAGCAATCCAAACCGAGAGGATGGATCGATGCGTCAAATACGAACATTCGGGAAATACTAAGGAAACCCAAGAGACAACAAGCGAAGACCTAAGCATTCTCAGAGAACGTGCATTGCCGGAGGGGCCGGACTTGATATCAATGCAACGATGTTCCCTTCTTATTGGCGAGGATAGTCTTTTGCGAAAAGGGCAAAAGAGACCCTGGCTCCTTTGCTTGGGAGATTCTTGGGGTGGATCACGATGCTCCCAAATCCGCTCGTTCTTTGCAGGGTGAGACCCGAACTAGGATCCATATCTCGGGTTCGGAAGTCAGGTCTTGGGGATGATAAGAATAAATAGCCACCAACTCAAAGAAGCGAGAAGACAAGGGAAACCTCTGGGGTTAAACGATCTCTTTTTGACAGAGGAATTGGGGATCACGAGCAGAGAAACATGCAGCTGTCGTCCGCAACGCAAGAGCTGAGGTTGACAATCCAACCCGACTAACGAGCGAACGACGGCTTGGCACAGTCAACGAACTAAATTAGTTGACTAGTTAACTAACCAGCCACGTTCACTCTCACAGGCGAAAGTGACCCCGGACAAGATCGCCCGGGAAGGCGCTAAAGTTCCTCTGCTGCAGATCGTCATTGGCGGCTTTGGCTTGAAAAAGCGTGAGACGTGAGAAACTGTGGGCCGTGGCAAGTATTTGGAAGCAATCCAGCGAAACCAGACTTTGCCCCTGGAGAACCCAAGAGCTCACAACTCCAACAACCCGGCCTTTTCACCGGACCGTAACTCAATTATTAGTTGATACCTTCGTTCGTCGTAATATTAATGGATCTGGCGGACGAGGCCGATCAAAATAGCCAGGCATTGGGCCACAATTCTAGAAGCGCTTTCGAGACATAAAAGTCGTGGAGTGTTTGATCACCTCTCTTCGATCCAAACAAAGCAAATCATAAGGGTATGCAGTCGCAGTCAACGGTCAGACATGGCTTTCTGGCGTATTCTGTAAAAAATATCACATAAAAGACCTAATTTCCCACGCCCCAAGAGCACTGTACGGCCGCGAGAACAAAGCCGCTACCATGGAAAAAGTTGGCACCAGTTCACAGAATCCCTTCTCCGACAGCGCTGCCGCATCCGTTCGAACCGCCTCATCTTATTCGCAGCCGTCATCAGGAATTAGACAACCTGCGCGACGCCAGTTCAAGTCATATAGACTCAATGGCGAGTACGAAAAACCATGGTTAACCGACAAACGGCTCCAAAAAACTCGAGTCGGTAACTATATCATCTGGGGCTTCGTCGCTGTCGGTTTTGCTTTGAGTGGATATATCAACTTCTCCGTTACCCAAAAAGTGTCAAAGCATGAAGTAGGTACGTCCGACTTGCAAACTTGAACTGAGTGCTTACATACAGTGCAGTACTGTCTTATCTTGGATGATCAATTCTCGTCATTCAACAAAGAGATATGGAATCAAGAAGTCCAGGTATGTCATCGCTGTCCTTGTACGATCTACATTCGGGCTGCTCATCCGCTGCATAGATCGGCGGATTCGGCAACGGCGCTTTCGACTGGACCACAACCGATGATAAGAATTCGTTTGTCGACGGTGAAGGTCTTCATATCGTGCCGACTTTAACCACGGAGACAACATCGATCACCGAAGCCCAGCTTCTTAACGGATATACGCTGAATCTCACCAAGGCCGGCGGAGATGGGACTTGCACGGGCAATACCAACGCGGCATGCGCAATTCGATCAAATCAAACCCTGGGAACTATCATTCCTCCGGTTCGATCTGCTCGATTAAACACCAGAGGAACGAGAAGCATCCGCTATGGCCGGGTTGAAGTTGTTGCGAAGATGCCACAAGGAGATTGGCTCTGGCCTGCCATATGTGCGTCAAAGACCATTTCCAGATCGTCAAGCTCCTCCGTTAATTCGTTCTTTTCTTAGGGATGTTGCCAGTGAATGAAACTTATGGGCCCTGGCCTGCAAGTGGTGAAATTGATATCGCAGAGAGCCGGGGTAACGATGTTGATTATAGCCTTGGCGGTAGGGATATCGTGTCCAGTTCCATTCACTGGGGTCAGTCTGATTTCGTACTCTTCTTCTCGCCACAGGAAGAAGAATAAAAGAGTCGCTAACAGACTGGATGATTATTCACAGGCCCAACACCCAGCGCCAACGCTTTTTGGAGGTCAACGCGCGGAAAAGCGATTCGCCGAACTGACTACAGCAAAGGATTCCACACTTTTGGCATCGAATGGTCCCAAGATTATCTGTTCACATACATCGATAGCCCACTGCAACAGGTAATGTATTGGAAGTTTAAAGAAGACGAAACGATGTGGCAGCAGGGGCACTTTGAAGGCGTCACAGTCAACTCATCTCTGCTCGTCGACCCTTGGTCCCAGACAGGGAATCCAAGTACGCCTTTTGACCAGCCATTTTATCTGATCCTGAATGTTGCAGTTGGAAGCACAAACGGCTGGTTTCCGGATGGGCTAGGGAAGAAACCATGGACAGACGCAGGCCTAGCGGCGTCCGACTTTTACCAAAGTCAGTCTCGTCGAAGAACTTGGCCCCCTTTGGGATCTTTAGTGCTGATTCCTGTCGATAGGTCGTGACACGTTTTATCCCACTTGGCCAGAAGACAGCAGCCGCGGCATGACCGTCAAATCGGTCCGAATGTGGCAACAAGGCCCATGTCGCTGAAGAGCCGGACTCTGGGCTTTTTCTCCGATTGAAATCTCGAGTTTTGCTCCATTTATTGCAACCCTAGGCTGCCAAGCGCGGACTTTGACTCTGGATGAAGCACGCCGCCCATAGCTTGGGCTGGGGCATGCGGTGGCTGGTCAAGCTTTGCCCAACAATCCCAGACAACGACAGGGTTTAAAGGGCAGATGCAGAGCATATTAATTACACGAAATGACTAGGAAACTGTGTATTTCGTAAAGTGAGAGGGATAAGCGAAGCCCCGTCCTCATCCCCATGAGGGCGCGGGTTGTGTTTTGCGTTGTTGCGGCGATCGATCGCCAATCTGGGAGATCATGGCAAACAAAACAAACAGGTCACTAGTTAGTAAGCTTTAGCAATCGAAACCTTCTCGACGAACTTTGATTTTGCAACCTCCCTTCATCTTCCAGTCTCCAGACGTCCGAGTCTTGGGCGATGGGGTCATGATGACTCCAGGACACGAACATGCCCAGCAGCCTAGGGTCCTTGGAGAAACTACTATTATTAGCCTCAGTTCCGGGTGCAGCGTAAATGTCTCACAACCGACTCCGTCCATATGCATGTACCAGGGTCGACACCAATGCCAAATTTCGAGTTAAAGAGGCAAGAATACGGGGAATGGGGGTCTCGAAAAGAGGATTCATGACAAGAGCAGCCCCGGGATTTATCAAGGGCTCTCTGTTTGATTGGAGCAGCTCGAGCTACTGATTCGGAATGAGACTCGCCGATCTCAGCCCAGTGCCAGTTCGGAAAAGGAACGATGATTTCGAAAAAGGGTGAGCCTCAGAGGACCATGCTCTCAGGTCACCTTTTTAGCGAACTGAGGCGATAGCTCCACCAGTCGCGCACACTGCTGTCATGTGAAGGGTAGGTGGTTCGATTAGGAATCGCCGAGTCGTGCCCGGGGAAACGGATCAGTGCGCTTGGTGTTGGGGTATATAGGAGCTCATTCCTATGTCATAGTCCGTAGAGAGCTGCTATATCGACGACTATTCTTCAGTCCGCAACTATTTCGCCATTTTGAATTCCATTCCTTTCGGGGTGCTTACCCCTTGGCTGCTGTCAAGATGGCTCGTGTACTTTCTCCATCTCGCGTGGTTTATGTCCTAATAGTAAGCTTGCAACAATGAATATTTGACCAAGGAAGGCACTGAAATGGCTTTTTAACAGTTTCAACTTTTTGTGAGCTGCGTCCGAGGGGCTGTATTGCTTCCTAGAGCGGATCCAGATGACTGGCAATACCTGGGGTGTTACACCGACTCCCCAGGAGCTAGAACCCTGTCCAATGTTGGCTACACTTTGGGTGGCCCAGGCAACATGACAGTTCAGAACTGCCAAAACGGATGCTTGTCCGAAGGGTATGCATTTGCGGGTATAGAGTACGGCGGAGAATGCTGGTGTGATAATGAACTGCGAAATGGGGGAGGCCCAGCCCCTGATGGCGAAGCACAGTGCTCGATGCCCTGCAACGGTAATAGTCAACAACGCTGTGGCGGGCCTGATAGGTTGAGCATGTATCAGAACACTGCCGTGCCTGTGCCGACGAGCGCAACTGGTGGCGCCGAATCACCCACGTCAGCCCCGTCGTCAACTAGAGCAAGTGCAGCTCCATTGCCAACAGACTGGAATTATGCTGGATGCTATGTCGATAACACCAACGGGCGTATCATGCAGCGGCAACTCCCGGATGACCCGCGTCTATCGATTGAATCTTGCGTCTCTCGTTGCGCGCAAATGGGTTACACTGTGGCAGGAACTCAGTTTGCCAAACAATGTTTCTGTGACAACTATGTTCGAAAGGAAGCTCGCAAGGCGGACGACTCAGATTGCTCTATGAACTGCAGTGGTGATTCTTCCGAGAAATGCGGCGGGCCAGATCGCATGAGCGTGTATTCAGAAGGCGATTTAGTTGTTTTGCCCAATCCAGCGCAACAGACTGGAGGCCTGCCCGGATCGTGGGAATATCAAGGGTGCCTCCAGTAAGTCGATCATTCCATGTTCCCAGCTGAATATCACAGCAAACATATTAAACATATCGTTTTTTGTTTAGAGATAACGTCAATCGAAAACGAACTTTTCCATACCAGATAGTTGATAAACGGAACAATTCTGCAACGAACTGCCTCAACCGTTGCGCGATGTTTGGATTCGGGGCAGGCGGGATGAGTTACGGCGAGGAATGCTGTATGGTATCTCTCTGCACTTCCCTTGAACCTATTTCTAACGATTTATAGTTTGTGGTGATGTTGTAGACATCGGAAGGGCAGGCGCAGAGCTTGTCCCCGAAAGCAGGTGTAATATGGTTTGCTCAGGCAATCAAACCGCCCTATGCGGAGCCGGTGATTTGATAACGTACTACAAATGGACTGGCTCCCCGCTGCAGACATGGAGCTTTCCGTCTGGTAACAATGCCGGTCGCTACGAGTTCCTCATTGGAGGGGTCGTTGTCTCTCTTATGACCACTATCGGTATCAATGGCAAAATCACTTTCCAGGAGAAATTTGGGACCGGGGACCCGAATACCACTGGGGCGTACGAATTTGATCCCGCTTTTGAACACGACTTTGAGAAGGCATGGCGTCCGATGCATGTGAAAACAGACATTTTCTGTTCCGGTGGTCTCGTCCTCCCAGATAAAGTAGGGCGTCAGTTGACAGTCGGCGGATGGTCTGGGACATCTACGCATGGTGTCCGATTATATTGGCCTGATGGCTCTCCGGGGGAACCCAGTGTCAATGACTGGCAGGAGAATCCTGATAAGCTTGCCTTGCAGGATGGTCGATGGTACCCATCCACCATGATAATGTCCAACGGGTCCATCCTGGTCGTTGGAGGAGAAGAGGGCTCGAACGGTGCACCAGTCCCGACGCTCGAGATCTTGCCGCGAGTTGGCCCAGCCCTATACATGGACTGGCTTGAACGAACGGACCCTAATAACCTCTATCCATATCTTACACCTCTACCAAGTGGACACATCTTCGTTGCGTACTTCAATGAAGCTAGAATTTTGAATGAGAACAATTTCGACACTGTGAGGACGTTGCCGAACATGCCTGGCGCAGTTAATAACAATGATGGTGGGCGCACATATCCTCTTGAAGGGACAATGGTTCTTTTGCCTCAGCATGCTCCGTATACCGACCCATTGGGCGTCTTACTGTGCGGAGGCTCAACCCCATTCGGAGGAGATGCTCTAGATAACTGCGTTTCTATTCAGCCCGAGGTGGAGGATAGCGATTGGGTTATCGAACGGATGGTGAGTAGCGAGCGGCAACATTTTGATACCATGTACTTGGCTGTTGCTAACGATTTCTTTTTACATAGCCGTCCAAGAGAGTCCTTACTTGTATGGCCGGCCTTCCCGATGGCACGTTCCTTATCTTGAATGGAGCAAAGAAAGGAGTTGCTGGTTTTGGCCTAGCAGATGACCCCAACTTGAACGCCGTCCTTTACGACCCTTCCAAGCCAGTAAACCACCGCATGAGCGTCATGGCCAATACAACGATCGCGCGCATGTATCATTCCGAAGCGATCCTCATACCGGACGGGAGGGTTTTGGTCTCTGGCTCAGACCCACAAGACGACGATTACCCACAAGAATATCGCGTGGAAGTTTTCATCCCCCCGTATCTGTTATCCGGGGCGCCTCGTCCTACTTTCACCATTGAAAACACTGATTGGGCGTATGGTCAACAGTACCAAATTAAGATAACGTCCGGAAATATGTCCCAAATCAAGGTCTCCCTGCTCGGCCTCGTCTCCAGCACTCATGGAAACAGCTTCGGCTCGAGGACCATTTTCCCGGCCATGTCATGCTCTGGGACCACTTGCACCATTACCGCTCCGCCAAATAGCCATACTTGTCCTCCAGGTTGGTTTATGTTGTTCGTTCTCGATGGCCCAACCCCTTCGGTCGCTTCATTTGTTCGTATTGGTGGGGATCCAGGACGTCTGGGAGATTGGCCTGCGTTCGACGACTTCGATCTCCCTGGAGTAGATTGAAGGTATTCATCGGGAATGCCCTTGCGATTGGGCTTCCTTTAAATAATATTGGGAACTTCTAATTTTCATAGAGAAATTGCAGCCAGGGAAGGTGGCCATTCCCACCACACTTAATGCCGGGTCGCTTTCCGTCCTAAGACATCTTCGGTGTCGATGGCTGTACTTTGATTCTCGAAGTGGGTTGTAAATATAGTCTAATTCGCCATAGCCTCCTAGGAAAACACTCAATAATAATCCTTTTATTTCGTTAGAGAAAAGCCAGAAATCGAAAGAAAAACCGCCATGCTTTTGACTGACAATACTTTCCCAAAAACAGTCATAAGTTCAAAACGTGGGTATGCTCACTCACACGGGCTGGAAACAAAATTCTGAAAACCATTTCCTTCACCAATAGCGGCGCCTACAGAAGCTTCGTAAGGGCGAGGTTAACATCCACCGTATTTGGCTTATCGCTGTTATTGTCGTCCGTTTGATTTAGACCATCCGCGGTTGACAACCTCTGCACCGGGGCATCCAGTAGGAGATGTCCTTGACAGAGCTGCAGGTGCAACCTTAATTGTCCTCTCCATTGACGTCAAGCAAAGTACCGCATGTAAAGAGTTTCAATATAGTTCGTCTCTCTAAATCCGAAATCTGTCGCGAGGTCTCCAGAGGAAGCATCACACAACGGCTTCACTAGATGTTAGTTGATTTCTCAGGAATAACCAAATTGGCTTCCCTCGACTCCTTTATCTGAGCTTCCATGACATCGTGAGCGAGCTGCTTTAGACGAAACCAAAGACTTTTGGCCTCATTCAGCAGATTCCATAGAAATGTGAAATGCCGACAGACCAGGCGATACAAGGCGGTGTCATTTCATGCAGACTACCATTTCATCATGGCTTCAATTGGTTCATGCAAGATAAATTTTCCATCATTAGACGTGTTCATCTTCTCCACTACAAACGTACCGATATTCTGCTGTTCCTCGGGACTCAGCAGGAGCTCCAGCTCGTGGAGAGACTCCGTCTCGTAATACTTTGGATGCAGAAACTTCCAGTAGACATCATCGAATGTCCAACCATAGGTTGCTGCAAGGAAGAACCAGAATTGACCATTCTTCAACGACTGAGCCATGTGTTCAGAAAGACGGGGTGAATCAAGGGCCGCTCCATTTTTAAACAATTCCTCTTCACAGTTTTGCAAGATATCTAGAAAGACCTGCTGGCGGGGAATATAATGGGCCAGAAAATCATCAAATCCAGCCTCCCAGGTTTCTGGGCGGCCCAGCAGTAACCACCATGGTGTGCAATGGAAAAACTCCGCTGGTGCAGAATAGCTAAATTCCCAGTCTACAACTCCAGCAACATTGAAGTCTTGATCAACAAGTAGGTTTGCGGGGCGCAGGTCCTCGCAGAGCAACATAAAAGGCTCATGGTTGAAGGTTGTGGAAAACTGGCCAGCAATCTTGCGGAAGAGGCAGCGTGCAATATATTTCTTTCTGCAATCGGACTCATCGATAACAGCCCCATTGCGTTGAGTTTCAAGGTGACGCAAATGGTCATCTGCAAGGGATGAAAAATACTCATTTGCCGTCCCAAATGTGCCTTGTGAAGCTAGCAATTTCGGAGGGAAATTTCCACGGGCGACAATCTCATTCATATTGAATGTGATAGGGCGGCTGCCAATATGCCAACCTTCTCCTGACTCACTTTCAACAAGGGCACCAATGGCTGGGAAACGACATTTTGAGAGCTCCAATAGTACCTCTGCCATTGCGCGATAAGCCCGGCGCAGAAGACTTGCGTCAAGGCTGAGGTTCAGAGTTGATGGCTGTAGCGGGTCATGAGAAGCCCTGATATAATCTGAGAGAGGTTTCCCATCGACAAAAGTCCATAATCATATACGGACCGCATTGAGCCATGCCGTGACCACGCACTCGTGGGATGGGGATAGAAGTATGCCGGCGGAGATGGTTCATGATTGCGACTTCACCCAACAGCTTTTCGCGGCGGAAGCTGGAGCGGCCGAAGGCAGGGTAACGAACAACGACATCGGACTCAACACCATTGGACTCAATTCTGACTTTGTAGCAGCGGTTGAAGGAGCCTTGGGAATATTCGACGGCCGAAATCGATTTACAATTCGGGCCGCAGTGCTGCTTTGCGAACTCGGCAGACTGTTGTTCTGTGTTGAACTCCCTCACATTCCTGGTCCACACAATGAACCAAGCATCGCTTGCCGGCTCTCTCGTCTTCGTCCATTTTTAGGCACCGTAGTTCCTCGTTCAGGTAAGGTGGATTGTTGCTTGAGAGGTTGGTAATCAATACGGAGTATAGGTTGGGGAAGCCTCCCATCGAGTTGTTGGTTGTCTATCCCCTGACCCAGGGGCCAGACATGGATGATGGTACTCTGGTCCTCTCTTGGATTAGCGTGAAGGTGCCTGTCTCTTGGCATTTTTGATCCGGTGTTTGCAGCGCAATTAACTTTATTAGTCAGCAGCTTAGCTAATCACGGTGCTTTGGAGCTGGAATTTGCTGAAGGCGCATCCTGAAGGCGATAGTCCAGCGATGCACCTTGAAGCCTTTGCTTTTTATTCTTCTATCAATCTTTGTGTTTTCGCGAACAGTGGGAAGTGCTGCCCAGAAAAAAAGCTCTTCAGGCTCAGTTCCTCTCTTTAAATTCCGCGACAGACAATGTATAATCCTTATCAACGTGAGTCCCTATTGCACATTCTACCATTCGCAATCCTCACATGAAAGCTCTGTGTTACTGACTACAATCTTCACAGACTCTGGGACCTTTGGTAGGCCTCCGGAGTATGCAGGGTTTCCCGGCGCACCCCCTGGAACTGGTAGCTCTCTTGCCGTTTCTCCCTACAACCCACCGCTGGCGTTTACTGACAGTGAATTAGCACCCCCGGGGATGGCCGCTCCTGGGACAGGTCCACCGCCAGGAATGCAGCAAGCTAATGGCCCGCAACCCGGCCATCCAGCCTTCCCTCCGAACTTCCAGCCTCCTGCGAACATGCCGAATATCAATTTCTCCGCCCCTGTGATTCGCCTTGGCACGTCTGGGCCTCCGAAGTCATCCACGCCGGCGGACGCTGGCCGCGAGAGAGGCGCGGACATGCGACGCGGCGGGGCTTCGGGCTCTTTAGAGTCGCAGCGCCAAAATATACGTGATGCAATGCTTCAATTGCAGCCTCCTACAAGGGATGAGATTGTTCGAACCATTTTCGTCGGCGGCATCACAGAAGGCATCAGCAGCGACGATGACATTGAACGGATCTTGCGGACGGCAGGAAATCTGAGGCGCTGGATTAGGGCTACTGATGCGGATGAAAAGCCTTGCAAATTTGGTTTCGCAGAGTACGAAGACCCTGATAGTTTAAGTACGGCTGTCGCAGTGCTAAGGGATGTCGAAGTTCCCGTCAAGAAACAGCATCCGCCGAAGGAGGAAGATGGAGATCAAGCTAAAGAGATTGAAAGAAGCAAGCTATTGGTATGGAAGTTTATCCTCAATTATCTCGATAATGATTCGATGCTAATAAACTTATAGGTGGTTTTTGACGAAAGTTCCCTAAAATACATTGAGCAATACAAAGCCAATAACGATCAAGACCCAACTGCTGCCGAATCACGTATTGAGTCCGCCCGGGCAGCATTGGCCACCGTTTTATCTGAGCTTGGGCGCCCACCAACCAGTCAAAAGGAAGGCGCACCGGCGACTGACCGGGATGGCGATGTCTCGATGACTGATGCTGAAAATCGAAATGCGACCAATGCCGCAGAAGTCGTTACAATCCCTATTACAGTTGAGGATGAACTATCCGATATCCCTCCCGACATGAGAGAAACCGTCGCCAAAGAGATTGCAGCGTTCCGTGACCGGAGTAATCGTCGAGATCTTGAGCGACTGAAGAGGGAGGAAGAAATTGAATCTTTAGAGAAAGCAAGGCATGCTGGCTCTTCTCGTATCAACCGATTAGCGTCTCCACCACCCACCGCACCCACCGGCCCTGCTGGTGGGCCAAATGGGATTCCACTGGGTCCTCGCGATAGAGGAGTTCCAAACGCACCGTCTGGCCCTAAGGGCTTTGGTCAACAAATCCCCAAAGATTATCAACAGGGAGTGTCGTTTGTTAATGGGCTTGGCGTTAACGAGGTGGAGGAAGACACTGATGCAAGTGATTCCGAGCTGGAAAGAAGGCGGCAGGCGAAGAAAGCAGCTGAAGATGAGAAGCAATTCTTAGACCAAGAGAGGCGTTGGCTTAATCGCGAGCGTACTAGGGCTGCTGCTGTAGAACGAGAGCGTAATCGGGATAAAGAAGAGGAACAGCGCTTAGAGGACGAAAAGGAAGCCATGGCGAAACGCCTGAGAGAATGGAACGATGACGTTGAAGCAAGCCGGAAAGTAGAAGAATACTATGCCGATCGTGGATTGTGGATTCGAAACCGGGCGGCATTCCGGAACCGCGAGATAGCATTGGATGAAGCGGATCGGGCCAGTGAAGAACGAGAGAAGGCTCGAGCTATGCAACAACGAGAGCGAGCGCGTGGCATGGCGGATGACTTTCTTGCCCGACAAGCCGAAGAGATGGAGTCCCGAGCACAAGCACCGAAAGAGCCACAGCGCTTCAAGCTTTCCCTTGGAGCCGCAGCACAAAAGGCACAGGCCTCTACGAAACGCAGAACCGTTGCGGAAGTCGAGGGTCTCTTGGAAGATGAGGAAGAAACGGGCACCACAGCGAAACGTCCTCTTACTTCGATCAAGTTTGACACCGCCGCCGAAGTTGCTGGACTTAGCGACGAGGAGCGCGCCCAAGCAGCTAGGCAACTCGCCGCCGAGATACCGTCAGACAAAGAAGGACTCTGGAAATGGGATGTCAAGTGGGAGTTTGTGGATGAATCTGTGCTGGGAGAGCAGCTCAAGCCGTTCGTCGAGAAGAAAATCATGGAGTATCTTGGGGTCCAGGAGCAGATGTTGGTTGACGTGGTTGAGGAACATGTGCGGAAGAGAGGCTCCCCGGGGGAATTGGTGGAACAACTTGAAGGGGTAAGTTCCCATCTCATTCTGCATCCACTATGGCCTTTCATACTGATTTTTCATAGGCACTCGATGAAGAGGCTGAAGTTCTTGTCAAGAAACTTTGGCGAATGATCATCTTTTTCTCAGAAAGCGAGAAGAGAGGTCTTTCGGGCTAAAGTTATCAAATTTTGAGCTACTTTATATATCTTTAGGTGGTTCATGATAATACATCAATAATGTTAACCATGGAGGAAGGTTAAACCAACAACTTTCCTCAAGATAAGTGTGTATTTTAGTGTTTCTTCGACCTCGGTGCTTTTTGTCTTGAAAATAGGAAGATTTCATATTATGAGAACAAACATTCGTATGCGTTCGACAGCCCATACATCTGATCCCATTTCTCTTCTTGACCCATAAATAATACATACAAAAGTAATTTGGTTGAATAACCGCCTCAAGCTATTCAAGGTAGGATATTTCAACCGAAGGATGTGCCAACAGAATACACAAGTTCTGGTTATTGACGCTGCAAGCAAGCGAATTGAATATGGTAGCAGCAAGATGCCGACATTTTAGATGAACGCCGGTTTTTGGCTAGAACATTTTGTTGTTTAGCCGGGTAATTCGACGGCTCAAAAATAAGATAGCCTACCGGGAGAGAGGCATTGTTCCAGCAAAAAAGACTGTGGAAGAGCGGCCTTGTAAGTTCAGCGCCATTGAATGCCGAAAATTTTCGACGCCGTTTTCTTTGCAGCATTCATTTCAGCTGCGGCATTTTCAAGGAATATACGCTTGTGACCTTGTCTGTTTGTTAGAACTATGTCCCAGTTGATACCTTGTCGCCGTGATTTCGTACCTTGAACGTCCAGTGCCAGAATGTGATATTTATACTCGCCTTGGTCGGGGGTTTTTATCAGATGAACGCGAACAACACCCTCATTCAGCGGTCCGGTAATATTAAAATGCATTTTCATATGTTCGTTACCTTGTCGGTCTCTCTCTAATGTTGTTCTAAAGCCCAGCGAATCAGCGTATTACTCCACCAAAAGCTGCCTCCAACAACGGGTGCATTCTCACGCTATCGGCCGATTCCGAGTCCATTTATTCCACGAAGCTTCACCGTACGCTCTGATCTTCTTAGGGTCCCCGAGCACCTCAATGCATGCTGAATCGGCTTTGATCCGATCCACGGCACGATTGAACTGCCGGGTCTTGCTATCGGGAGCAAACACGTCCATGTATAAGAAAGTAAAAACGCCTCCTGTCATAACAGCTCCGGCCAGAATAACAAGGAGATTCACCGACTGCTGCGTTGCCCGTGCAGCCTTTTCAGTGCGAGAGAGCTCACCCCATCTTATTCTACCGTCGTCGCTAGCGACAGTTATCTGTTTTCGTTTTGAGCCGGTGGAAGCTCCTCCTTGGCTGCTATAAGTGGCATAACGACGCGAATATGTCAGAAACGGTCGGAGGACCGATGCAGCGCCGGATGAGACACAGGGCACGGTCTTCTGGGTGAATAACGGTAATCGGGGCGGGGTCATTGTGGTTTAGGGTGAGATTCTGTGGCAACCCATTGGTAGGCAGAATAGAGACTTTGAAAGTGCTACTTATCGATCAGCCATCAATAAGGTACCAGCTTGTCTTGTTCACTCTCAACTTCGTTTCATGAGCTGCTGGAGACATCAAACTGCAGGAAGGGTTTATGTCAGCCGGACGCGCCTTGCCTGATAAGGATAGACCCAAGTCTTAAGCTGACCTCTCTGAACACGGAGTTTTGATTTTCGACACGGAACGCGAGGCGAATATCCAGCGCAGTGCCGGCAAGACAGTCTGGACACCAAGCCTATAGTAGCCTAGTGCTTCGTGTCTATAAGCTAATCCTAGTGCGCCGAACCGTCGGTGTGCGTGCGCGACAAACGACAGCATCGAGACAACATCTCCTTTTCCCTCCAGAAACATCCGCCACTTCGCATTCGCTCTCTTTCTCACATTACACACGACATTCTTAGCATATCCCGGGGTGGGCATCCCCATCTTTAATCTCATCATGAGTGCTACTAAAGCACAGTTCACAGAAAATCTTCGAGAAACTGAAGACGAAGCCCGCCAACAAGGTGGGACACACGACTCCTACGTTGAATGATGTGTTCCTTGTTGACTTGACATTTAGATATGCTTTGACTGTGGCTCGAAGAACCCGACCTGGTCGTCAGTCCCTCTCGGAATCTACCTTTGTCTCGATTGTTCATCGAATCACCGTAACCTCGGCGTTCATATCTCCTTCGTTCGCTCGACTAACCTAGATCGTGGGTTCATCGTAATAATACTTGGAGATTTCAAAAAGCACTAACGCGGCTTAGAATGGCAATGGGACCAATTACGAGTTATGAAAGTGGGAGGCAATGAGTCTGCGACAAGATATTTCCAGTCACATGGTGGAACAGCGGCGCTTGCGAGCAAAGATCCGAAGGTGAAGTACACATCAAATGCGGCTGTGAAGTACAAGGAAGAATTGAAAAGAAGGGCAGCATTGGATGCACAAGAGTTTGTCTTCTCTTCATGGGGCTGGAAAACGCATTTGACTCGGCTAAATTCTGTGACAGGTACCCCGATGAGGTCGTTATTACCGACATAGTTGCAGTCGGTACCCCAGACGGAAGCTCCACGCCTGCTGGGGAACCGGACGATGATTTCTTCTCATCATGGGATAAGCCAGCCATTAAAAGACCCAGCAACCCCCCTTCTCGAACTGGCACACCTGGTGGAAACCGTGTAGGCTCTCCGTTCCTCACTCCAGGTGCCAACGGTAACGGAAACAACCGTCCTAAATCCCCGCTCTCGGCTTCGGATAAAAGCGGGACATCCTCTCCTCCTGCTGCTGTCCGAACTGGCCCTACAGTCCGTAAGGGGCCTTCAGCGGGAGCCAAAAAAGGCAGCATTCTCGGAGCAAAGAAGGGACCAAAGTTTGGCGCAAAGAAGATTACGAGCACAGAAGCCATTGATTTTGACGAAGCAGAAAGGAAAGCAAAAGAGGAGGCGGAACGTATTGAGAAATTGGGTTACGACCCGGAGGCTGAGCAAGAAGAAGCCAAAAACAAGATTGCGTCGCCTACGCCTGTGAACCCTAGTAGACCGAGTTTTGGTGCTTCAAGAGGACATGATAGCAACTCGAGTGAAGTTGATAGGCTTGGGATGGGCGTAGGTCGACTAGGCTTCGGGCAGGTTGTCAAGCCTAAGGCGCCTCCGCCGAAAAAGCTCGGATTCGGTTCTGTGGGGCATGTTAAATCTCCAGTCAATGGTATGCCTGACCCAAATAATCCGCACCGTATTTCATCTAACTTTGGAATCTAGACGAGGAACTAGAATATACACAAGCCAAATTCGGTAGCCAGAAGGGAATCTCATCAGATGAGTTCTTCGGCAGAAATCAATACGATGCCGCGGCTCAAGCTGAAGCCAAAGCACGTCTGTCAGGCTTTGAAGGCGCGACTTCTATATCTAGCAACGCGTACTTTGGCCGCCCTGAGGATGAGCACGCCGATGATTACGGGAATTATGGCGACTTGGAAAGTGCTGCTAGAGACTTTGTTCGCAGATTCGGTATCACTGCTGGCGACGATCTGGAGAATCTGTCTCACGTCGTCGGTGAAGGTGCTGCAAAATTGCAAGGTACGGCGATTCCTGTGCTTATATCCGCCCTATCTGGAAACTTGATTCTAATTTCCACACAACAGATGCTATTCGGAACTATCTGAACAGTTGAGCGACTCCCAAGCAGCGCTGTTCCTACTTCTTCCTTTCCATTTACACGTGTCTAACTTGTATTCCCGGTTAGGATGAGAAATCCTTGTGAAGCCTTCATCGTCGTTATAAATACCAGTGGCCTCAGGGCTGCATCTCGCCTCATCCCCGTTTCTCTCCGATGGTTGAGGTCACCATGGCCTTCCTATTTTTGGCTTAGCGTTAGGCACCAATCGTTACGATGTAGTCCAGTGTTACGGGAAATTCTTGCAGTGCAGGATCGTCCATAGGGTTTAGTTCTCTTCTCCTTGCGTCCCCGCTTTGCGACAGAAAGCTAGGTCACTAGCTTTCTGTGCATCCTATTGATGTTTCATTTCTCCTGAGCCGTTTTGCCCTCGAATCCTGATTGTAATTAGATGTCACGTCAACCCAAAAGGAAATTGCTACATTTTTTTTCGTTCCAGACAGGCGCTCCCAAAATATCTATGTACGTACACTCCAAATGTCACACCGCCGAAATATACATTCCGCATCATCAAGCCAAGTAAAATTGAAACCAAGGCGCAAAATGGGTTAAGCATCAAATCCTTGCCGGTAAATTGCATCCGCCATCTTCGCAACCTGACTCATCTCCTTAACATCGTGCACCCGCACAATATCCGCACCACCACCAATCGCCGCCGTGACTGCAGCCCCAGTGCCCCACGCCCGCTCACTCGCCTCCTTGACGCCTGTGATCCGCCCAACAAATCCTTTGCGACTCGCGCCCACCAACCAGGGCAAGTAACTGCACCTCGGAAACTCGCGCAGATGGTCCATGTTCCGTAGAAGCGTGAGGTTCTGCTCTTGATTCTTTGCAAATCCTACGCCCGGATCGGCGATGATGCGCCAGCGGCGCACCCCGGCGCTTTCTGCAGCAGCAATGCGCTCTGCAAGTTCGGTGCCGACGCCGTGGATGACGCCGGATGGGTAATCTGTGAGTTTGGTCATGGTTTTGGGGGTGCCGCGCATGTGGGAGAGGATCACCGTTTTCCCCAGGCGAGCCATGGTGGGGAGCATGGCAGGGTCCATGAGGCCGGCGGAGATATCATTGATGATATCTGCTCCTGCGGCAACGGCAGCTTCGGCGACCCGGGCGCGGTAAGTGTCGATACTAATGGAGATCTGGCTGGACTCGGGTAGAGAGCGGATGAGTTGGATGGCGGGGATGACTCGAGAGAGCTCGTCACCTTCAGTAGCTGGATCGGAATTAGGGCGAGTGCTTTCTCCGCCGATATCGATTATAGTGGCGCCATTGGTGATGAAATTGCGTATAGTTTGAGTAAAGGTTGCGGCGTTGTATGCTGTGTGTATTCCACCATCTGAGAACGAGTCTGGTGTCACGTTCAGTATGGCCATTATGTGTGTCCTACGTTTGGGGTTCGAAGGGGATAGAGGAGCCGCCTGCGTGCGAAGTGGTGTTATTGCCAGAGGTGCAGGATCGGAAGGTGGCAGTGAGTTTAAATGTGTCTGGTAGCAACTTGAACCTTTAGTCGCTGGCGGCATTTCCCCAGGAATCAATCTATAAAAATCAGTAGACGAAGACTATATCCATGTGGACAAGCTTACTGGCAAAGTGGTCGCAGAACAAACTCACGTTCAAGCATGAGTTTATGTGGAATATTCAAACGTTCATTGGCAACAATCTCATCGTCAAACAAAAGAATGTCCAAATCTATTATCCGAGGACCCTTGTCCACAGTCTTTTTCCTTCCCAGGGCGGTTTCTATTGATTGGAGTGTGTCGAGCAATTCCATCGGACGCATACTCGTTTCCACCTAACAGTATACATCAGAGGCAAATTCATTTATGGAAAGTCAGATGGAAAAGATAGTACATTGCAGTTACAAGTGAGCTAAAATCACAATTGGGAGCACTAACTTCACAAACCCCATTGACGAAAGGGTCCTGATTCGTCACGTACATGGGAGCCGTCTCAAAAAGCGAGCTCGTCCTGATGATCTTGATCCCTTTGGCCTCCATTTCCCTGCATGCTTGCTCTAACACGGCAATCCGGTCGCCCATGTTACTGCCCAAAGCGATGAAGGCACGGTGCTGAGATGACCCGACCATGGTAGCTATGTTCTTTGCGCAATTGGGAAACGTTTGATGTCCATTCACGGAGGTGCATCGGAACTGATTTCGCACAGGTCGCGAATCTTGGATTGTAAGTCCCCTTTCTTGCTGGCTACAGACGCCCGTAAACCTGCGATTAAAAGGTTTGACACGCCCGTACCATGGGTATACATGGTTGACAGGGCCCCGGCCCGACTTGCAATTACGGCATATGTCTTTTCCTGGACGCCAGTTTCTTGAGCTTAGAGCTGAAACGTTCAAGGACCTTTGTAGTGGTTAGTACATCGTCTCGAAAGAGGCTTCGGGCGGAAAGACCTCTGGGAGGACACAACGGGTCGCAGGCATTGAAGACTAAAGCGTGAGGATAGGAAGGGCAAAACCTGCGGTGTATGATATAGAGGTACAGTGGCACCAACCACAGCGCGCGATATGCCTTTTCTCATCTCTTCCCTCTTCAGATTGATATTGCTGCTGTGAAGTTGGAAACTTTGGCGCAAATGTCCAGGCGTGAAGTCATGCTGAGTCAGCAGTTGACCTTCAACTTCGGTTGCTTCTCGAGTTATAACCGCTAATACTCCATACGAAGCATGCAATATTTAATAAAGGTCCTGGGCTTCGTTGTCTCCCTCGGATTATTGCCGCAAAGCGCGACTCCTCATCCATCCTGTGTTTGTCCGCACTCCAGGGCGAATGATGATGAGATCAATGGTATGTGGCTAGACTATATATCCACCAGTTATCAAACCAGAGATGCCGTTGCCATTATCAATAGAGTAATAAAGGTCAGAGCAGAGGCAATTTTGCCTGAACATGCCTTTAATAGAACAACTGTATGAATGCTAGTTCGATTCGAGTTCTTCGCAGCCCATGTCCTTATACCTACTACTACAACCCATAAATGCATTGAGAAGCACCAATACTCCTACAAACTTCCATCCCCTGAGGATGACATTCACAAAGATATTGGCCATTAAAGATTTGCAATTCAGTATGGAGAAAGGAGCAGGTGTATAAGACCTGATAGGAAAAAATGGAAGCTACCAAACTTTGACCCTCACCTTGCGCATGGACTTCTACTATACAACCTTAAGGTGTATTTGACAGAACCAGTGTCAATCGTTCATCGCTTCAGGGGTTGGTATTTTCTTGTGGTAGTCAGTGGTCACTATATCGGGCCCGCGCTTCACAGCAATTTGCAAAGTCAACTGTGCCGGATTCAAGTATGCGAGATTTCTGAATCTTTTCAGTATAAACGGATTGCCATAGAATATCAACCACACATGCCAATACCGAGATAACGCTACCAAAGATTCTCATTATTCCTTCCATCTTATGCTTTGCAATTTGAAACCTTCCAAAAGGTTCCGGTTTCTCAGGTGCTCTGGTTTCCACTGTCGTCCTAGAGAAATGATACCCGTGCTACTATAGGAGAAAATGTTTGAGATAACAGTTATGAACCGAGAAAGCGGCCGAGACCACCCTTTTTGCGCCCAAAATGCGAGGCTAACAACAGGAGAGGCCAGGATACGCCAGGTCTTCACCTTCTCTGAGTCCGGCCTTGTTGTACGAGTTTCAACCGTACTCCCCGTCTTTTGATAGCATTGTAGGATACTGCTTTGTCCTTTTCCGTGACGCCGGTCTACTCGGACTTATACAAAGCAAAGCCCTATCGTAGCGTCGCCCGGCCGCTATGAAGATGGCAGAGACAAATCCCCTAATTAGTCCTTGTGAGTCATTGAAAATTCCTGGGAGATATCAGCCTAATATTCCAAATGGGTTGATAGACCTCACATCAACTTCAACGTCTGCTGGCATGTAGAAACGAGACCAGGTACTCCGTAGGGGTTAAAAGTTGCTCCCATATACCAACCAGCCTAACGTAACGCATTGTTCGCACCCAACTGTGCATCACCTGTAGCGACCTAGAACAGCTTGCGGATACCTCTGGGCCAGTGCGGTTTCCAGAACTCAGTGGTATCAGGCAGCTCATTGAGGATTTTGGTTTTCGCTGGTCAAGAGAACCTGCCGGCTCTGAACTAAGGATTAGGAGGAATGGAAGAAGTGCAAGCGTCGACCAGATTCATTCACCTGTGAGTTAGTAGATATCTAGAGCAGCTCATACTCCAGTATCTAACCAGCCGCAGTGAATCACATGAAACGCAAACAACTCCAGCCGCACGTAAGATGCGGCTTGCCCGCAGAGAGCTAAGCTGTTCAAGCTCTTTTGTCTTTTCTCATTTCTTATTTCTCATTTCTCATTTCTGTTCTTCCTTTTCGTCTCACTTTCAGCATCCTTTTTCAATCCATCATATTCGAAGAAACATCTCTTTGAACGAGCAAAAATGGCTTGGATTGAGGAAATTTTCAAAGGCTTCAACTCTCTCAACTTCAAGAGCAGAGCTTTACTCCTTGCCCTCGTCGCTATTCCCCCGCTTGTCACGTCTTGCTTGGGCCCTGTTACCGCTGAGGCCGTTACCTATCTTTTGTAAGTTGCGTCAAGTTGCAATCATATCTTGTTCTGATCGTGCTAACATTTGGATAGGGCACGCCATTACGCCCGTAAATACAAACAACCCCCGCAAGCCACGGCTCCTGTCGAATGCTCAGCGGAGCGCGAGAATAGAGAAGCCAGGGAGGACTTGAGGGCTCTGATTGCCATTATTCGTGGCTATATTGCGACTTATCCTGGCACCGTCCTGCATCACAGCGCGCTCCGCAACTCTGCCCTTGCAGGTTCCTCTGTCCAATCTGCTTCGCGTACGGCTGCACCTTCTGAGCCACCGCAACCAAGCCCCGTTGTCATGAGACGACGTTTGGCTTAGGCTCTTACGGAAAATATCGCGCAGGAAAGCGGCAGAATAGCCAAAGTTGAAGGGAAATAAGGGATCGGGAGACTTTTTGATTCGATCTTGGACATTGTTTCTCCTTTCCTCGCGGTTTTCGAATCCGATAACTCGTTTCGTGAGATATTCGCCAACAACCCAGATCGCGTTCACCGTGGGCAAGATTGCGATGGCTAAATCATGGACTTCGTGTACGGGGAGGTATCAGCAAGGCAAACATGTACCTAGTTTTCAATGAAATGCTGTTGTTGAATGCTCAGAAATCCGTTCCCAATGTTGGTATGAATGCAACGGCTTTGTTCACCAATAAGAGATGTCTCGAGGAACTGACACGAGATCATTCATCCTTGTTGCCACTAGCTAAGCTCCGACCAATTTCCTCCTTTGAGCAAGCGGCCAAGGGACCATTGAACCTCTTTCGCCGACATCTGGCGTGCAGCTTGCCAGCTTCAATCAAAGGACTGTAAGTATGATTATGCTAAGTAGCAGTAGGCAAGGTCTAATATTGGCATCTCACGCATCGTTGCCGTCGGGTTCTCGAAGTCTCTTCCCCAGGCACAAAGCAAAGTATCGAGGTTGTTGGAATCCGCCCTAAAGTTACCCCGACTTTGCGGCCGCCCAGCCTTCGGAGATACCGAGGCTTTTCGCGCCCTAGTCGGGCCACCAGCTCTTCACAAGGAATAAATACTCTTCCTCTTTTCTCCAGTGCTTCGTTATCCCACGCTGTCCCTTCTTTTAAACCACCTTTATTATTGCACATAGCTATTGCAGCTCCCTTCGCTACCAAAGTAGTTATACCACCTCGTTTAAGCCACACGTTTTCAAAATGGCCTCTCCCCGTACGTCAGCCCGTTGGCCACGCAGCTACCTGCGTCGTGTCTTCATTAATCACTAACCCTTATGTCATGTTTCAGAGCAAATTCGTACTCCTCTCACCGATCTTCTCCGGATCAACCACCCGGTCCTTTTGGCGGGTATGAACGTTGCTGCCGGTCCCAAGCTCGCCGCGGCCGTCACAAACGCTGGTGGCATGGGTGTGATTGGTGGTGTCGGTTATACTCCACAGATGCTCCGAGAACAGGTACAGGAATTGAAAAGCTATCTAAACGATAAGAATGCTCCTTTTGGTGTCGATCTCCTGCTTCCCCAAGTTGGAGGTAGCGCCCGCAAGACGAAGTACGTTTTTTGGAAATATCCTGTGAGATGTCGAAATTGGGTTGCTGATGAGAATTAGCTATGATTACACAAAGGGAAAGCTTGACGAATTGATCTCAATCATCATCGAGAGCGGTGCCAAACTTTTTGTCTCCGCCGTCGGTGTCCCTCCAAAACACGTCGTTGAACGCCTCCACAAGGCTGGAATTCTTTACATGAACATGATCGGTCATCCAAAGCACGTTCAAAAGTGTTTGGATGTTGGCGTTGATATTATTTGCGCTCAAGGTGGCGAGGGCGGTGGCCACACTGGAGATACTCCTACGTCTATTCTCATCCCAACTGTTGCCAAACTTGTCCAGGGTCACAAGAGTCCTATGAACGGCCTGCCCGTCCAGGTTGTTGCTGCTGGCGGTATCTTCAATGGCCAAACTGTGGCTTCAGCCCTTATGCTCGGTGCTTCCGGTGTCTGGGTTGGCACCCGATTTGTCCTCTCTGAAGAAGCTGGTGCTCCACACGCTCACCAAGAAGCTGTCAGAACTGCTGGCTTCGATGACAATATCCGAACCATTATTTTCACTGTAAGGTCCCACCAATGGGAATTCGCCTCAAATTGTGATATGACTAACAAGTATTTTAAAGGGACGACCAATGCGCGTGCGTAAGAACGCATACATCGAGAACTGGGAAGAAAACCGTGCTCAAGAGATGAAAGACCTCACCAGCAAAGGTGTCATTCCTGTTGAGCATGATTTCGAAAACCTCGGTGACGATGTCGACGATGACACCCTTGACAATGCTCGTCCACATTTGATGGGCAAGGCTGCTGCTGTTGTCAATGAGAAGAAATCCGCCAAGGCAATTGTTGATGAGCTTGTCGGTGATGCCGTTGCCTGGATCAGGAAAGGCAACACCATGATCGCCAAATTGTAAATTTACCAAAGTCCGTTGGCCTGGGATTTCTCGTTTTGACTCCTTAATACCCGCAATCGAGATCTCTCTCTCTGGGGTATTGATAATGACTTTGTATATATCATGACTTTTTTGTTATCTTTTAGCTGTTATACTCAAAACCTTCTCTCCCATTTCCTTTTTACATTTGGTTAAAATGAGTCTCAGAGTCACAATTTGACACCGGTCAAGCTGTCTCTTGCTCTGCCTCTCGAGGCTCGTATCCGGCAATAAGTATCCACAAACCGAGGCATATGATGGTCTCGGTCAGTGTTGTGCGCTAACTCCTAGCAACATATGGGAGAACCACCCGTGGCCATCCTTCGACAACCTCCTTTTGCTTGTTGGGGGATTATCACTGAGCAAAGTCTCTACACGAGCAAGGGACGACCATCATAATTGAAAGTTCAGCTACCTGTGAGCTACCAAATAACCGTCAACGCTTTATACATGCTACAAGACATACTGCAACCACCTTCAGAGCTTGAGTTCCCAGCCCTTGGAACTGGTCCCATTCGGCGACACTACTGTAGATTCACCTTTGATGCCCATAATGCAAGACTGCCTTGCCCGAATGCCTGAGATTACCCAGAAATTCAAACGTACCGAGACCGTAAAAGTAGAGTAGGCTCTTTTGATTTGATTTCGTTGCTCTATCATATGCCTTCATCAACGTGACAACGTCCTTCAGATAATAGCCCTATACAAATTAGGGCTTTTGAAGTTCCAAAGGCGGCTAGTGGCAAAAGCTCTTGCGGGCCGATTTTCATCCCGGAACTAAACCCTATTCGGGTTATCTGACGGCACACCGAAATGCGATAATTTGACCAATCCACTATTATTCGCAACAGCTTTATAATCTAATAACGAAATCCACAAGTATACCAAAGATGTCTCGACTAGCAAAGTGAGTATTCGGCCTTCTAATTTCTTGAATGTTGCTAACAGCAAGCGTGCGACAGTCGTGCTGGCGACTGGGCCGACGATGAGGAGTTTGACGATGCCGCTTCCCTGCCCGCGCAGCAAGTTATTTCTAACAAGGACGGCACTAAGACCGTGATATCGTACCGGTTCAATGATGATGGCAAGAAAGTGAAGACGACGCGACGCATTCGTACAACTGTTGTCAAAGAGCACGTAAATCCACGTGTTGCTGAGCGCAAGGGATGGGCGAAATTCGGCTTAGAGAAGGGTCATCCTCCTGGGCCATCTCTTGATACCACTTCAGTCGGAGAAAATATAATTTTCAGGCCTTCTGTGAATTGGAAATCCCAGGCCAAAGAGGCGGAGAAGGCAGGTGGCGAGAAGGGTGGATTGAAGGATCAGTTAAAAGATAAGAAGGTGAAATGTCGTATTTGTAGCGGGGAGCATTTCACGGCCAGATGTCCCTTCAAAGACACCATGGCCCCCGTTGATGAACCGACTGGTGCGGCTGGCCCGGATGCTGAGGATGAGGAGAAGCCTGCCGGTGGTTTGGGCACTGGTGGAAGTGCTTATGTTCCTCCTGCGCTTAGGAAGGGCGGTGCTGGTACTGGAGACAAGATGGCAAGCAAATATGAGAGAGATGAGCTGGCTACGCTACGCGTTACAAACGTTAGTGTGATCCTAATCTCCTGAAATACAGTTTTAACGCTAATTTTGCGGATAGGTGAGCGAACTCGCCGAGGAAGGAGAGCTTCGTGATATGTTTGGCAGATTCGGACATGTCACCAGAGTCTTCCTGGCCAAAGATAAAGAGACCAATATGGCGAAAGGCTTTGCCTTTATCAGTTTTGCAGATCGAGCAGATGCTGCTCGAGCCTGTGAAAAGATGGATGGCTGTACGTTCACAGGCCAACTCTTACGCTCTTACTGGCAGTTTGTGCTAACGATATATAGTTGGTTACCGGCATTTAATTCTACGCGTCGAATTCGCGAAGAAAACAACATAATTTTCTCTAATGATCCTCCCTTGTTACGTCTCTTACTAGGTGTCTTTCTTATCGGTTCCCTGCGATTCTTTCTGCGGTAGCATATATGGTTCGCTTCTGCTTTTGAGACGGCTAAAATTCTTTGCTCATGATCCGAAATTGTTGATAATGATGATCGCAAAATAGAAGTTTTATCCTTTTTTCCTCTGACTGCTCCATTCATGCTCATATTAGCTGACGTCGAACATCCCGAAGAGTTTGTGTCCGCTTGACTTCAAGTGTGCGTTATTGGACTAATTCCTCTGCAAAGGGGAGGTTAATTCGCGTCTGAAGCTGGCCTTTTCAAGTCCGGAGATTCTTGTTTCTAGATTACCTAGAGGTCATTTGATACCCAGATCGAAAGCCAATTTGTACTTCTAACAGAAGTCATTCGATAATGAATTGCTTCGTTCAGCTTGGTTTGATGCCTCTACTTTCCAGATTCGGGGGGCTGCCTAGTCGTTACTCCTCTGAAACCTGTTCTCAGCAATATACCGGATAAAATGGACTGTGATCTTTAGATTCTACGCCATATAAACTCGTTTTAGCTAAGCTTCTTGCTGTAGAGCAATATATTGATTTGTGAACGGCTGGGCACGACCACTGCTCCGACACACTCCTTGCATCCATTCGACGACAATGGGTCCTTCATTTCCCGACAAAGAATTTCCGACCAAACCTCTGCCTTGCTACGCAAGAACCCTCCGTTCATGCTGTCTGCAGATCAAAAGCACGTCGTCGGCTACAATGCCAGGCTTTGATTAGACTGGATCTCAATACTCCGGGACTGCTGAGGATCTCTCAGTGACAGGACAGCAAGCATCGACCGGAAGTTGACATGTGTATGTATCTGCATGCACACGATCAACGAGTCACTCAAAGCCAGCGTACACATGCCGTTCTTTGCTCCTCCAACTCCCCTTCATACTCGCACCAGGATACAATGTTGGTCGGCTGCATATTTTGTTTTCAGCTATCGGGGGCGGAAACCGGAAAAAGGCAGAGAACTAGCCTCAGTCACCAAGTTTCCAATTAGGCGCCTGCTCCTCCTTCCCAGCTGCTGTGTGAGGCTACAGGCTGCATTGCTACTTTCTCGGTATCATCCCCGTTTACCTTGGCGCTAAGACATAACGCTGCGTCAAGCATTGTCTCTTTGTTCTCCCCTGATTCCTTGAACCCCTAATTTTCGCTCTTGTTCCGCGTCTTCGCAGCCTTGAAACCCGGGAATCGGAGATCAGAAAGCGAACGGGAAGGCTAGAATCTCCCCCTATCAAAATTGAAAAACAAAAGAAAAGGAAACATTCAACGACTCCTTCGGGGTTGCCCGTTTACGACGACACGTACATAAGCTGGACTAAAGAAGATATCAACCGCTTCTCCCCGGAAATCATACGCGACCACCAATCGAGCGGGCCGGATCCTGATCAACTAACATAATCACAACACGGCCAACGAAAACAGCAACTTTCCTTAATCATACAGGTAGCCTTCTCGGCAGTCAACTGCCGGGAGTCGCCGTTGACGTGGCTCTGCTTTTCCCTTTATTCTAGATGCCAATGAACTTGGTTTGCTAACCAACTACCGGATCAGGCTAAGAAATGCCACGTTAAGTGCTGGCTTTACAAACTATCTGACAGGGAAAGGGGAGGAAAGTTGGGAGCTTCTCGCCTTTCCTCGAGGCTGGCTATAATTAACTTCCTCGTTTTCCTTCCATCGGATTCCTAGCTTAAAAGCTTAGTTTATGAATAAGCTCCCATCCTCCGCTCCGTTCTCTATAACCAGGGCCCACATCTAGAGAGGTCAAATCATAACCAACGGACATTCGGACCTAGGTCGACCGAGGAATATCCTAGGGGGTCTGTAAATGCAGATTTAGGCAGTGGCAAGGTCTCTTGGGCCCGATTCTGCACGCGGCAGTCGATATTTACGGGGCGAGGGAGGCGCATGCAAGTTTATGAGATTTCGAGGGCTAAGGCGGGGACAAGGCGAATAGGTTTTTCACAAATATTTTCACTCGCCAAAGCTTTCGGTTGGAGGTTGGGGGGAAAAAAAGAAAATACCTCAACAGATGGCGAATGGAAGGCCGAGAAGTACTTCAGCAAGGGGTTTCAGGGATGTGGAGTGAGACAGAATGAACTGGCGGCTATAGCAGGCATGGGGAAGGGGCCAGGCGCCGAAAGTGCCAAAACCAACTGATAAAAAGCGAAGGCGCAGATATATCAAGTGTATTAAGATCTGCCTTTTGACTGAGTTTATTTGTGTATACACCCTATCTTCATTCATATCAGTTTCCAATGTTACACTTGGTCTCGGATCGGAGCATTAGGTGATGCTGGCAATCCACTAAAACGCAGAATCCACATAATTGTGAACAAGTAGGGGATGTGGGAGTATCACCAGGACAGAAAGAAACAATGGGTTACACACTCTTCGTCAGCTTACCAAATTTGTACACCACTGCCGGCATTCCCACCTGCTTTTCCCCCAGTTCGCAAGCCTAATCTGTGATTTGGTGGATTTCATGCTTTTTCACATTTCGGATGATGTGGGTTGACACTGATCTGTCCACGTTTTATTGAAACGGGCGCAGTGAGACAACAACCAGCCTTTCAGAGCCCTCTGCGCTGCCATGTCAAAAATATGCCATGGGAGTCAACCATTCCAAATCAAGAAGGCAAAAATGAAGATCCTACTTTGATAAACGTCAAACTTTCCCGTGCCTTGACATCACATCTCGGAGGAAATTCTCAAGTAGGCGTACCTGCTTGGCTGAAGTGGGATCCTGGTTGGTATCATCCGAGAGCTGGTTGCCCAACCCTAAATCTCTGTAGTGCATGGGTAACCGATACTTGTTCTCTTGTGGTTCTGGATTCTTTCCGTTTTGTTTTAGCTCATTCTCTGTTATTCTCTTCAGCAGGAAGAGCCGGAGTTAAGGGGTAGAACCTCCAATAGTAAGTCACTTAGGGACACCTCAATAGATTTTAGGGTTGTGGACTTCAATACTCTACTTCCTGTGTGGCAATTATCGGGAACAGTCACGGGGCCCCTGCAAAAAGGGTGTAGGCTCAATAGACTTATCTCCGGCCTGTAGGTAAAAGCCCAGAATGCATGCGGCCGAATTTCATGCGGTCTTGAATAGAACAGGCATGTGACCGATAGCAAGCCCGAAAAGCAGTGGGCATCTGATTCCCGTATGAATCCCATGGAGTAAGAGCCAAATGTCAACACTGCAGAAAGAAAAGGAATCCGACAGTGTTGTGTGACAGGGATGGAGCCTTCAGGGGTATGAACGAGAAGAGTGATTGTTAGACCTCGGGAGCTTGCCTCGACGCAGCTGATTCTAGAGTGCTGGACAGAAAAGCAAATCAGGTGATATCGCTCAGGACCGTTGGCCGTGTACATAAGCCTCCTAGGGATGGCGCACTAAAGACCAGGAAAACCTAGAGAGCAATCGTCGTTAATAATCGAGTGTCAAAAGGTTGTACCCTCGGTTGCCGAACGATTGGCCATTGCATATTTGGTAGTTGGGAAAAGGGACAATGATTTCGCTGAACCGCAAAATCAGAATTCAGTCAAAATAGCATGGGATATTTTGGACACTGTGTAATGACGGCTTGTAGAATAGCCTAAGGAACTGCTCCCTGAGCATATCTAAATCAAGTCTTGAGACCGAAACGCATGATTTGTTGTCGAGGCCTAGCCCAAGCTTGCCGAGGGAGCAAATGAAAATATGGCTCTATTAGGAGAAGCCAGTTTCAATTTGTTTGGCCTTTCAATACTCGTCACACCAAAACGGGCCGAGCAAATAGCCATCTGGCTATAATCAACATAATTATACTAGGCGCTTTTTAGGAAGAATAGAGTTGCGTACGGTGCAAGAAAAACTTTAGAAAAGAGTGGATGGGGGCATATCTCGCGTACTTGAATTGGCTCTCGAAAGCATCAACAGAGTCATGGGGGAGTCATCCAGATGAGCATATTGTTAGAAACGAACTCAACTGCTGATTGGTCGACAAAATATCATTACTTAGAGGCTGAACAAGGCGTTTAAGACATGGGAGTGTCCTTTTCGTCAAATCGTAACCAAAAGCGGTTTATTTTTTCAGCGGAGTTAGTCAATGCCATTTGGCGTTTGAAGCTAAAGGAAATCAAATCGAAATTGGCGCAAGACGGAGCTCGAGGCTTCGTTACGCAAGATACAGCTCATTTGCAGGGCGTATGAAACTTGCAGCCTAGTCTTCTTTGTATCGAGAAGCACTGGCCTGGCCACCGTGTCATCGGGGCAGGCATGAAATGATGCCTCCAGAAACGCGCACGTTATCATCAAAAGCAGCTCGGATGTATGTAGCCGGGGCTATTGCCACTCTGGCCGACTTATCGTCTGAATCGGGCGACCGCGACATCCACCTGTTTTCGGGTTGACTATGAGCAAGCCTACAATGCAATCAGTATTGTAGCAATCAATCCGCTCCAAAGTCTCAGTCACCGCAGGATGGAAGCGTACGGGGGCGGGATGAAAACCAAGACACCCTCACATGCATCTCCTGTGTTGTCACCTGAATTAATCCTCCTTCTGAGGTGTCTGCTAATGTCTCAAAAGGCAGAATGAATGCAAAATATCAATCAAGGACGTGGTAGACCGGCGTTTGGAGTCGGGAGATATCTCGAGCTACAATTCGTCGGTTAAAATAAATCCCCAATCCTGGGGCAGAAAATCAAATTTGGGAAAAGGTGGGAAGAATAAGATAGTTTTGACTGGATGCCGGAGCGGACATTTTCTCGATTTGTAGCTCAGCTTCAAATGGAAGGGCACGATAAAGTTTTTGAGGTGTCCAGACACCGGGTAAAAAGGTGAGCTCTCGGACTGGAATACAATAATGGCTGTGACATTGCCAATAGATGTGCAATGATCGACATAGGGATTCAGTCTCGAAAACCGGGACGCAATATGCATCTCCATATTACAGCAGAAGCGAAAGAAGCACCGTCTTTTCAGTTGACAATAACGACGGGACTGAAGCGGTGGAGGAGATGGGAGATGGACGGTCGTCGGGCGAGGGCGGTGATGGGTGTCGTCGGCGCCAAGAGATCGGCAAGCCCATGCACGGACCACTTTGCGGCTAGTGAAGTTTCTTGGAAACGACACCTTTCCCGGTTGGGCGCACTAAGGGGAACTTCCAACTTCATCTGTCAAGAGCACATCCCTTTCACCTGTCTTTGTCCGGTTGATTGAGGAATTCCGGCCGTGAAGGGGTGTGATCAACTACCTACAATGGTGCTGTCGGCAGCTTTCTGATTACTACCTATCTTGCTGGGAGAGTTATTTTTTCCCTTACCGTTTATTGGATGTCTTTGTCTCGGTCAGTCCCATCCTGGTCTTTGCCCCAAACCATCCTGCAAGGTCTTGGATCCTGACCGCATTTCGTTCTGGGGTGAAAGGTATCTCGAAATTCAACTGCAGCACTTCTATTCACTTTTTCCTGAGCAATGAAGAGATCATAAGCTCGACGGCGACGGCCTGATACAACGGTGACCGTTATAAGTTACCCGACTCCTTCAAACCCCAGGGTCTGTCGGCAGAGCATGTTTGTACCACCATGTAGCCAGGGTAGTATGCAAGACATTCCGACAGGAGCCCTGGCTTTGGCTTCTAGCTCCTTTTGACTAATTCTTGTATTGTCCTTGCGTTCCTTGCTAATGCGAATATTCGGTAACTAATCGAGGTATAGTTTCCCCGGCCAAACAATTAGGGCAAAATACTGCAAGCCGGCTTCTCAATCCGCATATCAATGGCCATACATAGCAGAGTACTGCAGCTTTTCTTCCCCATAAATCTATGAAACGCGTTCAGTTTGTGAGGGATGGGAAGTTAAAGCATCCCTCGTTCCCTTTTGTTACTCAGCACATGGTAGTTATCAGTTCCTCGCCATGTGACAAGCTCCCGCTCAAGCACAAAGGGTATGACTTAGGAATGTTTTTCCTGCTTCTATGCACCGAACTCCTCATTATGAGCATTTTAGTATTTTCCAAGGCGAAAAAAGATACCAAAACAAAATTAAGACGCTGCTTTCCCCAAGAAATGGGAGCACCCAAGTCTCGCAAACCCTGAAAAAATAAACTGCAATCGAGAATCCAGACTTTCCACTTGGATCCCTGGAACCAGGATTCTCCGCTCCTGGGCGATCATATGCACTACTGAAACTTATGACTGCTGTTGCATTGTGGCTGAGATTTTTGGCCAATAATAATTGCCACTGACTCTCTCCGTTGATCGGCCGATTTCCGTGTACATACTCTGTATCGGGTGTGGTTTTATGATTTCTGAGCACTTTTTGATCCTCCCGCACGCCAAGCCAGCTTAGTTCTGCCCTGTGGTCGATCATTTCGAGATGCATGGATGGACCATTCCGGATGAGTTTAGCCCATATCTCTCATGGTCGCGTTAATCGCAATTGGCCGCCAAGTGTTGGCTTGTCGCGACTCGCTGGGTAGAACGGTCGCGGATTCAATCCTGTCCATAAGTCCGTCGGATTGATTCACCACCTTGATTGTTTTCCACATGATTATTAATTTTTCCAAATGGGGATGTATCAGTTTCGTCACCGTTCTTCAGCTCCCTCTGAAGCTTGAAGTTTGGACGTACATGGTGCTCGAGTGGAACGCGGTACCTCAATCGACCCATGTTTTCAAGTTCATCATTAGCGTGGGGCAACTGAGAAAGGCGGAGCCAACCTTTGTACTGTTCCTTCGACAACTGCATTATTGAGAAATTTACCGCGACTCCTCTGTACAGAATGTTCATGGTATTGGAAGCTGGTAGCCATTCGGGAATTAAGTCATTGTTAGCATCCGCGACATCGATACTTACACACGCCGCGAACGCACTCAGCAAGCTTTTCTCGAAATCGGCAGAACAACCTATAATAGATCTACCAACGAGGGTGAAGGTTACCTGCAGCTATTTGATAGGTGGATCCGGGATCATCAACGATGCCTGCTGAAGGCATCATTGCTTTGTCCCTTGCTCCCTTCCGACTTTCGCATTCTCCGCTTCTCAAGTTTCCTGGCGCCTGGCACCGATTAAAATACGAGTTTCCATTGATATGGAGACTTTGAGGCCATCGACCGTTCCTTAGTTCGATTGGATTGGTTCAGTCACCTCCGATCCTTGAAGTTTGCGATCGGAGCTTCGTCTCCTCCCGTACGCTTGGCCCCCAGAATCGACAAAATCCACGACCCAGACCACCTCTTCATTCGGAGTGCGGACCATGTAGGTACAACTTGTTGTGAAAGAATGGCTTTATGCTCTTATGTCATGACTCCTATTAGTTTTTTCTGCTAGTCATGACCATTGGCTAACCTTTCGACGGGAAAAAGCAAAGCAATTTGAAGTGGAGGAGTAAAAGAACCTTATTAGCGCCAAATAACAGCAGGGTCGCCTCAATTCCTGATTAGTTATATCTCGGGGCCACTTTACAAACAACGAGTTCTGCTCCCAGAAAGCTTGATAACCAGCGCTCATCCTCCTGTACTGGCTTCGGCCATCCGCGAGATGACTATTGTGGCTATTCCGCAAGATAATCCTCCTAAAATTTCATCCTCCAACTCTTATTAAAGCGCCCTCATATGCCATTTATATGACGATTTGCCCGTCCCCCGGCCCAAAGATTGACAAACTACGGTGGTGAGTGAGGCCAAATCTCTTGTCCCTATTTGCACCAGAACATTCTATTCTTGCATGGGTTCTCTCCTGCAATGTTTTCCTGTAATCCCACCTACATATCCTCAATCACTCGTTGTGCTCTATTCCTCCTTTCTTCTGAATGCACTACCTTTACTTCACATCTATGAGCCATATCCTAATATCCCGAGACTTCAAAACCTTTTCAATGATAGTGTTTGAAGTCTTGATTGATATTTTCTTTTCGATCAAGCACCTGACAAGGGCTATCTGTTTAGCCGTCGATCGTCTAGGGGGTCCACCTAGCTTATTCGACCCCGGTAATTGCTTCTACTCCAGCCAAATCTGGGGCTGAAAATAAACCTTTAAATTGAGCCAACCGGGCCCGTTACACACTCCTACCAAGTCACTTTTGCAGCCGCCTGCCTTTACCCTTCCTACATACTATCTCAATCATACCCCACGTCGTCTTGATCCTGGATTTCTTACGCCGAGCCCTCCCTTTCTACATATTGATGCGACGAACCGTTGACGTTGCTATCCTCTGAGCACGCATCCGTCATATACCAAGTACGTATGAAATATCATGGTCCATTCCCACTGCTTTGATCAAACGTGTTCGCGGTCGCCGTACCAGCGCCTTTCCGTCCATATGGCCCTTTGATTGGCATTATACATCCCTAAGCCCAGTGCATGCGTTGGCTATTTTTCTTTATAGGCGTATCCAAACGTTTGGTCATTTCTCTGACACTTGTCGACCGATATTAGCCTTTTTTTTAGCAGCATTCTCGTCAAAGCAACAAACTACCAACCCAAAGACAGGGCTATGAATTCCTGGCTTCTATTCTTCATCTGGTTCTAAGATTGCCACATCGACCCGATTTCGCGGAAATACCGCCATCTCGAGTTATCCCAGTGCAAGTCGAACTGCTTCTCCTTGAAAGTGCCCTCTCGAGCCGGTTCCCGATATCAAGGCACCCAATCGAGGGTAGCACGCTTTGCTGATCCTTAAAAGGGTTGTTGGAATTTGACAAATGAATCCTAGTAAGCTCATTTCTATCTGGTACGACTTCAAAATTGAAATTACTGGACTTATCCCGGTGACCCACCAGTGATAGCGGGAAATCATCCACTTGATTCAGGGCTTCAATATTGATTCTTGGTCATTTTCTTTTCTTCCACCTACATTTTCTCCTTTGGCACTTTGATCAAGTTTCCATTGTCTGGTGCGTTTCTGTGCTCTTACCATAGTGTCAGTCCTGACATCTCTGCCTCTCCGGAGTTGTGGACAGCCCATTCTCTCGATTGTCTCTTAATGTTTGGATCAATCTTACTCATAGCTTGATCTGATGTGAGTGGCACGCGCAGCA